ACCTCAGTTCGCTGACTTCGATGGGTTCTGTAAGAGAGATGAATGGGAGGCAGTGGCTCGTCGTGAGCGTCTCTTCGTCGGACATGTTGTGTCTTGTTTCTTCTTTTGCTTCCCCCGATGTCACCAAATTAATAATAATATTATATCGGCATTCATAAAAAATGTATTGTCGTGTTTCTCTCAATGCAGGTGGATGCGACCGGCGAGTGCGAAATATGAAACTAGAATGTCGTTTGAATTTGGGGGGTGCGTGAGGTTTGGCTTGCTGGGATGACGTCGAGAAGGCGGCGCAGAGACTCACGTGCCGTTCTTGCCCGCAGGCGATCATATGGAGCCCAGCAATCAACATCACAAGACTCGTTTTACACCAGATTTTGTTCAAACAATCTTTATTTTCATAGAGATTGAAAGAAAAGCGGAATATTATTCTATTTTTCTGATTCATGTTGGAGAAGAGGGTGAAAAATGAAAGCTTCGGCGGCTTTGTAGTCTTGAGTGAAACATGCCGCCTCTTGCAGCCTTCACAACTTGTAATTCACATTAATGCATGGCTACATTTTATCCCTATCTCTACAGACATTCTTCCCTAACGCCAAGTTTTCAGAACCCCCAAATCTCATTCCATCTCTTCTCCTCCTCCCTCAACGCACCGTCCAGTCTCCCAAACCTCGCCGGCTGCTCCGTATTCGCCTCTGGCAGGCAAACCCACTCTCTCACGCAATCCGGCACCTCCTCTTTGATGTGTGCAATGCAGATAAGCGCCTGTTGGTCCGACAATCCCTCCACCTTGACGGTGCCATCCTTGGATTGCTGGCTCTGCACAATCTCCTCGCCCGCATAAGTCTTTGCTTCTCCGTCTGTGAGGAACAGCGTGCACTTGTCCCGGACGGCGTCGTCCATGCCGCTAAACGACTCGTCCAACACGACAATATCGGGTCCCTTAATCATAGACCGTATGAAGAGCGCCACGCGCTGAGCACTGAACGAAATCTCTCCAAACATGTAGTCGTCGGCCCATTCCAGGCCCTCGCTGCCAGTAGCGCTATTTGGCTTTAGCTCTGGCTCAAACCATCTGAGTGCTGCCTCAACTTTGGCCTTTGCCTCAGCGCCCAGCTTGGGCTTTGCGCCAAAGGTCTCTGCCCACGCGTTCTCAACCACTTGTCTGATGGTGTGGCTCCTCGGCATGTGTTGGTGGACTTCTGGGCTGGAATGGCCGATGCGAGATTGAATGTCCCAGAAAGTGAGTGGTCGCTGTCCAGAGCCTGGCTCAGGTAGACGGCTTCGCCCAAAGAGCTTTATAGGCAGTGAGTAGGTTTGTGGGTGGTCAGAGCCAAGAAGAGAGACAATGGTCGTCTTGCCCGAGCCATTGGGACCAAACACGCCCCAGCGTTCACCCCGTCGAACAGTCCAAATCAGGCCAGCCTTATCACCTTGAGGCGTCTTCTGTGACCAGTTTCCAAGAGCAATCTTGTCACCATAGCGGACCTGGCAGCCATCCATTTCAACCAGGGGCTCAGCATTTGGATTGACAGGTTGCTGTGAATGAAATGATGCTGAAGTCGAAGCAGACTCTGACTGGCTGTGGCTCTGAGCTGCAGAATCTTTAGATAACACCCTCCCTATATCAGCCAAAGTATGAATAGGCAACTTCTCGTCTTCTGCTAGCCCGCCCACTTTGACCCCTTGAATGTATTTTTTCAGGCCATCCAGCACAACCTCCTTCGGTCCCATTGACTCAACCTGGCAGTCCATTCTCAGATATACCAGGTGTGTAATCCATTCTGGGAGAGGGTCTTGCGGCCTAGCACTCAGCACCAGTCGCGGATTGGCCTTTTCGGCAAGAGACTCTAGTAGCGGACTCAGCCCCGTAACCGTCGGAGGATCCAATCCCATGAATGGCTCATCCAGGAGCAAAACTTCAGGTCTCGTCAGCAGCGCTCGAGCTATCCTTGCCCTCCTGCCCTGACCATTGCTCAGGAACGTCACAGGCAAATCAAGCAGGTAATCCAGCCGAAGGTCCTTGACGACGCGCTTCAGTAGCTCAGCCGATATCCCGCCCTCTTCTTGGCTCTCCTGATCCGGGGACTTGGCGGGGTTCAGCTCGGTATTGCCCAGCAGAAAGTCTCTGAGCGAGAAATCAGTAATCTCCCTGCGAGACTCATACCGTGCAGCAAGATACGCCGATGTCGTCGCTGCGCCGCCCAACCCTCCGGCCGCCTGCTCAGCATCAAATCCAACATACTGAATCGCCTTGTTGGGGGTTCTCAATCTCGAAGACACTGCATCTGATGACAGATATGGGTACGACCTCGCCGTGGGGGGCTCACAGAGCAACCTTCCTCTCAGAGCTTGCAAGAAGGTCGTCTTTCCGGACAAAGAAGGTCCCACGATGCACCAATTGTGCGGCTCTGGGGATGACGAAGGCAGCTCAAACTCGAGATTTTTGAACAGAGCGGGATTAGCGTGTGATGATGATTGCGAATTCGGGTGCTGCCTGTAGAAAGTGCCATTGGCGATGCGAACGATGGGCGATCGCGCCGATGGCGGGATATTCCTGATCATGGCTCTAATCTATAATGAGGACAAGATTGAATATTGAATCATGTAATTGAAGACGAGCTCAGATCAGACACGTCAAGCGAGAATAGGCAGGCAGGCAGGCAAGCAGGCACTTTACGAATCCAATTGAATGGCCATAAGACAGCCCAAATGGAGGTAAACAACACAAACAGATCACAAATCAGAAAAAAAAAAAGAAAAAGAGACAATCGTATTCCAACGACGCTGTCATGCAGTGAATTGATGTTGACACCGGCCGTCTCCGCGATCGGTCTAGGGTATTTGGCAGCGGATTGGATGGAGCATCTCGACTCCAGCAAGTGGGGCAGAGGCCGAAAAAGGTACGTACCCTCCTCCACAGCAAGCACCAGTACTGTATCAGCGCTTCAGTGGACGCGAGGCTGCTGGGAGCCTGTAGCTTGGGAGTTAGGTTAGGTAAGGCGCCTGGAGCCAAAGGCAGCTCTGCGTTCCGTCATCACCATCAACCTCAACGACAAGCTCTCCCTTTCAGTCTCTCTGCACCATCTCGTCGTCTTTTGGTGCAGATCAATCGCTGACGCAAGATTCGATCATCTCTTTCCTGTCCCGCACCAGCTACATCGAGCGCTCCCTCTCATCTCCAACCCCCACCCAGTGAGGCAGCCAATCCTCTGAGAACTCGCCCATCATGGTAGGAAACCAGCTTCCTCTCCAAGCTCCCTTCTTCATGTCTTCCAGCTAACCATTCTCCCCCCCTCGTTGTTAGTCTATGCGAATCGTCCCCGCCTCCCAGGCACCCACAACCTTCTCTCACGCCGCCTCCTCCTCGGCCCCCTCAGCGCCCGGAATCCACGACACTCTCCGCCACGGTGTCGGCATCTCGCCCTTTGACGCTGCCTCCAACAAGCCAGTCTCGGCACACCCATTGGAGGCTCGCCTCAAGAACTGGGAGGCCACCCAGGAGGCCGTCCGCATGGAGTCCCTCAAGCGCACCTTTGGCATCGCCGAGCCCATCCGCCGGGGCATGGAGCTTAAGATTGTCCGCGAAGGCGAGTGGCGGCCCATGGCTCTCGGAGGGGGCCTTCCCAGCGTCCACGAGGATATCTTGAGAGGGAGAGAGGACACGATTACCTGGGAGGACGTCTTTACTGGTGAAGAGTCGCGGGCGCTGCCAGGTATCCATGATGAGATGGAAAAGAAGCTGAAGATTAACTGAATGGGGAGGCGTGGCTAGCGATATAGGAGGGTAATAGAAAAGGAAATCAAGCTATTCAAGTCTTATGTGTATGCCCGGTCTGGAAAAGAGACAGGCATGACGGTTTGTGAGACTATATCAGGATTTTACATCCCGATTTGCATGGTATAAACGAGCAGTCCCCAGAAAGAACAAAGAAATACAGAATCAATAAAAAGATCAGCATCGCTACTATTCTTATAGCATCAATAATATCGATACCTGTGGTCGCATCTGCTTGGTGCCAAAATAGGAGTGTAATATGTGCTGCATTTCTATCCTGTAATGGCAACATCCCCATTCTGGGGACGGGGTCCTTCTGAAATTATGAAAGATATAAGGAGCGTAAAAAGAACCGAAACAGAGGCTACAATTGTACATGAATCAATAATGTAATGATACGCCGGTAATGATCCCCGATTTTCCCAAATTCTTCCGCGTCTTGAATTCCCATCGCGCTGCTTCCCAGAGTGGCTAAACGAAAACGAAAATGAAAGTAACAAAACACAAAACACATAGTAAAAGGGAAATACTCTCAAGACAGAATAATAATAATAAAAAAAAATCCTCTCCTCCAAAGCAGCTTGTAGAAACGGAATATTAATGTCAAAAAGACACACCGAGCTGTTCTTGCGCCCAGCTGTATCTGAACTAGTGAATGCTTTCGAGCAAGCCAGATTGCCATTCAGAAACCACTCAAGCATCGTAGTACGCCCATCTCAGCGGCGAAGGTCTATGCAAACACATCTTTGCAATTGTCCGATCATATGTATGGCCGTCGTAGGCTAATCAAGAAAATGGCACAGAGGGACGAGATGGCACGTGGGTTCGCACCACTGCTGGAATCGCTTTATAAAATGATGCAGCAACGTCCCTCCCTTGCGCCATCCCCATCTGTGGCGCCCGCAGGGAGGCTCTTGCTCCCGGACTTGGGTTCCTCCTCATCAAGATCCTGGGGCCGGATGCTCATGTGTACCACATTGGGGCTATCAGGGCTAAATTGATACTCTACATGCAGTGTGAGCGGCGGAACAGGAATAATCGACAAATCAAATAGAGAAGAGAGAAGAGCCTGTTGTGAAGAAGACAAACCGGAAAAAAGATAGGGAAAAAGGAATAGAATGGGGGCTATGCTTACTCTTTAGCTGCTCCTTATCATCTAATAATTTGCCAAAGTGAATCAGCCTTATGCTGCTGGGGCTGGCGGGCTTGGCCTCCCAGTCAGATCTCCATTCCCGCAAAATCAGTTCCTTCAAGGTGTAGATGCTGATGCTGAATGGATCAGGGTTGCTGCTCTCGTCCTTATCCGGCATGGCGACGTGTCTCCTGCTAAGATACTTGGCATCAATCTTGTACGGATGTCGGCCGCCAGACGCGAGCAACAGAGTAATGTTGCAAACAGGGCCATCGGCTCCGCCAGAACCAGCGGCCTTAATCTCTTCCTCTGCCGGACCAATAGCCATAGCTGACTCCTCGTGCTTGTCCTCCTTGGGTTTTTCTTCCTTGGGCTTCTCTTCTTTGGAGGACTCGTCCTTGGGAGCGTCTTGCTTAGGGGCGTCCTGCTTAGGAGTGTCTTCCTGAGTGACATCTTCCTTGGTCGTGGCTATCGGCTCAGGAGCGTCGGCTACTTCCTTGCCTTTTGACGATGAAGCCGCAGCAGGTGTTTCGCCATCGTCGGTAGATACAGGGTTGGTCGATGTCGTCGCGACAGCGGGAGCGTCCTTGGCCGCGTTGGTAGTCGCCACGTCGCTGGGTTTATCGCCTGCCTCAGGCGTCTGAGGGATATTCTTCATCTGCACAGCATCTGTAGGTTGTTCGAGGCCCGAGTCGTTGCCAGGAGCAGCGCTGCCACCGCTCATGGTAGAATCTGCAGCAGCCGACATGTTTCAGTTGGGGGAAAACGCTGTAGCAAAGCGATGTGAGGAATGCGGGATCGGTGCAGCAGCACCAAAGGGGTTGGCGAATCTCGACAAAGGAGCGTATCACACGGTTCAATTCATCCGCGGTAAGAAGAGCGCGTAAAAAAAGAGGCGGCGCTGGCTTGGTAACGAGCGTTTTCAATGCTGTAAAGTGGGTTCAACAGTCTCGGTTAGAGACTGGCTGCGTAGGGGAGATAATAGATAGATGGATGTCAAAGGGAAAAAGGATGGAAAAAAGGCACCGCTGGGACAAAACACCCAGTGAACCTTGGCAGATCAAATCAACGAACCGGCTCAGCGACCAGCCCAGATTTCAAGCTCCGGGGACACGGGGGGTGTGGGGGGGGAGGAAACGAAGAGCGGGACCTCCGACTAGAATGCAAAGCGAACGAGCGATGAATGCGCTAGCTAGACGAAATCAAAGCGCTGCTGAACATCAAGAGAAGTGCTGTTTTTGGGAAGCCTTGCCCGATGCAGACGAAAAAGCGCACGCCTCACGGGAGGATGGAGAGGCTGGTGTGGAAATGAAGCGCCCTGCTTCTTGTAAGCCTCATTCAATTTTTCTCTCCCTTTTTTCCCTTCAGCTGCGCCGGATGCCGAGACAAGGGTTAGGAAAAGAAGGGCAAAAAAAGTTCAAATAGAGCAAATGGGCACCAGCCGCGGTTACGAGAGCAAGCCAATGAGTACGGCACTTCGTGTTCCTAGGTAATCAGACCCCTGTTGGTGTAGCGCCAACAAGACACACCACTGGCCGCATGGAGACACACAGACGTATGCGGTGGCGCGGGGAACCAGGTAGTGGTCCGGTGCTCCGAGTGAGTAATGAATGATGGAGGCTGCTCTGAGGTGGTGATGCTGCTGTTGGAATGGAAGTCTGGAGAGCAATAAAAGATGAAGTGATTCTGCCGCCAAGTCGGTGAGAGGCTGAGGTTGATGAGACGACGAGGCAGGTACGGAGGAATATGCCTGAGATTTTCCCTTCCGAGGACCTGCAACATGCAGCGGATGGGCCCAATTAACAACAATGGCTACTTATCAAACAAGCAACAGAGTCCAACGGCTGAGGAACAGCCAGCGGGCGGCAGCAGATCCGAATCTGCAACTAACACGAGAACCGGTGGTCAGGGAGATATACCGAACCAGATCCGAGCTGCCAGGAATCCAGCACTTTTCGTTTGTTTGCCACCTATTCGCCTGCTCTCTGCTCTCTATTTTACCGGACACAAGTAGGATCGAGGCACAGACGGTACGATTAAGACCTGGAGCGGAGTTGAACCGGATTTCGGGATGCAGGTGGGTATCCTTATGTGCAAACTAGATGATGCTGGGACAATTTCTATTAGGTACCGAGTCCCACGGGAAATAGTAGTTGCACAACGTTCGAATCGCACCATACGGAGTATGCAAGCCCCTTAACAAATGTTGGCGGCGCACGAGACTCACACACCAAGTTGCTGCGATTGGGTAGTATTTCATACTTCATATACTAATACGTACCTGCTAGTACAGGCAAATGCCTGGCATACTTGTACAGACAGACAGATGATGATCAAACCTGCATCTGGACCGGCCGGCTCTCATCCGGCATTGCTAGTCTGGTGGATTTATGTACAACTATTGGCGGCTAGTGGCTCGTCTTGCAGCAACAACACTTCATACTGACGCACTCGCTTATACTGTAGTCGAGCTTTAGGCCCCAGACAAGCGCTCATATCCGCCTTGTCTTCCTGCATGAGCAGCTTCTTCCAGCGCCAGCCAACACAATTACTTTGACCTTGCTAAGCCGGGGAGGCCTTGCCGTCTCAGGCCAGCCTATCAAGCGATGCAAGGACGGCATTTGAACCTGGTCAATATAAATAAAGAATACGGATGCCTCTGGTTTAGAAATTAAGACTAAATACAACGAAACAGGGCGATATCACCTCAGCTCTTCTCATCGTTTGAGATGACGGGGGGTTTCATCTGTTTGATATCGACGAGATAAACCTAGCCTACATACGGAGTACGGAGTCACCGTAATACTCGACGCACTGCGTAGATGCCTGGCAGCAGCAATTCCGTAACGTGGGATGCACGGGGCAACGGGCACAATTCTGCTCTAGCCGAATAGCTACCAAGTCGGCTTTGCGACTGTTTACCAGCGCTTTCACCCAGGCAAATCGCCGACCAGGCGGCGATGGACATTGAAACACACCATGCCTAGTGCCTTGAAATCATCTTACCAGAGGCCGCGCTACGTTGGCGCCCTTGCTAGGCGCCAATTCTCCCGTTATCTACTCCGTACTCGGTCGATGCTACAGGCAGGTAATACAAGCTTCTTACCGATATGATCTCCAGCCGGCGCCACCTCAGCGCCAACGCCAACAAAGCATGCCCGTTCACACCATACCAGGAACATCTATTGCCAGGTCTAAGCTCATTCTAAGCCACCCTCAGCATCGCTTGTCTGACAGGCACATAAACTCTAAAAAGAAAATTCAGCTACGAGCACTCCGTGTGTCAAATCCTGATACTAATCGGCCCTCGGGATAGGGGCACCAAAAAAAGAGACGAAGAAAACGTCTATACTTGGTGCTTCGTACAACGTAGTATTGGTCAAACTGCCTGCAATCTCCGTTCAAAGAGCTTCAAAATGAGCCAGCTCCGCCCACTGCCGTCGCTCCCGAGTCACAATGTACCCACAAGGCTCAGGCCCCTGTGCCAAAAATACTACATTATACAGGCAAAGTCAGAATTGGGTGTTGATAAAAGGAAGGAAACCGGAACGTGAGAAGACGCCCCAGCTCGTCTGTGATGGTTAAGCGAGAAACTTTATGGATTTATTGAATCAAACTCGCGCAAGTCTGCCCATCTTCATTTCGAGCGAGGGAATATTAACAGCTGCTACTACGAGGGAAATTGCATTGTTGTTCTCGCTGAATCCTGCCACACTTTATTTCTCTGTGTAAGCTGACACGTACATTTGCCTATTAAATCTACCACGCAAAGTTGGCATCTTCCCCCTTTTGGGCCCCAGGGATTTTCTCCCAGCGAGTGATTCCCAAATTCAATCGTTCTAAAAAAAAATTAAGGTAAGTGACAGTCAAGAATGACAAGATACATCGTACAAAATACGAAGTACACGTAAATATGCACGCTCTAGCAGCCCTACAGCCCAAACCTCAACAAGCAGCATGGTATGCAGATGGATATGATACGAGTTTTGAGTCCCGCAAATGACCCATACAAATTGAATCGAATCGCCAAGCTTCTGCTACCTACTAGGCCTACTATTACATACTACTCAAGGGGCCCCTCTTCTTTCTCGCTCGCTTCCCCACACAGAACAGGAATGCTGTGCATCTTATTCCCTTTCTACTGCTCCACAAGGCGTGCAATAATAAACGCAGCCCGCTTGCCTGCGATATAAACGACCTTGATGGATGAGTGGATTTTCTAAGCCTGCTGATGGTACGATTTTCGGAGGATTTAGTCCACATCTCCCTGACCTGGTCGCACAGCAAATGTTATGGGTGTTGTGGTAATTCGTTCAGCATAAACCATTCGCAAGCATCAATATCATATTATATATATATTCATACTATTTGTGGTAAAAGATATTTAGAAAACGTAGGGATATTAAAAGTTACATCCTGGACCAAAATCATACAACGCTGCTCCTAACAAGCACGTACATGGTGATAAGTGACGAAACATCAAGCTTCATCTCATTCCCTCTCCAGTCTTCGTTCATTGCCTCATGTTCTTCCTGTCCGTCCACCTCGTCATGTTCTTCAGGTTACAAGGCCAGCAAGTCGCCGTTGCCATCGCCATGAGCCGGCTGCAGCACAGCCTGCGGCGCAAGGGCGTTCACCACATAGCCTGTTCCCCCGCCTCCTCCAAAGCCGTCGTCCCCGCCGTCTATTCTCATCGCCGCCATCTGCTGCGTTCCGATGCTAGAGAAGTATGCGTCCGCGTCGCTGACTGCCTGTGCCAAGTTGGGTGCTCCGTTTGTAGTAGGAGAAGCAACGGCGTTGCGCGTCCTGAGATCGATATTCGTGGGCTGGCTGCCGTTGCCGAACATGCTGATGCTCTTCTGGTTGTCAATGTTGTTGGCAAGATGCTGCTTCTGCAGTGCCGGGGAATCAATCAATTTTCGTGGCCTAGCAGAGCGGAACACGGACTGCACTGGCTTGAGATAGACTGTGGCCAGGGTGCCGACGTTGAGGCACATTTCTTCCAGCGTTGACGACTCCAGCCGTTCCGACTCGGCCGTAATTGGAGGCTTCTCTCCCATGACGATACTCTTTGCTACGTTCATGTCGGTTGATAGCAGTCGCCAGTACATGTAGGCTCGATCACGCAAATCGGGATTATCCGTTTCTTCTGTGGCCCACTTCAGGACCTTGGGTACCAGCTCCTGGCCCTTGGTTGGTCTCTGGATGAAAAGCTTGACTGTTGCGGTAAGAAGTGCCAGCTGAACCTCTACAGGCTCATCTTGGAATGAGTATAGGAAATCCTCCAGCAGGGCGTCGCTGTTTTCAATACGGTCCGCATACTGTCCAATGACCCAAATCATGGCAGCCTTGGCCTCTGGCTCATCAAGGGAATCCAGATGCTCGCAAAGCGTGCCGATAATTGATTCATACTGGTTTGGATATTTGCGGAAGATGTTTCGGATCACTACTGTAGCCTCCTGGACGATATATGTGACCTTGGTGGCAACTAGCTCCAAGAGCAGATCGATGCATCGTCGAGCGGCCGGCTCGATCTTGATGGCGAGCTTGCCGATTGCGCGAACAGCTTTCCGTACGAAATGCACGTCAATTTCCGTAGCATATTCTCTCAACTCAGTGAGAACCTCATCAATATTCTTCTCGTTGGCCAGCATGAAGATCAGTTCCAGCTTGGTGACCTTTACGTAAATGGGATCGTTGTATTTGCAGAAAAAGACTCGGATATCGTTTCGTAGCACCTCGGGCCGTTTTTGCAGAATGAGAAGAGCGTTTCTTAGGGCGAGGTATTGCACCTCGGAGCCCTTTGCTAACAGCGTAACGAGGGGCGGGGAAAGCTTCTTGCATAGTGCCGAAATCTGCTTCTGGTCGGCGATATAGTTCATCAAGTACAGAATCACACGAATGCAGGTCAGGACGACTGATGAGTTGGAGTGAGAAAGTCGTGGGGCGATTCGTTCGGCCAGCAGTGAGGCTTCGCCCGATTCTTGAGGAACATAGGACATGAGTGCCTCTAGGATATATGTCTGACCCCATCTGATGGACAGTTAGCAAAATCCATACAAGTATCAAGTGCTCTTCGCTAAAATAGTAGACTCACTCAGAACAGTCAGGCAGGATGGCAACCATTTTTGAGGCATTGGTGTAATCAATAGTCAGCTTAATAGCGTCACTCCTCTCCCAAATGTCCATCAAGCCTGCCAGTGCGCTGGCAACAACAGTGGGGTTGTCGTCCCTGAGGAGAGAGTTGAGACGATCGATGAGGTCTGATTGCTCGACCATGTGTCTGTCGTGATCATAGAGCTTCGCAACACAGAATGCGGCCGTCTTTCGAACGTATGGGTCGGAGTCTCTCAACATAAGTTTAACTAGAGGAACCGTGGCAGCGACGAACTCGCGCACGTGGATATATGATATCGTCCGTAGAGCGAGTGCTCGTACTAGCGGGTTGGGGTCTTCGATATCCTGAGTCCACCAGTTAGCTCACTGTTGTGATACATGATGAGCTTGAGATACTGTCGCTGAACTCACATGCTCCAATATAGGAATCGCATTAACTGCAATCTCTGGTCGAACTCGCGCATAGTTCACCAAGTATAGAAAGCACCTATCAAGGCAGGAGTGTTAATATCGACTTTCACGTTCCAACAGTATATGTTCTGACGTGGGCCATACATCTTCTTAATCTCCAAGCTCGAAATGTTCATACATCCGATAATGTCGGGAAACAGCGCAACCATATCGTTGTTGCTCATCGTCATGTTGGCGACAATGCGCTTGAGCGCAATCTTCTTGGTCGCATAGTTCTTGTCTTTCTTCCCACCGCTGTTCAGCTCGAGACGCAGCTCGGCGACTTTGCCCTGCCTTGATCTTAGCTTATCGAGAGTAATATTTGGCATGTAAATGAATCCGAGTGGGAGGGCCATCATGTTATGAATCGCGCAGCTGCGCAAAAGTAAATAGTCATTGCTGGGGCGAGCGAGGAAAGATTATCGTAGAGCGCAGCTATCGCAATCTCTTATGAAGAGCGAGATCGCGATAAAAGCATTCGTCACTGTCGTCGCTGCCGCTAGGTGGGTATTCTAGCAGCAGTAAAGCATAGAAATCATCCAAGACCCAAGTACAGGCGGCAAGTCACAGTAACGATGCGCATAGAGTCGCGCGCACGAGGGGGAGTGGGCTATATGGGCAAAATAAAAGAAAGCAAGGCGTAGATAGCAACAGTATCATGGAAAAGACGCAAGATGGAGACGGGAGAGAAAAGCAAAAGAGAGACGAGAGCTTACCCGAGCGAACAGCTTGGAGTCCCCTCCACCAACGTTGCCAGACATGGTGCCAGCAGCTACGAATCACGTCGTCCTCCTCCCCCGCAGAATCGATGCAGCGCGGCCTGGTCTAGTCTGCTTCAGACAATCTTGTAAGTAGTATCGCTGCTTCTGTAGCGGGAATGTCGTCACGCGCCGTTGGCACCCCTTGTTGAGATTTAGAGGGCCTCCCAGGTCCAGGCACAGGCAAGCAAAATGCGGGTTGGTGCTGCAGCCAAAGCGAGAAGCGCCCGAATTCCGTTTCGCTTTAGACAAAGCCTTGTCGATAAATGCGCTGGCCGAATCGCCTAAATTGCTCGTGAAACCAATGGCGCTCTGCAAGACGCTTCACACCCACCACCTGTTTCTTAAAACAACGCAAGGCTATGTATGTGTCCAGGGGAGAAACTCGCACGCCGTCACATGTATCTTCGTTTCCGTTTAAAAAAGAAGGCAAGGCTGACCAATCGATGCCGAAACGCGCCAGCTTCTTCGCTCCGGGATTTGCCTTGTGTGTCTGAGCGTCTCGCGGGTCGTGCGTCGAGGGGGGAACAGAATTGGAGGTCGGAGGCGTGAGGGAGAGGGTTTCCGGACCCGAAGACGGTCAAAAAGAAGAAAGAAAGACAAGGCCGAAACTCGCAGTCGCTATTCTTTTGCGGCTTCGAGAAGCTGCGGAAGATGCAATGTGGAAAAAGGGAAAAAAGGAGGACACGCGCCGCCGGCAGGGTCGGTATGCAGGAATAGGCCAGAGGCCCAGGCCTTGTATGGCGCACTCCGGGGCTATCGATAAGAGCTAATTAGGCGCTGTGGATGTTGGCGACCCACCAGCAATTCAGTGACAAAGTAGCAACACAACAGCTATTCCGGGACCTTGCCTTACGCAATATCAATTGCGGCGAATCCAGCCAACAACGAGAGTCGAACCGCGTTTCGCGCAGCCGAGGATCCTGCATTAAGTCGAGTACGGCCAGTTCATCAATCGATTTCATAGCAACACTGACGACATGGCTGCCGCTCAAGAGCCTCCCGTGCCTTACTGGGTCGCCCAGCTCGACTCCCCTCCCGCGGCAAAGTCCAAGGTCAACGGCATCATCGACCCTCCAGGCTTCTCTACGGCGCCCAGCAGCGCCCCCAAGGTTCGTTCATTTTGTTCACTGACACACACAAAACAACATGAAGCATATAAAACAAAGGAGCAAGGAAAAAGAAAAGAAGGAAAGAAAGCTGATGTCAGATCCCACAGAAAGGCAAAGACGTCAAAGCCCAGCCCCGAAAGCCTCCCTCCGCCGAGGAGAGAGACACGCTCAAAGTGAAGAAGGCCTGGGAGGTCGCCCTCGCCCCCGTCAAGGGCCTCCCCATGACCGCCATTATGATGTACATGTCCGGCAACTCGCTGCAGATCTTCAGCATCATGATGGTCTTCATGGCCTTCAAGAACCCCATCGTCGGCCTGATGAGCACGAACCAGGCCTTTGAGCGCTTCCAGACCGACAGCAACTCAGGCCAGATCCTGCAGACCAAGCTAGTGTATGTGGCGATGCAATTCTTGGCGTTGGCGGTGGGTGTGTGGAAGATTAACTCGATGGGTCTATTACCGTAAGTCGAAAAGGCTTTTTCTGCCACCCATGTTATTTTCTTTCTCTTTCTTCTTACTAACACGCAATAGCACGACACGGTCTGACTGGATGATGTGGGAGTCTCTGAGAGAGCCTGTAGAGCACGCAATTCTAGCTTTGTGAATTAATGGAATTATCTAAAATTAATAGTGTAGTACGATAATGACGACTTTGATGAGTATCATGTGCTATGGACGGATCTACTGTCCGGGAACAAACGCCGCTGCTATGCAATTGAAAAAGCGATATAACGCTATGCCTGTAAGCAGATGTATGTAGAGTGTGAAGGGGGAATTTAAAAAAAAAAAAAAAAAGAACAGAGCAAGAAAATATAAAAAGAGAAAACCATGTCATGTCATCGTAAAGGCCATTATTTTCATTTGGCCTCTGCCGGTCCCGACCTTCCCTGTCCGTTTTGAGTGCTGTTTTTCCTCTGCAACTTCTCTGCCCTCCAGCGAGGACCTTGCTTTTCAATGAATCTGAGCCAGGGCAAGCATGCGACCATGAGTAGTGCAAGAAACGTAAAGCACCAGCCTCGGCCCATGGCATCAATCATGTAATCTACGACGGCGGTGGCCGCAGCGCCAAATAAACAGCGGACAAGATTGTTTGCTGCTGCTGCCGTAGCTGTTGAACCGGGATATAGATCAACAATGAGTGTGTTGAGAATGCTGAAAGTGCTTGGGACTAGCATGCCAATCAAAAACACAAGGACGAGCGGAGCAGCTACGCTCGTTTCTGCCTGCAAGGCCCAGCCATAGCCAATGACAGCGGCGGCACCAAGCAACAATGAAGGGTAGATGGGCTGAATGCGTGCCGACTCGATGGGAAAGTCCCCAATCTCGTTCCGGCGCCCATGGCTTGGGTCTACCCCCAACTTCTTTGCGATGCGGCGGTAATTCCAATCCACTACATATCCTTGCAAAACAACTGTCAAACAGCACCCCAGACCGTATGGTAAGAAGCATAACCCAACTTCTAATTCTCCAAAGTTGTATATTGCAGCAAATTCAGTCGATAACGTGGCGGCAACCAGGATGAAATTGACGTAAATGACGGCCGCAATCAGCAGGACTTGGCTCATCTCTTTGTCAAACGCAATGGCCAGGGTACCTAGAGGATTGGGAAACCGCATTTTTCTCTTGGGCCCCGGTTCTGGCACATCTCCAGTCTTCCTTCTCCTCAGAAACTCCACCAAAGTAATGTTCCAAGACTGAGGAGTGATGGAGCCGTTTCCAACCACGTTTCGACACATTTCGGGCACGGTAGCAACCCATGGAACCAGCCACACCACGACAAAGATGGCACAGAACCAGAAGATGGACGGCCATCCCAAGTATTGACTTAAAAGACCTCCTATCACCGGGCCAATCGCGGGTCCAATATTGGCTCCAACGCTGACAAAGCCCATATACTTTCCCCTCTCAGCGGTCGGTGTGATGTCTGCAATCACGGCATACGAGAGCGCAAGCGTACCGCTGCTCCCTGCCGACTGAACACATCGCAGTACGAGCAGGGCAGCATAGTTGCGTTGCAAGGCGAGACCAATGTTGGCACAGAGATAGATGATGAAGGCAACGGTGAAAGCGGGTCGGCGGCCCGCCATGTCGCCGAAGTCACCAAATATCGTCGGTGAGAGCCCCTGGAATATCATGTAAGACGTCAGGGTGAAGTTGATGAGTGAAATGGAAACGTTGAGCTCCTCGGCCAAGGCGTCCAGTGCCGGAAAGTAGATGTGTGCTGTCATTGGCGAGACAACACTGGCCACAGTCGCCATGAAGGTGATCCATATCTTCATGCGGCGAGAAAAGATGCTGTATGGCTCGCCGGTCGCAGGTCCAGGGCCCTGTTCGACATCGTTCACGACAGGCTCGCCCCGAGATTGGGACGTCAGCAGCTCTATTGCAACGGTCTGGTCCGTGTTTTGGTCTCCTAGAGACTCAGAGTCCGACTCGCCCTTCACCGGCGATGAGATCTCGTCTGTCTCTTTGTCAACCCGGGTTGTCGTTTCATCCTGCTTCATGACGACGCATGCGCGTTGCCTACGAATTATAGCAAGGGAGCAGTCGTCGAGGCGAGTGGCGGATGTCGATGGTGAAGGGTCGAAAATCAAAAATCAAAAAACAAAAGGGAGCGAAGGAAGAGGAGCAGATGCTCCCAGCTTCGGATCGGGTAAGGTAGTAGCGGACGAACACGCCTGTGGACGATCGAACTGCGATTCCCCACAGATTCGGTCGATGCCCGTTATCTACCCCCCCAGAAATGCCGGCGTTGTCTCCCTGCTGTCGATTCTCTCTCGCCGCATGGAAGAGATTGAGCGAGGGATTGATCCTGGGTGTAATCTACTGTAGAGCCAGGAATAATGTATAAATGTTCCGTCAGGACTTTAAGACGCCCCTGCATTCATTCCAATATGGCAAAGAGACGGAAGAAAACCTCGGCTTTCGGGAGGGCCATGGCGTATTACCAGTGTCAGACTGCCAAGTGTCGATATGTACCGGCGTTCTGGACGCTTTATACCGAAGGCATTTAGTCTCTTTATTAATGGTAGCAGTACTGCCCGGCAAACAGTCAGCAAGGGAGGAAAAAACCATGCGGTTTAGTATCGATCCGGCACGCGCCCCTTCCTCCTCGGTCGATGTCCGAACAAAAAGGAAAAAAAAAAGAACGTATAAGATCTCGTTCCATCCGCGAATCACAGCTTTGTAGCCGTTAGTTCCCGCCCACACAACTCAAATGTTGCCTTGGCCTTAGCGTCGATATTCTCCGGTGGCGTGCACCACCGACACGGTTTTTCTCAGCTCAGCATCGCAAATCGCTGGTAACAGGCACGGGCATGGGCACAGGCACGGGCATAAGCTAACGAGGCAAAATCACGGTAATCGAACAAAGAATAGGAGGCTTCGGCTTATCCGTCTTGCCGCCCGTCTGCCTTAGTCTATCCGTCGGCTTTCCTGGAACATGAGGAAGCGCAAGCGAAGCGATATCCGGCAAATGCAAAATGCGGAGCTTAGGCGTTGTGCATATTGGCTGCATATGTCGGCTCAAGGCCGATCTGCAAGCGGCAGCCCAGGTTGCACAGGCGATCAGTGAAAACAGCCTTCTCATTGGGAGCCGTCAAGCCGTGTGTATGCGCTTGAGAGAAGCTGTGCTGCTGCTTGGTAGCCTTGGGCTTGCGTCTTGCCTGCAGTCGCATGAATGGCGCCAAGCTGGTGAGAATCCCTGTAACTGTAACTGCAACTGTAACTGCAACTCATACTCAACAATACCCTGAGCGGACGAGTTCGCGGCCCCAACGCCGCGCCTCGGTTGGCCAAACGGTTGGTCCCTGAGTCGTAAAATCATAGTCTATGAAGTCAAAAGTCGACGGAAATAGCCCGGGCCATGCAATGTTGTGGATACAGTTCTCGAGTAGATCAGAAACTAGCAGCGTTGGCAACTTGTGGCTTTGTGGAAGTATTTTGAGTCGGCAAGTGGATAGGAGGATGACTAAGCACCAGCGCAGCTGCCAGAAGCTAACACAATACGTAGCTCTAAAACCAGCGGACTGAGCTGGCCGGCCGAATGACGTGTGTGCAACAACTTATCTGGTCGCCATAAGATTTTACCAGCGGCGATTGAATATTGTCATATAAAAGACGGTAGAGATGGATAGGTCGAGCGTCCATGTATCGTCGGCGGTGAACATCACATCGCAGTTCAATGAACTTCTTGTGAAGCACAGCGCTCCACCAGTCGTGAACAAGGTCTCGCTGGATGATATTGATAGCTTCCTCAAGGAAGCATACCGCATCGTCCGTCTTCTTGGCCAATTACACATGCTTTTTGAGGAACCCATTCTAACTCTCTTGTAGAACTCGCACATTGTTAGCCTGCACCGACAGCTTCAAGATGTGCGGCAAGCATACCTATCCACGGCGCAGCCTCGCCGATCGCAGGCTCGATTCGCCCAGAACCAGCCGCGAGTATTGTCCGACCGAGAACGAGAGGAAATCGACGCCAACGCCAAGCAGATGATACGAGAGCTTAACGCCAGCATAAGGTCGCTGGATGAAGCCGAACAGCTTCGCCGAGATACGGAAGCGGCGATTATTCGCAAGAAATACACAAAAGGGCTTGGCGCACTCGGCTCATGGGCATCTGGCGGCATTGCCAGCAGCAAGTCTGCGGAGCATGCTGCGGCGGAAGATCAAGCCCAGCAGCTGGGCGGCTACCGAGACGGGGTGGTGTGGTTCCTACGCCAGCGGCTGGAGCTGTGCTGTCGGACGCAGCAAGACATGATGGAAACACGGTTGCGTCGAGAGCTGGAGAAGAGCCGCAGCATGCTGCCAATTGGAGACGTTGCAGAGTTTGTCCCGGCGGCTCACAAACCACATCGGCAGACTTCGGGTGGCGCCTTCGAGCCTGGAGCCGAAGAACCATCACCCGCTGCGTTTACGGAGGGCTTGACCGAGGAGCAAGTCCAAATGTTTGAGGAGGGCAACCAGAGCATGATGGAGCATTACGAGAGCACATTGGATAAAGTGAGGTAGGTTATGATTTTCCTTGCAAACACAGCAAAACGACCTGGATGGGGCAAGTTCAAAATTTCCAAATTGCTAACATAATGATGCATTATAGGACGGCGGAGAAGTCGCTATTGGAGATTTCAGAACTCCAGACACTGCTGGTTAACAACCTGTCGGCGCAATCCGAAAACATTGAGCTGCTCGTGTCTGATTCGGCGTCGATGGCGGATAATGTCGGCGGAGGAAACAGACAGCTGAAAAAGGCCACTCAACGGCCGAGCACGGCGCGGTATACGTTTTTTGCAGCAAGCGGTCTATGTGCGTTCTTGATTCTTTGGGACCTAATCATATGAAAACCGACCAAAATATCAAGATGGGACATTTATTTCATGATAGCGGAGCATCGAGTAATGAGTAGAATCACTGGTAGAGAGCATCGAGTAGAAATCATACAATGTAAACGCCACCTCTCGTACAATTCTGTCTGGCATGACAAAGAACCGTCTCGTGCCAGCACTACTGCACGCACAATGACCCATGGGGCTGAGTCTAGGGGAAGGACGGCGGCATGTGAAAAGACGGGGAAGAATCAGCGCGGGCCACTTTTCTGCGGGGATTCATGGGATTTTTTTCAGGCCACGAGGGTTAGGGGCCCGTTTGCAGCGACGGTACCTGACTCTCGGATTGACAGAGCCAAGAGCGCCAATGCTGTGGATAGCAGGCCACTTGGAATACCAGGTACTTATGTGTCATTGGATTCAAGGAGAAAGAAAAGGGAGAAATTTCGAATTCGAGCGTGTCCAATCGGGATCGAGCTGCGCCGTGCTAGACTTGGGGTTCGAAAAAGTATCGGCTTGGGATGCACATGAAAAGCGAGCTGATACTCCTTTGAGCGTCGACTTCCATGTGCCCTTGGTGTGATGTTGCGAGCATCGGCTTGTTTCGGGAGGAGGGGAGAAATCCTGCTCATAATCAAGATGCCTGATATTTCCCATAGCATCCATTGTTCCGAGAAATACTACTACTAGTAACTGTTTACCTTGCCTACATAGTATGTACCTATGGAAAGGGGGGCTCATGATGGACAGAGGGAGGTCCCATGACGAAGGCTTTTGGTCATACCTCTAGTATGAAATGTACTTGAGCTTCTGCGCAGGATATACTCGCATGCACCCCAGACGCACGTAGATCAGTCATGTCTCGATATCCAATTTAACGTGTACCGAGTGTGCTTGGACGCCGTAGCAGTCGGCTCTCAGCCCGCACAAGCCGAGGCCTCGGCCAAAAACCAGCCCCATAGCCTGGAACAAGCACATGGCATGGCGATAGATAAAAAGGCCATGAGGCAGTGAACAATTGTGTAAGCCGAGACCCATTTCAACCTTTCTTCCTCTTTATCAAGATACTGCTGTACCACTACCGTTGCCTACTACTACCTACCTAGTACCTACTGCTTATCCCAGCAGCAGTTATTGTTCTGATTGCGCTCTTTTCGCGGAGTTATTACGGGGTATTTACAGCATAGCACCCGACCTGTCTCCTTTGGATCCGGCCCGTCTTGGACGTATTACATGACCACTGCTGTCAAATTCGCAGACAAGGTGTGTATGATGCATGCATGCAAGTTGGCAGCGCTGCCTGTTGCTTCTCTTCCCATTGTCCGCTCCGCTTCCCCGAAGTCAATGGCTGTTCAGGGGGGGCTTTGACGGAACGAGCGCCGTTCTGCATTGCTATGAGTGAGCTAGGAGTTGGGACTGTTTGCTGACTGCATCGCGGCCCAAAGATTCCTTCAGCGCTGCTACAGTATTCGCCACAGGAAGAGACCATTAGAGTCAATATTGCCATTATTGCGAGCGGCGGCAAAGACACCTGCCAAGCCCCTGAAAACAGCTCTCCCCGGAATTCAGAGCTTCGAGCCCTTCCAGCTTTCTGCGCTGAGCCTCGCCCCCGGCCCCATCGGCTCCGTCTCGTCTCGCATTTTCGAGCTGCCCAAGGGATTTTTAGGTCTGGTGACGTGCATCGGCGGGTCACAGCAGGCGTTCGAATAGCAGGCAGCTAAAGCAGGCGTATAGCGGCCACAGCGGATCCTCCGGTTCCCTCCAGGCGCCTCTAGGCCCCAAGTCCCTCCCCCGCGACCCGTCACAGGCTCTCCGTAACGGAGCACGCTGCATTTAGCCGTCACCCCACCGGGACCGCATCAGGCCATTTGCGTGCTGCGTGTGGCATTTCGACAGCCTGAGAGCAGCGCATTTATCTACAATCGAACATCCCGCCGTCTGCGCCATGGCTCCTCCATCATCATCATCATCACCGCAACCCCCATCTTCTTCCGCCTCCCTCGCGCGCATCAACAACATTGCGAGCCACATCTCCCCCGCAATGGCCTTCACAACCAGCTTCCCGGCCGACACGGTGCCGCAGGCGCCAGAGGATCCTCTCTTTGGCCTTGCCCGCGCCTACAGGGCTGACAACAGCCCGCTCAAGGTTGACCTGGTATGTCTGCGACATTTCCCCCTCCCTCTGTGTTGCTTGGAGCGGTTTGCCATGCCCATTTGCCTCTGCCCGTCGCTGTGACTCGACGACTCTGCTCTGTTGTTGTAAGCACGGCTGCGACGTCGGAGGCCACCAGCCCACAAATCGCCCAATGCTTTACTAATAGATACGTACGAATGACTGACTGTTTGTTCTTGTTTGCAGGGAATTGGCGCCTACCGAGATGATAATGCCAAGCCTTGGGTTCTTCCCGTGGTCAAAAAGGTATGTTGTCTTTCTTTTCCCTGCCGTCGTCTCATGTACGGAGCTAGGCCCTGCGTTGCCAATGTTAGTTGGCTCGCTTGCGATGCTCCGAATAAGCTCAATTCCCGCAACCGCGATTGGTCCAGGCCAGCTTGCTGCATATCTGCACGAATCCTGTCAGCTACCAAGGCATTGACTGACCCCACTGCGTCATACAACAGGCTGATGAAATTCTCCGAAACAACCCCGAATTGAACCACGAATATGCCCCGATTGCTGGTATCGAGAGCTTCACCAGCAAGGCTGCGGAGCTGATGCTCGGCGCCGACTCCCCCGCGATCCAGGAGCGCCGCACCACGTCAGTGCAGACCATCTCGGGAACTGGTGCCGTCCACATGGGCGCGCTGTTCCTCTCCAAGTTCTACAAGGGTAGCCGGGTCGTATATGTGTCCAATCCCACATGGGCAAACCACCACCAGATCTTCAACAATGTCGGCATTCAAGTCGCCCAGTACCCCTACTGGAACAAGGAGACCCGAGGACTGGATTTTGATGGCATGAAGTCTACCATTGCCGCAGCCCCCGAGGGCTCCATCATCCTGCTCCACCCCTGCGCTCACAACCCAACCGGAGTCGACCCAACACTAGACCAGTGGAAGGAGTTGGCCGTTGTTATCCGAGAGAAGAAGCACTTCCCCTTCTTTGACTGCGCCTACCAAGGCTTTGCCTCTGGCGACCTTGCTCGAGACGCCGCCGCTGTGCGCTACTTTGTCCAGCAAGGATTCGAGCTCGTAGTTGCCCAGAGCTTCGCAAAGAACTTTGGCCTTTACGGAGAGCGAGCTGGCTGCTTCCACGTTGTGACCGCCCCTGCTGCCGACGCTACCACTACCATTACCCGCATTGCATCTCAGCTGGCCATTCTCCAGCGATCAGAAATCTCCAACCCTCCCTTGTATGGTGCCAGAATAGCCAGCACCGTTCTCAATGACGCCGCGCTCTTTGAGGAATGGGAAGGCAACTTGAAGACAATGTCAGGCCGCATCATCGATATGCGCAATGCTCTCCGATCCAAGCTTGAGGAGCTGGGAACCCCAGGAACCTGGAACCACATCACAGATCAGATTGGCATGTTCAGCTTCACCGGTTTATCAGAAGCCCAGGTTCTGAAGCTCCGCGAGGAGTACCACATCTACATGACCAAGAACGGCCGAATCAGCATGGCCGGCCTAAATACACACAACATTGACCACGTGGCCCAGGCCATCAGAAAAGTGGTTGGTGAGACACAATAAAGAAAGACTTGCATGATATTTGACATGGTAGATGGTGGTTCCAAGGACTTATGGCCTGTAATAATCGCGGCCGCTGGCTAGGAATTGGTTTTTGTTCGATTAGGGCTCTACTTTTTTTTCCCCCTCATTTTTTTTTTTTTTTTTTTTTTGGTTGGTCGCGTGGGTATAGATGCCGCTAGACAAATAGTATATATATGAGGCTTTCGAAGCCCTGGGCTTTGTCGTTTGTCAACGATCCAAAATTAACAAGACCGTCCTTGACTCGTGATAATTGAACGTCTACGCAAAGACCCGCTTCCCCGGATAGACATCTCCATAAATTCGATCTCAGTTGGGGCTATTCTTAGCTTGTACAATACCGAATCTCAACGCTCTGTCCTACTAGAGAGTAATGTATTGTTAATTACTATTACTTAGTCTGAAGTATGAATTGTTTGATACATGATTGTAAGACACCGTAATGCCATTTAATATAGTTTCCCTTGGGTATTATACGCCTCAACGCAAAATTGTTTCATTACTTCATCGTGCTGCAATGGAGGAAGCGCTTGAGGGCTAGAGCAACTTGTTTGTAACCAAAGCCCATCCGCAGGCTTCATATTAGACAATTGTTATTGCCAAGCCTAGGCTTTATATGGCAATCAACTCTACCCTCGACTTCATGGAGTACTTTGGCGCCGATTTGGATTTGCGTTGACTAGTCCTAATTGCTCTCTTACATCAATTCTATCTACTTCTCCTGTGTATCCACGCCGTCTCTACTCTGTAACTACTGGCTGACCAAGCGGCTCGCTGATACATACAAAGTCAATCTTCTTATACTAACTACTATAATATCTTTCTTCTAGATGTATGTATTTCATCATACTGCTAAACTACCACAACTAAGAGGAGAGAAATGCAGTACAAAGATGTCAGTAACAGCCATCCTACCGCCAGTTCTTTAAGCCGCCTCCACAGCACAATAGTAGTGCAGATCCCACGTACCCCCGATTTTCACATGAAAATTAAGTGCTGTGCTCCAAGAAGTACAATATCCCCCCCCCCCCCCCCCCTTTTGTGAACCTCAAATGGCTGAAACAAGATTTCAAGGTGTTTCTACATTAATCTACCTATTGGTGTTCCCCCCATCAATGGCCAGCATTAACAACGCGTACCAGTGAATTATTTTTTCACACCCCGCTTCGGTGCCCAACAAGAGCCTTCAATGCTTCACAAAAGCAGCCAATACCAGCACAGAGATGTGCTTTTCACCCGGCTGCAGCCATAGACTCGGACACTATTTTGCGAACCTGCAACTTTGCCTGAAGCCTCCACTTTTTACACTGCATTGAACTGGACTGGACTGAGCCACGTTTGATCAAGGCAATCGCATCACACACTAATGCGTCGGCACTTTTTAAAAAAAACTAGCAAATACGACGGTAGTTGTGATTTGGTATTAGGCAGATGCACGAGGCAGATATGCTACTGGCTTGTCTGAGGTGTTTTAGTGACAGAGATGCAGGCTATTGCATGTGGTTGACGTGTTCCTGAAATCACGATTCTCTACGCAGCAACGACAATACTAATCGAACAAAACGAGGTAATCGGCAAAGACAAGGCAACACCCTATCCTTGCTTTATTACTCAGTCCATTTCTCCACGTAATATCAAAAGTCAGCCACATTTCAAGCAGTAGTCATATCAAGAGGGTACTGGCAGTAGTAATACAATACCCCCAGGGCAATATAATTACACAAACCACCGCCCACATGTCACAACCCCAGCATAAGAGAGGAAAAAAAAGAAAAGAGCATTGATTTCGTAAACCAAGACAAGCAATGTCACAGTGTAATCTCCACAAGTGTAATTCACTGTAGCACTACTGCTGCCAGCTCGGAACATGCATCCGCGCACAGCCTCGCTGTCTCCACAATCTCGGTGTGATGGAAAACCCTGGCTTGTGCATAAATCTAGATTCATCTCCAAAGACGCCCCCAGACATTGAATCAAGTCTAGAATAAAAAAGCAACGAGATCCTTGCTTAAGATAGCCCACGCACAAACTACTAGCCTAGCAGTATACCTAGCCGCAAGTAGGTACAAGCATGTATGCTGTCTGATGCTAATTCTCCCCAAATGCAACGCTCTTCCACACCATCCATGCTCAAAAATTTGTATCCTGATCAAGGATATATGCCACGACCCTCTAATCCAAACAAGGAATACATGGACGATAGGAAAGTCGCAAATATTAGGGGGGGAAGCTCTCCCCTGTAAGCTTCATACACGTATGTACCCCACGTGCGAAGCACTCTACAACACGGGAGTGGTTATTCGCCGAGATTACTTATTGTGCGGCTGAGAATCATTAGGGCCTAGACTAGAAAGCCATAAGCATAAGACTAGGCTTGCAATTACTGTTTCGCTTGGTGCTTAGAATAGCCCAGCCTGGTTTTCTCGAAACTATAGTACATGCATGCACCAACACACGGCCTACACCAACCAACCCCAACTCCTTATAAACGCCGCTCCGAATCCAAGGCAGCAACGCCACGTATCTCCAAGCGGTGAGAGTAAATCAAATTTATGCAAATAGTCTCATCCTGAATGAGAGAAAGAAGCACAAGAATTGGCTAAACGCTGCTCCCCTCCCCTCCATCGACGCCTGATGCTTCCGGTGGGAGAAAGGCTCGATCCCCGCGTGTATTTGGGGGCCATCGAAAGGCTTTGAGTATCGGCACGCCCAACAGGTGTATACGTATTGATGAGTTGGGATAGTTTCAAATCCCCAGATACAAAGATGCGAGAGGAAGTGTTCGGCTCGGAGAAGATGCCATTTCTGAGCCTCTATTGACCCTGAAGCCATTAGCTACTAGTATCTAGCCCGCGAAAGGTTGGGATTTTGGCATCAATTCTCTGAAGATTAAACAGAAATACCAATGTTATATATACTTAGCTGGGCGTACTAGACATCTGCAATAGACCATGAGTTACTTTAGAGATCTGAAAGTACTGCGCCACATCATCGAGGTCAGATACGATGCAACCACTACCATGTATTAGTTGCTACCCTATAATCCCACAATATAAATCCATTACCAAGTTGTCCTCCAATGCTAGTATGCCATATTACAAAATAAATACAAATGAAACTTTTAGATGCCACTGGAAAGCTAGATGCTGTAAAACAAAGAACAATAAGGCGCCATCTGTAGTCCCATATATCCAAACGCGAAAAAGCCATTATCGTAATAACCAATTTTCCCAGACCATCATATAACGTTCAAATTTCTAGTGCCAACCGCGTGATGCAAAGACTCAAACGAATTCGCGCTGGCCAATGTCCTTTCCGCAGGACCACCCTTCTGGTAGTTGATTGATGGCAGAGCAGATCCATTGAAACTGCGCCGGCATCCACACTTCATACATGTTTTTGGTGAAGCGGTACGCCGTCCATTTATCATACCTAGAATCGGTAAATATAAAGGAGGCGATAAGCTGTTGATAGTATTCTGTAGTCTCTCCTAGTATGACCGGATAATGGGCAACAATTTCCGCCTGGCGGTGGTCGTGTGAAATGGAAAAGGCCAGAATTTGGCGGTGTACCTCGGCTTCGCGCTTGACTCCGCGGAACAGGTCAACAACAGCACGCATACCGATTGTCATGTTGTGCACGTTCTGTCGTCGGGTGACCTCGAAGCACCCAATTTCGCACGAAAAGCACGGAAAGAACATATGAGATGTACCCATAATAGGTGACGTTTCGGAAGTGCATCTGTCTTCAAAGAACTCCGTGACCTTGGTGAACTGCAGCTCGGTAAACGCCAGAGCTTTGAAACCAACAGAATAAGAGGGCTGTGGCTGATACTGAAGCAATTGCTGAGAATATGTCCATATTTCGTTTGTAGACTCGCACAAAATGTCCAGCTGCTCATCACCGCGCAAGGCCATGAGTTCGGCCGATGGCGCAATCAAGGGAGTAATGTCGCGAAATATCATCGTCTCGTTTCTGCGCTGAACCCTTATACTAGTGTCGTGAATAACTTCGTCATCAAAGAGAGAGACTCTCGGGGGCAGCTGTTCCCTCTCAAGCAGCTCCTTGCAGAGACCTAAGCTTCCTTCAGCAAGACCCTCTGGGAATTCGCATATAAATGTTTTGTGCTTGTTATACACAAGGCTCCACGAGTGATCTCGGTATTGAACACTTTTGTGCTCCTTGGGCCACCTGTCTTTGGGCAACACAAAGAAGCTAATATCGGTCTCGGGGGCGGGAGACATGTGAGGTGCCCGATCAAATTCACTTGGTGGAGATGGCGAGGCTGAAGTGGATTGATAGGCGGATTCGCTATGAAGTATATCCTCGTCTGCTACATCTTCGTCGTCTGAGTCGAATACGGCATAGAAATTATCTAGAGGAGTTGCTATTTGTGTGGTTACCTCTTCAACGCTGGCTGCTCGAGGACCCGTTTCTTCGCGGTCTGCTTCCTCACGGCCCGCTTCTTCATGCACAGCTTCTACAAGGATAGCCTCTTCAGAGCTTCCTTCCACACGGTTAATCTCTTCGCCAGCAATCGGATCAGTATTGGCCTCGGTAACAGCGGTCTCGACAGTGTCGCGGGAGTCCGATATCTGCTGTCGTTTCCATCCACGATCATCCTCGGAGGTACCGTAAACGGTTGTTGGGCTCTCACGAACTCGCTTTCTGTTATGGGGAAGCTCGGCTGTGGACTCTTCGATGATTGGTGAAAGCGGACGCTTGGGGTAAGGGTGGTATTCTCGGAGAGTGTCGACACCCGTCTCACTGCTTGCCAGCAGTTCTTCTTGCAGAGATTCCATTGAGGCAGTGGGTTCAATATCAAAGCAACAGAAATATCGAAGGAATGGATAAACTTGAAAGCAGCGGTGCTTTGCTTTTAGCGGTAAAGACGATAACAAGAGCGAATAACCACGACATTTTAAGGAAAGGAAGGAACAACGGCCCAAGCAAGCGATTAAAAAGAGCGAAATGGATTCGGCAGCCGCATAGCTGCATGAGTAAGATGTCTCAGCCAAGCAGGAAGCGTAAGCCAACGGAAACTATTTGGTGACACAGACAGGCCGGTCTCTCATCTCTTCCCTTCACTCTTCTCGTCTGTCTTACCAGTCCTTCTTTTCTGTGCTCCGTGTCTCTCTCTTCCTCAAATTTCAGCCCCCTTGGTGAACACATACTAATTTACAGGCTCCGAGCTTGCTCCTTCCCAGTCATGCCGTCATCCATTGCCAGCAAGTACTGGCACCTGCCGCCCAGCAGCGAGCCAAAGCTGCGATACCAAGTACCGGGTACCAGGGAGGGACAAGCAGTAGGAAATACCGGAAATGTCGGTCTAGAGTATGTGCGGCTGGGCAAAAAAGCAAGAGCGGAAGGATTCTGAGCAGGGAAGGGAAAGCTGCTTTGGGGGCAAGAGCAAGCGTGGTTTCCGGTACTGATTGGTTGGGCGGGGCCGGATGCAAAGGCCACGGGCCGGGGGGATCCACTCCCGCACTTGCCGTGTTTTAGTCTGTCCTGCGAAGCACTGCACGGGACAGCGCGCCCCTCCCAACCACGAGTAGTATCTGGCAATGGCACATAAGTAGGTAGGTGTAGGTATATATCCCGTAATAATAGTAGCATCATGGCAAATGGAGCAGCAAGGACTTAGGCAGGCAGCACGGTGAGTGACACAACACCCTGTATCGACCTTGCTGGGGTGGGGGGGCAGAAGGAAGGCGCCGCAACTACATACTACCCAAGTCTAGTAGGGCAGCCACTTCTGAATCCGACTTGCCTCGCATCACACTCGATCACACGACGAGAGCGCCGCAGGAAGCAGTCACCCACCCAGCGGCAAATAGGCGACCTGCATTAGCCCGCCCCTCATGCGGAGTTTCCGGCGCTTTATCTGGGGTTCTGTGCAATATGTACGTACATCAGACCCTGGCTCGAGTTGAGCACCCAACCAACGTGCTTCCTTCCTTGGTCGTGCAGGATACAAGTACACGTTGGTACAGGTGCACTTGGATTCGCAGCGCTTTGACGAGCTCGCTACCTGAGCTGACGGCTGCGCCCCGCAATATCTCGCATGGGAGCCAATCTGATCGTGTTCCGTTGGCTTAGACGAAAGGATCCCAGGATATTTTTGCCTTTTCGCCTGCACTACCTACTAGTGCCCAAGTTCCCAGTCAAGGAGTCGTCTAGGCTTCGTCCTGAATCGATATTGTCTCTTTTCTCGTTCTGCTTAGATTAGCCAATCAGAGACCTGCTGTCTTTCCCTTTCTGGAAAGCCAGCAAGTTCTGTCAGGGTGTCAGTTCCGCTGCCTGCATTTCCGTCGGATACAAGGGTTCAGCACGCACGTCTGTTCACAACCACTTAAAAAGGCAAGCTTATCAGGTTAATGAAAGACACTAATCGTGGTTGGTAAGAATGACAAAACACACACTTTCAGGCAGCAGCAGACCACCTTTCCAAATTCAAATCCCAGCCCTGTTAGCCATCTGGGGAGCTCGCCGGCTCCCACCCATTTCCAATGCCAGAGTACGCAGTCGGCTGACTTTACTAACAATCTGAGCGCCATAGCCGGTATTCTTTCCATGTATAATTACACTCATGCATTTAGATACAAAAAAATAGTAGCACCATCAGCTCCTCTCTCTAAACTTCTCCAGCACCAACAACCGTCTCATCGTCCTCTTCTAGACGGTAATCATCGATCAGCCATGGTCAGTCGTAAACACATAGCGGGGAACAGAATTACTTACCACGATTCTCATTCCACTCTTTGACTCTCTCCATCAACAGCTCCGACAGGCGCATCATCCCTTTATTCCCGCGCTTTTTTGCCTTCTCAGCCTGTACGAAATGAGAATTTATATCGACCCAAGGGTGGGAGTAAATGTGCTTCCCAGACGCCTCCATCTCTGTAGCAGCCCATCGGAACATATCGCCAACGGCTCTTTGGCTCGCTGCGTGATCTGGCTCATAATTTGGGTCTACTGATTCTCTTCGGGGTGGTTGAATGACCGAATCTTCTTCAAAATCAGTCCAGGGTGTGGTCAATACACGAGGTTCATGGAGCAACGTAACATTGGTCCTTAGTACCCACGTGAATCCCTTGTACGTCCATTGATGTCTCGAGCATTCGAGATGCTTGCGTACCACGACTTCAAGCTCATTGCCATTGATGGAGCCAAAAGGGCGAAATGGAGTAGTTGGAAGATAACGAAAATGAGCGCCATCTTTCCAAGCATTGCAGCACTCGTGCCGAAGTCGCCACGCGTCAGCCCGTGAGATCTGGCTCCCTTGTAGGTAAGGCCCGGATCCAGTCAGATCCATGAATGACTGAGGTGAGTCGGTCCAAACCGCAACTTCGGGCATGAGCTTTGTAGGCACGCGAGTGTTGAGCGTCTTGAGGTAGGGAACAATAGCCAAGACGGTCTCTGTAGTGCCACAGGCAAGCAATCCGTACCATAGAGGGGCGACACCAGGCCTTCTAAGTGCTAGCATATGACCCACCATCTCAAGGTTCTCATCTTCAATCAAGGGCAGAAGGACATCGATTATTGGATCGAACCAGGGGGTGACCAAATTGCAGTCAACTTCGGGCTCCCAAAAGACGGACCAAAGAGCCGAAGCCACGAAAGTGGGATTGGAGCTGAGAGCCATATAGTAAGACAGGTTGCGAAACTCCTTATCAATGATGGATGTCAGAGAAACCGTACTTGGTTTGGCGAGATGTGGCTTTGGGATGTGTATAGTTGATGACATATTCTGATGAAGGGGCACAATCAGCGCCATCGCGAGGCCCAACACAGCCTGGCTTTCTAGATTGTACAAGGACGCAAATCGAGAAAGGAACTCAGCTGCTTCTTTGCTTGTCGGAGGCTTGATCTCTTCTATTTCCCCAGATGGTTGTGAAGCGCTGCGCTGGTATGTGATCTTGAATTTAACATTGCCAGTAAACGAAACAGCCCACACTGGATGCCCAAAGCGGGTAGCCTTCCATCCTTGGCCAGGAGAGAGAAGAGTAGACCACCAGCGGTATTCTTCATTGCTAGCGTCACCGAGGTCTACAATAAATTCATTGCTCGTGGGCGTTTCATCACCAGACGGGGCTGCTGCATCCTCATAGATAACAGGGATGCGCTGCTCTTCAAGCAAGAACACGCAGAGGATGTAAGACCAAGCCAAGAACATAAAAGCAAGACCATTAGACTCGCTGTCCGAAACTTGGAAGCTGCTGTGCCCGGATATCTCGCAGGAAGTGGGTTGCAGCTTCATCAGATTCCATCGTCGCTTGAGGCCGGTGCGAGGCCCGTGAGGCGAAACGCGAAGAGGATGGTTGAGCGACTGCGGCTCCTCAGTAATCTCCCAACTGGCGAATCCAGTAAGCTCAGTAGTCCCCTCCATATCATCCGGCATCTTGGGGCCATGTTTGATCAAGCTACCCAGATCGATGGTGTTGCGGCCAAACGATAAGGATCTCGCGGCCGCAGCGAGACCCTGCCACAGTTCCTTACTGAAACCGCGAACAAACTTACTTTGATCTGCGGTTGGGACTACTTTCTCGATCTGGGAGTTCATAGAGTCGATGCTGGTGAGGGGAGTGCTGTTGGAGGACGCCATCTTGCTTGTCGTAAGCTTGTAAGATTAAGTAAAGCTTGGTAATAATTTGTTTTATTATTATTCCAATCGTAGGCAAAGAAAAAAAAAAGACAAAGACTTGTTATAAAAAATGTCGAGAATGCGCAAAGTTAATGAACATGTAAAGTTGAAAAGATATCAAGGAGTGGAACCAGGTTCCGGTTCTTTAAATACTTTTGAGACTTCGCTGTATGTACTCCGTAAGTCGTATATTGTACACATGGACAGGGTTTCATTGCTCTCGTGCAGTTAAGCAATGTGTGCCACGAGTTTCATTGTACCAAGAGGACTGACGTGGCACAAATCACATGGCGCGATGCTCTATCTAAGAAGCCGGGCTGAAATGATCAGCATAGATAGCACGGTAACGAGAGTGGTCTAGGTCTTGCTTTCTGCATCCCAATCCTCCGCTCCGTCGTTGTCCAGGACTTGGCTCATAAGCAGCCCTGGTCCGGTCGCCTTCATTTTGCTCGTACTGTGTCTATCTCTATTACTTTCTTAGTAATGGTGAGATGACTCTGGAATCGTGGGGGAGGGGGGATTTGATCACGCATGTGATACATGCTTGATGACAGGGGGCTTGTCTAAACCGGGCTGTCAAAAAGCAACAGCCGTACTGCAAGCATCTGGCAATCCCTGTCCCGTCCAGCCCCATCCCGAAGCTTCACTCCCACGGAACTGAATTAATCAAACGGCGAATGTTTTCCTCTTTCCCCTCCCACTAGCTTACTAGTGTGCGTACTGTATCATATATTACTGTAGCAGGGATCAAGGGCCTGATTCCTACGCGAAGTGCAGCTTGCATGGATAGGGCACCGCACTATCGGCATAGAAAGCCTGCATTACTTGTACGTGTAATGGCACACTCTTAATACTTCTGTGTACGTAGTATTCATTGTTCCGTAGCCTGTACTCGTGCCTCATATTATGGCTCAGCTCTGATTCAACGTCGTACTGTGACCAGGATGGATACGAATCCGAGATGCTTTGTTTCGGTGTATACAAAACCCGAAATCAGCGAATCATAGGTATACTTGCGGCTGCTGAGGAGAAACGACATGGTATTGGCGCGTTGATAAGGTAGTGACAATCCCATCTCATAGGAGATTTATGCAGCCTTGGTGGAACGTGTATTAGCGTATATCCTCCCTTGGGTATATGCCCCTCCCAGGCTCCATGGCAGTGCCTGCCGAGTCATACTGCAGGTATTTGTTGCTACACAGACTTTGGCTGCATGCAGTTCCTCCCAATGACAATATAGTCGACTGTGCGCTTGCTTGGACTCGAATATGAACCTGTGAGAGCTGTATAGACAAGCCATAAGCGTTCCAATGTCTTAGAAGCTTCTCTTGCAGTGAATATTAACTTCACGACTAGCTCACCCCAGCATTTTCATAGAGTACCCACTGATCTGCCCACAAGGCGATCGGCCTAGTATTTCTTTCGAGATTTCCGGCATTAAGTGCCTCCACCACAAGGCTCGCTCATAACAACAACAAAAAAAAAAAACACCTAGTACCAAATGGGAACGACGAGCATAAAGCCATCAGGCGATGCCAAGCTAAGTTCACTGGAGCAAAGCGCAGGGAGGGCTTCCTCTCGCGAAAACTTGAAAATGCTGGGCACACCAGCGCCAAGCGTCCCGTAGCGATGCGACTGGGAACGTAGGCGACGGGGAGGGTGTGTGGTGAGGTAGCTAAACTCGTCTTCGGTTATCATCCCTGTCAGTCTTTCGGTAGCTTTCTTTGCCCTTTTTTCTCGTCTTGCGTATTGCGTCTTGCATCTTGCGCCTTCCTGAAGTACATGTACTTCGTATGATGCGTGGCTGAGAAATGTTGGGACGGCGTAAGCACTTTTGAGGGGTATTGGCAAATCACGACTCTAGAGCACCAAGGGCTCTCCAACTGGCTACGGAGGAATTCGTGGCCTCTCCGGGACACGTGTGATGCTGTCCATCGTCTGATTGAAGCAATGCGCATACCGCAAGCAGCTGCCAGTGAGCGTCGAATAGGTAGTTTCCCGCATGGCGACTGCCAGAGCTCCCGACTCACCGCTGTGCCGTTTGCAGCGGACTGAAATACCCATCCACGGCCGTTTCTCCGGGCTCATCTCCACTCCATGCATGCAGTTTCATGCAAGGCGTGTAGTAGGAGGATAAGTAGGCCATAAAGGTGGCTTCGTCAAACAGAATGGGACATGGACAAGGTGGTCGGCCATAAAGCAGGGAGAATCAAATACTATGCTCCAAAGAGCTATCGGGCACAGTGGCAGCTGGAAGACAACCATTGCTCGTATAGGTTCATGTACTTGATGCGTGAGTGAAACACCGATAGTATGCTTAGATGCTTTCCGTCGCCTCGCTCATGCGACTATTGCTGTTGCTAGACGTCGTAGCCCCTGTTCTCTGCCGTCCTACTTGCCTTTGCAGAGGACTAGTGCGCGTAGTGGCCATTTTCAGCCAGGCTTAGTCTTGATCAAATCCACCAGGCTGCGTCTTTCGCTCTGAAAGGTCCCGGCCCTATGGTTGTAAAATCATAACGAGGGGCATCTTGAATGTCTCCATGCGTAGGATAACTAACCCAACTTACTCATACCGCTTCCTTTCCCAGATGAAGAGATGGACCTATGTCGCAGGATGCGGCCAGACTCAGCATCAATCGGCTATCCGCGTCGCACCGCTTTCATCCATCTCAATTGTATTGTAAATTGGCATAATCATGGACTCGTTGTTTATACTCTTGGGAACAGCCATAGCTGTCCAGTAATAGATGTGCTTTGTTTGATGAATCATCTGCTTGTTCAAAGACTCTCGCATATTGTTGCCCCGGGACCTCGCGTTTAAGTGAGGGACTGGAGCGTCGACCTACTATATAGCTCTTGGCGACCTTTTTGGTCGCTGGCATATGGACAACAATGGCCTCCGGGATGGACTACTTAGTCTCTCGTGTCGCAGTAGACTCGTCCCCTCTCTTTGTGGGTTTACAATCTTTCCATGAGCGAGCAGCCTTGTTCTCTTTGGAGAGTAGCCTTGTTCTCTTAGCTCAACATCACCTTCTGCTCGTCAGTAACCTGGAGCGCCTTCTGTCGATCCCTAATTATCCAATCAGCTGTGCAACTCTTTATTAGAGACGAGGAAGTATTTCTTTACATGTCATATTATAATAAATTGATGCATTATTGACAGCGTGATTTTCACTTTTGCGGATGAGACACGCTTTGCAGCGTGGAGATGGAGTCTGCGCACCTTCTTGTATGCTCAGCTTACTGTAAGAGAAGCTGCGCCTTCCATGTAGAGGCGCCTGACCATTGTACCCGGTACCTCTCCTCCAGTTGTTCCGACATTTTGGCGATCTTTTGCCGCCGTGCCCGCCCCAGTAAATACGTCACCTCACAGCCACAGCCTTGTGCGCTTTCCAAGGGTAACAGCCAGCCACTCCGAGAGCTGCTTGAAAGCGATTGCGCAAGCCTCAAACATAGCCAGCTCATTCTCATCATCTGCTTCTCATGACACGCTCCTAACTGATTTTCCTTCGTCTTCCTACTTCTTTTGCTCCTCGTCTTCCTGCTCTTAGCCCCTGGATAGAGCTACTGCCTAGCTTCCACGTGCGACGATCCATCCCCCGCGACACTCAAAATCCACGCACTGCGACGCTTCCGTCTCCCTCGAAACCTCTTCCTGCTGTTCCGCCCTCTCGAGATCGAATTTTAACCTCGTTTCCATCTATTTGCAACCATGGAACTCTCCGATATCTTGTATGTCTTTGGACTATCCGCGTGATCCGCGCGGTGCAATTGAACCAGACTCGCTAACCTTTGCGCCTCGGTGCGCTGCAGCCGCATTGTTAACTTGGTTGTGGCGGGTGTCACGGTTCTTGGTGGTGTTTTCCACATCTTCCCTATTGGACTGTAGGTTCGCCCTCGAAAGAATACACGAATGTCATCTCTCCCGTGTTGAATGCGACTGGAATTACTGGTTACTGCAGCGCTTGCCGGAGCTTTGCCTTGCGGGGCTGGACATGAAATGGGCGGATGCTGACATTCGTCACTGTAGCCAGAACCTCATCATCGGCATTTACATGATTGTCTTTGGGCTTGCTATCGCTCTACTAGGTGTGTTCCACGATCTCTATCCTTTCGCACCAAGTCGCAAGGCCATACTGACCACAGCTGTAGAATTCCAAGTCCCTCCCCAAGTTTCGAGATACGCCAACTTCTTATTCTCCTTCATCGGTCGTGGTGTTTGTATGTTACAATATTTGGCTCTTATTCCTCCTACTGGACTGCCTGCTTACGAATTCAACAGTCTACATCCTCATCGGAGGCCTTCTCCTTGGCGACAAGCTCATTAGCAACATTGCTGGTGGCATCGTCGGTATTGCCGGAATTGGCTACATTGGCCTCGAGTTTGTCCCCCTGATTGAGCCCCCGAGCAGCATGCGAGAGGCCGATGCTGGCTGGGGCGCCGAGCAAGTCTAAATGGGCACAGTCTGCCACACACAACCAGCTAGGAATAGTTCAACGACACCTGGTGAATGGCGGATAAAACTCTCTCAGGTGCATGAGATATGACATGATATAAAGCGTCTGAGAGGGCTGTGTTGTTCTTTTCTGGGCGTTGAGGAAGATACGGAGTTGGGGGAAGAGATGTCACCATGTGATGCAATCTACGCGCGGAGAGGAAGACCAGGCGATATACAATATGTCATGGTGCGGCTCTAGAGGTTCGGTTTTAGCTAGGTCCAAGTATTTGCTATTACGGTGATTACCAGAATACACTACAATGCATATTATGAAAAGGCTTGGTTGAAACTCATTATGAATTCATTAGTTGACAAGAGTGCCGAGCTAAAGCCCCTTCCGCCCGTCTCCCATTCAGTCTCATTCGGTATCGTACAATATCATTAAACATCAAGCTTGCCAATTTTTTTTTTACTGCTTCTTCCACTGTCCAGCATCCTCCACCCCCTTAGAAACACTATTCAATCCTCCCTCCAGGCCCGTGCCAATATTGCCCACTGCATCCCCTACAGGCCGGCCAGCTTCGCCGGTAACGCTGGTGACGGTGCCACCCAAACCGCGAGTTGCTGCACCGGCGACTCCGCCGACAGTGCGGCCCAGACCGCCGACCGTGTTGCCAAGGAGGCTGGTGGCGAATTGCGCGGTGCCGGTGACCTGGTCGGTCACGTTGCCAGTGTTGCCCTTTTCGTCTTTGTCCATTGTTGATTGTTGATGTTTTGTTTGATTTGTTATATGTGGTTGTATATTTATAAGGAGTATTTGAAAATTGTTCAAAGTTGTAGTTTGTAGTTGAGACGAAAAAGTCTCAGAAAGAAGAAGAGGGTAACACAGCTATTTATAGACGGGGAAATAGGTATACGTTGGGATATTATTTCTTGAAACCGCTTGGGACTTATATGAAGTCAGATTTGCTGATCGACATCGTGGCGCATGACGTCAAGGCCACGTTTGGAGGAGTGCTCCATTCCCGCCTCTGGTGTATGGCGTTTCTATATCTGCCATGACGTTTTAGCGTCCCCTAAGAACAAGATTTCTGGAGCTCTTTCATAACTGTATAATTGCTGGTTGGTTTGGTATGTCTGATGCTTAAAGCTAGGAAGCTATTTTGTTGGGGTGTTTGCCATTGGGGTTTTTGCCTAGGCTGATTGAGCTTGGAATGTCGTGGACTAGATTTATAACAGAATGAAAGGATTCTTGCTGTAAGAAGTCTTATATAAATATTGTATTTAGAATTCCTGCGATTCATAATTGTCCTGAAGATATGAAGACAGGTACTGGTATCACCTTCAACAGTTGACAAATCGTGCAAATAACTCTGCGCTTCAAGACAGCAGTTTATTCATTGATAAAATTCGAATTCAGTTATAACGGTAGCCGTAACAATTTTTGCATGGAATTACATACAATTCTTTCATGGAAGTGCCTGGCATGTGATTGTGGCGAATATCTCTGCATCTAGTATCATCAGCTAGACCAGCGCACTCTATGCAGCGTTAAGCTTTACCCCAACAGATCGATTTCAAGAGCTGTTCCCCGGGCCTCGTCTGTCACTTGACGAATCTTTTACTTTATATTGTCATTTTGTTTTCTTTTTTGGCATGTGATAGCTCAATTTTTGATGCTCACTCTCCGGTGTCCTGCATGTGAGCTTCATGCAACGCAACGATCGTCAAGGGGGGCCACCTGACGATCTTCTTCCATGAGGCAACAAATGCTAGGCTTGAAGAATCTCTCCATGTAACGTGGCTATCACCAGCATCAATACCTCTATACACCTTGGCTCTCATTCACATGCTATTTCTTTTGTTATTTTTTTTTATCCGCAAACAGAAGTATTCTGATAGCTGGCCCAAAAACGGCCTTTCTTTCATGTATTCTCGTAAAACAAACAAAACTTTCTAAAATCTTAATTTTATCTCTCTAAGGCTTGCAGCGGTGCATGTAACGAGGATACAAGCAGCAATCTCTAACAGTATGCTGCTTGCAAAGCCAAGCAAGGAAACGCTCCAGTCCCAGACCGTAGCCTCCGTGAGGAGAGCTGCCATACCTATTCAAGGGGGGAAAACGTAATCATTAGCAATTGAACTGGCAAATTTCTAGTAAATTGAAGAGATGATGCAACTTACTTTCTCTGGTCAGTGTACCAGTAATAGGCCTCGGGGTCAATGCCCTCGCGCTTGTAGGCGGCCATCAACTCCTCGTAGTCGTCCATTCTCATGGAACCACCAACAATCTCACCAACACCGGGCATCAAACAGTCAACACTCTCGGTAACGCGGGCATCTTCAGGAGCTTTTGACATGTAGAAAGACTTGATCTCAGCAGGGAAGTGGGTGAGGAAGATGGGCCTGTTGATGATGTCGGTCATACGGCGCTCCGCAGCCTCGGCGATGTCGTCGCCAAAGGCATGGGGCTTGCCCTCCTCGTTGGGGATATCGTGCTTGACAAGCCAATCGATGGCCTCGGAATACTTCATTCGCATAAATGGCCTCTCAGGCAGCTGGAACTCGGGGTTCATGGTCTTAATCTTTTCAGCAACGACGGGATCCGCCATAACCAGTTCGAGCACACGGCACATGATGTGCTCAATGTGTGATAGCAGGTCGTCAAACGTAATGAAGTCAAGCTCGGCCTCGACGTGTGTGAATTCTGACAAGTGTCGTCGAGTCAGAGACTTTTCGGCTCGGAAAGACTTCTCGATACAGTAGACATGGCCCATTGAGGGCAAGCAGGTCTCCAGGTAGAGCTGAGAAGACTGTGTGAGGAAGGCATCTTCGCCATAGTAATCAAACTTGAAAAGCGTCGCACCGCCTTCGACCTGAGTTTGGACGAGGGCTGGGGGGCTGACTTTGCGGAATCTGAGCTCCTTGTAGGCCTGGTTGAAGGCCCACTCGACAGCATCGCGTACAATCATGACGCCGGAAGCGACCTCGCCTCGAAGTGTAAGGTGTCGCTGGTCGAGAAGCATGGCCTGTTCGGCATCTGCTTGAACTCTGTTGGTAATGGCATCATCACCACCAGGGGCCTTCCAGTGCTTAGGAATCTTGAAGAAGTCGGCGTGCAGTTCGCGGTTGAGAGGAGCGCGAGCACCGGCGGGGACCTCCCGCATCTCTCCCAGAATCTCCATGGAAGTCTCACGAGTGAGGGTAACGGCGTCGTAAGTCTTTGCCAGTTGACCTGAAATAACCACCTGCATGAAGCCATAGCCGTCTCTCAGAGTGACAAACATGACATCCTTCTGCTTGCGCTCGCGATGCACGCGACCAAAGACGCGCACACGGGTTCCCTTGCTCTCAGAGTCGTCCAGCTTACGCAGTTTGATGTGGTCGCCAACCTCGTCTAGCCCAATTCGAACAGCAGCAGGAAGGCTAGGGTCCTCTGTGATAACGATGGCCCTGGCCGCTTCCAAAGCCTTGGCTCGCTCCTCCTCCTCCTTCTTTCGCCTGATCACCAGCTCCTGTTCCTTGGCCGCCTTCTTCTTCTGCACGTCAAAGTAGTTGACAGCCTTCTTCAAGGCCGCCTTTGCGACAGGCTTCCACTCTTTTGCTGCCTCATCTTCGGTGTTCTGGGACTTGCGAGTCAGATATTGGGCCTCTGCAGGGCGTTGCAGGTAGGCGAATTGCAGGGACTTGTAGGGCGATTCCTCAGTTCCGGTCTGGGAAACGTCGTCCTTGCCGATATCTTCGTCGATGTAAATGGTCGCCATCTTGAGCGAAGTGACCGTGAGTCTCTTTGGCAAAAGTTTCGTTTTGCAAGACTCAGGCGAGAGAGGATGCGGGGCAGCCTTTTGAAATCGCTGTTGAGTCACGAAGAAAATGGCCCTGGCGCCCTTATCTGCTTATCACCCCGCCGTCGGAAGTCGCCCTGTCGGCTGCTCTGTTATCTCGCCCGACGTTAACCCGGAGCACCTCTTGCCTGAAGAAGAAGGTTATTTAAGGGATATACTTTTCTCTATCTGGGAGGCGCTGTTGTTCCATAGGCTTAGTACTCTCTAGCTGCGAGGGTCCTTATTTATATTAGTAGCTGGTCCTACAAGTTTCAACAACGTTCAATTTGCAGGGCAGCGATCTCGGGCTCTTGTCCTGTCAGCCCCTACATACCGATGAATATAGGTTCCATGCTAGTACTAATGAAAGGTTTCAGTTCGCAGTCATATTAAAGCATTCATCTATTTTGGGTTTCAAAAGGTAGCAGTTGCAGCGCCGAGACTGCTCCGATAAAGCTTGTTCTCCGATTATGACTCTTACAGTAAAACAACGAAAATGAAAGAGAAAAAGATAAGCACATTATCCGCTGTCTATCCAATATTAAACTCGCTTGCTCCAGACATGAGCATCCTACTCTTACGCATGAGCGCGTCTCTCGCGGGCTTCTGATCAAGCTTAGCAGCGTCATCATCATCGCTGTCATCGTCCTTCTTGCCTCCCTTGACTGTTCTCCAATGTTCTTTCTTGCCCTTCTGCGCCTTTCTCTCTATACCAGCGCCAATGCCTCCCGGCGGGTCTCGTAATCCAAAAGCCTTTGCAACATGTCCCAAGTGCAGCTGAGTGATATCGAAATGAACGCGCTCCTCCTTGGTGTGTGTCGCATAGGCTCTGATATGAGACTTGAAACCATTTCTTGCTAATTCGAGTCGTTTACTGTCCAGGAGGAGGCGCTGCTCCAAGTGGAGTTGTAAAGTTTCGGCCTTATCATGATAAGTTTGTCCATCTTGAGGCTTAGCAGTCGTTTCAACCGGGAATTCTAGCTTGGTCATTAGGCCCTTCTGGAGCACAGACTCATAAGATAATGATGAAGGTGATCCAGAGGCTTTAAGCAGCTCGATGTAGCCTTCTTCCGCACCAGGAAGCAGGAATATAGTTGCGTCACCAGAGCGTCCGGCTCGTGCTGTTCGTCCAATTCGGTGGATGTGGTCATCAAAACTGAAAGCAGGATCATACTCGATGACCAAATCAACGGAAGGGATATCAAGACCGCGCGACGAGACATCAGTGGTGATGAGGAGGGAGGGCGATTTACAAGCTGAGAAGGATTTCAAGGTTGCTGTTCGAACTGGTTGTGATAGAGATCCGTGCATCCTGTGTAATACAACTTCAGGGCTTGCAGCAGACGTGATATAGGCTGCCTTGGCAACAGTCTTGGATACATTCTCCGAGTCTCTTGACTGTGCGTTTTTTGATGGAGTTTCTTTTGAGGGAGTCTCTTTTGATGGCGCTTCCTTTGATGCTGGTTGGGGTGCTTCGGCGTTTTCGGGAATCTTTAAGAGTTCGTAGTGAAAGTCGACAGTGTGGGCGCAAGACATGAAAATGATTGCTTTCATTGTGTGGCCACGGCGAGAAAACACAGACTTGAGATAGGCCATGAGCGTCACCAGTCTCAGCTTGGCGGGCACAATAATGTGTGATTGGTGGAGTTGCGCCGGGGCCTTGTGAACAGCCTGCTCTTCCTTCTTCTCATCCACCGTCTCAGCGCCCTTTTCCACGGCCAAGAAAGTAGCATCAGCAAGACTCATCTCGCCGAGCTTTTGTACATTCAGCTTCATTGTCGCAGAGCATAGAACGGTGACCCTTCGGTCCGGAAGCGGTTCGAGAGACACCCCAGAGGCGAGAGTATTCGACACCTTCACTTGCTTAAGTGCTTCTATAGCTTTCTTCAGATCTTCTTCGAATCCCAAATCCATTAGTCTATCACCCTCGTCAAGGATTAGCCACCTCACGGTGCCCAGGTTGAGAGCTTTTGTGTTATCGATATGATCCGCCAATCTTCCCGGGGTTGCAACTAAGAAGTTGATACCCTTTCGAAGTCGGGCCTTTTCTGCCTTTTTGGACTCTCCTCCGGTAATTGCAGTAGAGACGAGCCATGGGAATGGCCTGATGAGCTGTTCCAGCACAGTATGTGTTTGTTTTGCAAGTTCACGGGTCGGCGAGACGATGATGGCGAAAACACCCGAGTCTCTGTGAATCTTCTCGCCGCTCCCACTGAGCAGGAGAACCCGATGCAGTATGGGAAGCAGATATGAAAATGTCTTTCCTGAACCCGTCTCGGCCTGAACAAAGGCATCTGAGCTACTCGATAGCATGTGCGGAATTACTTTTTGCTGAATCGCCGTTGGACGCTCAAGATTCATCTTGGCAAGCGCCTCTACAAGCCGAGAAGAGATGGTCAACGATCCGAAATTCGCAACAGTCAGAAGCGGCGCATTTGTTGGTTCGGGTTCCTTCCATTCCTCCTCCTCATCGAAAGTTGTCTTCTGCTCTGGATTAAACGAAAATAGGCGGGAAACGACCTGCCGATTCCCTAGAGGGCCTGCATGTTTCTTCTGGCCCGGGGCGCCATGATCTGCCGTCTTCTTCCGCACAAGATCCGAGCGATGGGGCAATTCGCTTTCTGTTCGTCGTCCTGATCCAAACCCATCGATTTTCTGCCGTTTTGCTGATCGCTGCTCGTCGTCGGGGCCTCGTGCTGCACCTGCTGGGCGCGAGCCAAGCTTTGCGCTCTTCTCTGCTCGCTTCCTGTCCCTCCATGATCCACCCTTGAATTTGACCTGAGGCTTGAGCGGCCCGCCGCCCAGCTCAAAATTCATCAGCATTCCATCGTCAGCCATGATGAGAGCAATATCTCTGCTCTGGCAGTCGTCGGGTGAGGCCTTGACTTTGGGCCTGGAACGGTGATGTCCAAAAAAATGGGTTTTTCTCAACGAAAATTCTTATCGATAAGATAACGCCCTTAGACTATCAATAATTTTGCGGGTATCTGCGATCCGTTTTAACCTAGTGGAGCTAGCCGAGAGCGGTATCTATCATACCTATATGGTTGGCTGGCTCATAAGCCAAAACGTTGCATAGATGTAATCGACATGCAGACACCAAAGCTGGTGTTTTAACGAGTGTCCTGATCAAAGTGAAGCTGATTTAATTTTGGATCAGTCTTGGTTTACTACAGACTAAATAGTACGCATATGAAATTGATTCTAAATACGCTATCGGTTTGTATCATGAACACTACACTGAGTATCGCAGGTGGCCGATTGGTTCCTTCCTCATCAGCTATTATATGCACTACTCAAGGTTGCCATCGCCTAACCAAGAGGACTGTAACGCATTGCTCTTTATATCTAGGTTATTCTATTAAATCAGCCAAAAACCTCGTGGAAAATTATATTCGTTATTCTGTAGATTTAGAGCCCGAGGCTTTCTTTAGGAAGATATCGGCAACTCAAGCTGAATGCGACGTAGAGCCATACGGCGTATCAGCGGAATCGTCAATGTTCAAGGTGCGTGCAGCCACATCGTTTATGCGAATCTTGAGCTATATTACGCAGTTCAGTTTAGCCTTGACACTTTAGTACTTGTTAATATCATAGTCAACGCAACACCCTGAGTGTGTCCATTTGGATTCAACCTAGACGTTCTCCAATGCATAGCCAGAAAGCTTCATCTGCGTTTAGGCCGGTCGCGATGAGGATGACGATATTCCGCAGACCAGATTCGACTTTGACAAACGGCAACGGGCTCCGATAAGCCTCATCACTCTGATTAATCAGGCAGAAAAAAGAATTTAGATAAATCGTTCAGCTAATTGTCAATATCCTCACTTGGGCTATTATAGTGCTTAAGCAGCCAGGTATTGAAGTCCCAAGGCCAGCGTAGAGAAGAAACAGAGTGTAGCTGCTATCCCTGGCCTCGCATCCAGGCATCTTCACCCGCTCAACTGATAGGACTTTAGTTAAAGGCGCCATTAGATATATGTAGCCTTATGCTTCTGTAGGTTGTTGTTGGAGATGGCAGATGATTGGCTTGTTTAAGGTTAAACAAGCCACATTTGCATTTTCACGGTCGTTTGCACTGATGAGTATTGTTTTAGGATAGTTCGACGCCTACATTTGCATCATTACGTCTCTCTCGTAATATATAAATGCGAATATATCAAATTCAACTACAGTATCCTTTTCGTATATGTAACAAAATAGGACGCATACAGGTATATTCCTCGCCTGTACTCCGTACTTGTAGTTCAAGCTAGGCGCTCGTGGGGCCCGGGGCGCAAAAAAGCCCACCGAGCTGCTCGGAGATGTCAATCCTCGTCCGCTGCATCCGAGCTCCGGGTCGCTGATTAGTTCGGGGAATCCCCTAAAACTACTGCCCGTATACGGGAATTGACGGGACTCTCTCCCTCGAGTCCACCCTTGTGACGCACAATGTTATTAGCGCAGCTGAAGGATTGTCAGAAAGGCTTTCTGCTAGAGAAGCGGGTTCTTTTTTAGGGCCCTGTGGCACCGTCGAGGCGCAGACAAGCCACTGACATTGAACTTGATTGACGCCGAGCAGGCTGCTAGGACGGTTCTACGAGAGGACAGAGGTTTCTTCTAGAAACAGCTGGAGATGTCGAACGGACAGATTGTGCAAATAGCCTGCGGGTACACAAGCCGATGGCTACGACTGCGGTTCTAGACCAGATCAGAGCGAAATTGTAAAAGAAATTTGTGCGCAACCAAGGAGCATCCCGAAATATGGCTTACGAGAGAGGCCCATGGGCTGGTTTCGATGGCGCATCGCGGCAACTGCTAATACAGGTAGTAGGCCTAGGTAGTAGCAATATCTGTCCTCTCTGCATGTAAATTACCTGCAGCTTTGAGTTATGGCTGAGGCGGGAATAGACGCCTTTGTCGCTAATACCACCCACCCTCAGCGCTGGTGTCGGACTTGTCAACTGCCCGACAATGCGCTCGCTATGCGGGGCCTAATACTGATTGATATGTCGATGACCGTTCAAGGCGTCGCACCAGGTGGATAGTAATCACCGTTTTGCCTATCACGGACTTTGGGGATAATGCGACGCGCACGCATTCCAGGCAATGGTTGGAGACCGCGTAAGGCTGCTGGATGCGGACGCTGAGGGATTAAGTGCTGGCTGTCGGCTCCAAAGGCTTCTGCCGCCTGCAGATGATGCAGATGATGCAGACGATGATGATATCAGATAATGGGCTGGCTACACAACTTACATGCGCAAAGCCCTGAACGGCAGCACCCTTCAGTTGCTGCAGCCTCTTTGGCTTATACTAGTGCCACTTTTCTTTTTTTCTCTTCTTTTTTTTTTTTTCCTGTCCCTTCCTGTTGCAGGGACCACCGATGGTTCCGGCTTCTCCCTCGATCTCCACGTCTCGCCAGGGAACGCTGGCGAATCGGCAGCCGGTTTGTTCTCGCCGTGGCCAATCAGGAGCAGTGCGAATCACGAAGGAGGATGAAAGGCTGCCAGACCGGGGGGCATGCCTGGTGGGACGCGCATGCCTTGCCGCCTTACTAGCGAGGAGAAATTTTAAATGTATGTGATGTATCGTCGTCTTTTTTTCCCCATGGCGCTCGGCACGAAGCAGTTTTGGGCAAGTGGCAGCTGAAGGTGTCGTGTGAGAGTTTTTTTAGAAGCCCCGGATTTGATGAAGCTGGGAGCATGTAACTTTTGGTCTATGACGCACACAATTACATGTACTTGTAGGTGGCGGCGACGTTAAGCGAAAGACGCGGCTAGCCGCCGCAGCATTCTGTTTGTGTACAGTACATGCATGCTTCGTGTTTTGTGCGAAATGTAAATCAAATGCTCGTTATGGTCAATGGGATTACGGAAATAGAATCGCCCGCAGATGTGCAGCACTAGTGGCATCATTGAAGACGGGCGGCTTGCATTATCAACAGGTTTGCATGGAGACAGAAGCCAAAAAATAATAATAATAATAAAGCTGAAGAGAAAAAAAAAATGGCACCTGGAGCCATAATTTCTGCAGCTTCTTCTTCAGTATCTGAGTCACCTCCACATGCTCGTGCCTCTTGCAGCTGTCCCGAGTCCACCCATTATTGGAGGGGCCCTTCTTCTGCTAGTGTCTGCCGTCTTCTACCGTCTTAGCACCTGTAGCCGTAGCGTCTTCCAGGCGGCTTTGGGGACTCCGTCCGCCCGTGCAATGCACTCCACACTCGCTCTCGCTCAGTTCTAGCGGCCTCCTTCAGCCACGGCACTTCAGGACAGGCCCTGGCCCGAGGAAATAAGGCCGGCACGGGCCCCCGCCATTTTTTCCAGGCCTTATTTCATCTCTTTTCTCGCATCTCAAGTCAGCGCACACACACGACACAATTAAAAAGAAGATAATCGAGGCCGGTCCCGTTCCTTTTCGTTCCGGCTCTTGATTTTGGTCGTCTTTTCTTTCTTTCTTCCCTTTACATCTCTCCCCCTCTTTACAATTTGGACCATTTACATAGCGCGTTTGTTTGACGGCTTCCGCGGCTGTCAAATGAACCTGCAATCGCCCACTATCATTTTCTCCCCCGTAAGTTTTCGGCCCCGATTTTTGCCTCCCAAGTTTGCCTGCTCGTGCGCGCAACCGGTGGCGTTGGTGACAAGACAGAAGAATGAACAAAAGATAACACTGCGCTGCATTGCAGTGGACTGTTCTTTGTCTTGCCCAGCGATCTCCAGCGTCATTAGACACCGAGCAGCATCGTGCCTTTGTTGGCAGCTCATTGTGTGAAACTTTGCGTCGCATGACTAACACATGTGCCATGATATAGTCTCCTCCTCCCGCTATCTAAATGCCCATCTACTCACAACTGTACTCGAATTTTATCCGTCAAGGATCTACATTCGCCAAATCCGTTACCGCCCACGGCTACGCACAATCCGTCGTAGCTGCCACTCACCCTCACGTCCTCAACTCTCAGAACCGCCCCGTCTTCAGACGACAGTCGAACCGGCCCAGTCGTGTCTCGAATTTCCCTCTCTATTCTGCCTTTCACAGCGAAAGACTATCGTCTGGATTACCAGCCGATCATCACCATGTCTCGAACCACGGAGGTCTAGATGCCTACTTTGAGGCTCTCCAGAAGAAGGAGGTCATTGGGGCGGAAGAGGACAAGGAATGGACGCAGTTTGATTTCCAGAAGCGCATTGAGTGGAAGCCCAATGCGTCATCAGTTCTTGCTGGTGAGAATGCCGCCGAGGCCGGCGTAGAGGCCGGGGCTGGTGAGCAGAGTGCTTCAGCTGAGGTCGCTCACGATGGTGCCGAACCGCAGCATCTAATGTCGGCGGAGGAGGAGGCGGCTCTTGCTCACATCGATGCGGCGCTCGAACAGGAAATCCAGGCTCGAAAACTTCAAGCAGCTGTCGAAAAAGCAGTTGCCGAAGGAGTCACCTCTGTGTCTGCACCTCAGTCTCGCGTGCGCACGCCTACACCTGTTGAAGCAATACAAGAAACTGGTGCTTCTGCCCAGGGCCAATCTCAGTCCTATGCCGACCACCTTCTCAAGTTGTCGGAGGCTGCCCGGTATGCTGAGATCCCGGCTGTGTTCGAGGCCATGCTGGCCACGGGTGTGCAGCCCATTGCCAGTGCTTACAATGCTTTGCTGCTGGCCGCAATCCATATCCCTAGCCAGAGAACTGAGGTTGTCTCCAAGGCTCTGGATGTGTATGCTGATATGATGCGCCGCAGGGTGTCCCCTGACAGCGAAACATTCAACATTCTCGTCAGTCTGCTATCCACTCGCTCTTTGGAGGTTTCAGAAATGAAAGCTGTTCTTGAAGAGAAGCGCTTGCGATTTGGCGGAATGGATGAGCCCGGCAAGTTCATGTTCGCATCTCACGAGCTCGAGCATGCCATCCTTTGCGAGGATGAGCGCCTCGATCTGGCTGTTAAGCTGTTCGACATGTCCTTTGATGCTGGTAAGGCCTCTTACTCAGCCGAGACGTACCGACAGTTGATTTCAGCTTGCGCGCAAGTTGGTCGGGTGTCAGACATGCTGCGATTCTATGAGCATATGGAGCTCAGTGAGATCGTTCCCTCTGCCGATGTCTTCCCCACGATGATCACTGCTTATGCCAAGTCTGGTAACCTCATCAGCGCTGTTGAATGCTACAACGAGTACCGAAACCTAGCCATCTCTCATGATGCTGGGAGCTCAGCGCTCAACGACCGACTTGACGCTCAGGTGTACGCCTCTGTCCTCAATGCCTATGTCATTTCCGACAAGATTGAAGGCGCAATGAAGTTTTTCAAGAAGATTGTCAGCGAATACGGCACCTCTGTCGCAGATATGAAAGATGCCCTGGTCGATCTTGGATTCATTAAGGGGTTCATCACGCGAGGTGTCTTCCAAGAGGCCCTTCAGTGGGCTCAGTCTCTTGATGTTAGCGTTCGAGATCAGGCCATGATCCACATTGCCACCGTCGCTGCGGATGGCAACGATGCTACCACAGCAATCGAGGCATATGCCAACATCCACGTCGCTGATCTCCAGGACCTTGCTACGCCTTCAATTGCCCTTCTTGCCATGAGCGTGCGATTAGGCGACGTTGCTTCGGCCTCCAAGTATTGGTATGCCCTCTCCAACCCTGAGGTGCGTGCCACAGCTGCCTTTATCGAGCCGACTGCCATGTATGCGGTTTCTCTCATTGGCTCCGGCCAGGTCGCAGAGGGCTTGGCACAGTCCGAGATGATGTTCCAGAGAATCCGAGCTGCCGAGTCCGAGGCCCGTCCTCAACTGGCCGAAGAGATTGATGAGAGTGTTGACTTCATTGCCCGCTACATGGAATCTCGTGGCATCGTCGATCCCCGCGAGCTGGCCTCTCAGATGTCGACGATTCCCTCTCAGGTCCACAGCATTTCTCCGTTCCAATCTACGCCAACTGTTTCCAGCTATGAAGATAATTACGATCCCTATGCAAGCAACACCGACTTCAAGGGTTCCTCTTTGATCGCCGATGACTTGGAGGGCAACCATGGTCGCAAGGGTCCTCGTCTCCACGAAGCCCTCAACCGATTCAAGAACATTCGGCGTGCCGGAAGACACCCCCGATACATTACCTATGCTAAGCTGATCTCTGCCGCTGCTCGCGAGAACAAGATGGATCTTTGCCAGGAAATTCTTGCAATGGCACGTACTGATGTTCCCCCGGTAGCCCACAATGCCGTTGTTCGCTATGGCTGGTCTTCTATTCTGGATGCAATGGTTGGTGCTTGCCTCACCCTCGGTAACCGTGGACGAGCTGAGCAGTTCCACCAAGAGCTGCTTGAGATGGGCGCCACACCTTCTGCTAACACCTTTGGACTGTACATCACCACCTTGAAGGACTCCACCAAGACGTTCGACGAGGCCTCCGAGGCTGTCCGCATTTTCCTTCGCGCCAAGGCCGAGGGCGTCGAGCCGAGCTCTTTCCTGTACAACGCACTCATCGGTAAGCTGGGCAAGGCTCGTCGTATCGATGACTGCCTTTTCTACTTTGCTGAGATGAGGGCGCTTGGTATCAAGCCCACTTCGGTTACCTATGGCACCATTGTGAACGCTTTGTGCCGTGTTAGTGACGAGAAGTTTGCAGAGGAGCTCTTTGACGAGATGGAGGCCATGCCCAACTACAAGGCCAGACCGGCGCCGTACAACAGCATGATGCAATTCTTCCTAACGACGAAGCGTGACAAGTCCAAGGTTCTTGCTTACTACGACCGCATGACGACAAAGGGCATTGCCCCCACCTCTCACACCTATAAGCTACTTATCGACACTCATGCTACTCTGGAGACGGTCGATATGGAGGCTGCGGAACAGGTTCTAGAAACGATGCGCGCGGCTAGCCAGCGGCCCGAGTCGGTACACTACGCTTCACTCATCCACGCCAGAGGTTGCGTCCTGCATGACATGGAAGGTGCGCGAAGAGTGTTTGACTCGGTCGTGGCGGATAACCTGGTCCCCATCAATGCCAGCATCTACCAAGCCTTGTTCGAGGCCATGGTTGCAAACCACCAGGTTGCCGAGACAGAGCCAATCCTAGCCGAGATGCGAAGCAGGCGGGTGGAGCTCACCCCCTACATTGCCAACACCTTGATTCACGGCTGGGCTGCAGAGAAGAAGATTGAGAAGGCCCAGGCGATTTACGACGCCGTGGTTCGTGAGAAGCGCGAGCCCAGCACGTATGAAGCCATGACCCGAGCTTTCCTTGCTGTTGAGCAGAGAGAGGAAGCAAAGGCAGTTGTGGGAGAGATGCTCACTCGCGGATACCCCAGTGCAGTTGTCAACAAGGTTCTAGAGCTGCTCGGCGGAGGCCAAGACACTGGCGCCGCAGAGTAATTCTTTCCATGCATATTGCATTCTATGCAAGACTTTTTCATGTTACCCGACTTTTGGTGGAGCGACGTCATTTGACTATCAATTTTCTCTTTTGGTTTTATCATTTTTAAGCCTCGACATGTTTTGATACCCCTTTGGCATGCAGGTTGGGACGGTGGTTCTATTGGGGTGTCGTCTTAATATCAGAGGCTATGCGTGGTGTTTTTCTTGTTTGAAGTTCTATACATTCGGTGTTTTCACACCCGACTTTCCTTTGTTTCTTTTTTTTTTTACAAGATGGCCCGGCGTTATAAGGACGGATGGGAAATATGCTTGGCAAATGCAGAAAAAAAAAAAGAGAAGACGTGCATTTTTGGATTTTTACATAATGGGTCTGGGGGGGCGATCTTCGAAAGAAAGGAATGGAAGGGTTTTGCGGACTCTGAGAGCCGCTGATAGACAAATCTCCACTCGGCATAGGCCTGCGGCCAAGGCCAAAAACAAACAAACGGTAGTAGCAGAACATTTCGGCGTTTTATTTCCATTTTTGGGAGTTTTGTTTGACGGTACATAAAGGATTGGAGGGAAACTTGGCCCTTTATTACTCTCTTACTGGACGGGATTTTCTGCTACCATGTATCATATTAAAGATGGTTTGAGCATATACAAATAAAGCGAAGAAGCGCTCAAGGCAGCGAGATAATGCCTATTCATATCTGTTCTTATTATTAATCTGTGACGCGATGTTGATGTCTTGATCAGAATGCTTGACTTGTATCTGATGTTGAGTCTAATGCGGAGTAGGTGAATAGAGTACCCGATGAGGAGGAGGATTAGTTACAGTGTAAATACTGTGATTTTATGGAATTGCACACTGTAGTCTCTTTAGTCTCACCGCTCCACTTTTGACCTCCTACCAGGTAACCTCCCGGCTGGCCTCACTTGAGCATCAATGTTCATGATCTGATAGGTGAAGTCGTGGAGTACCTCCTGTTACCGCTATACTTAATAAAAGCGTCCTGATTTGGTCCCTTTTTCTCTCTCTTAATAATCTCATTTTTCATCCTTATACCATTCAATTGAGGCGCCTTTGATTAGACCTCAGCCAGATAGCTATCCACCACCCCTTTCTCTCCATTCACCTCAGCCCAGCTCCGCTCAACTCAACTCAACAAACTCAAGTATATAATAAAATCTCTATTCAAAATCATCCCACAGCTAACCTTCTACTCCCAGATATGCCCACAGCAAACGCCACCGTGGCCGTCTCCGCCCCCGGCAAGGTCCTGCTCGCCGGCGGCTTCCTGGTTCTGGAGCGCGCCTACACGGGCCTCGTCCTAGGCCTCAGCGCGCGCATCAACGTCATCGCCGGCGACATCACCAGCGAGCCCGGCGTCGAGCTGTATGAGATTGTCGTTACTAGCCCGCAGTTTCAGGACGCGCAGTGGCGTTACGGCTATCACCATGTGGAAGAGGGCGGAGGCGTCAAAGTTACGCAGCTGCAGGTGTGAGTAGTATTTTTTTTTTCTCAAGTTTTTCTCGAGCGTGTTGCTGCTATATTTATATTATCCGTTACGGGACGCCTTGTCTTGTTCTAGAAGACCCTTATTTTTGTTTATGCTTGTTTCTCGGGAAATGAAGAATCCATTTCGAAACGGCGCAAGGGAGAGAAAAAACAAAGAAAGACATGACGGGAGAGACACGATACCCTTATTCCTACGAGTAATAAGACAAAAAGTCTTTGAAATCAATTAAGAGGAATTTTTTTCTTTCTTTGCTTTCATCTCTTTACCACCAACAAAGAAAGAAGAAAAAGGAAAAAGAAGACCATCTCAGTGTCTCCAGGAATGCATTGTCTCCATCTTTTTCAATCCTCTAATTTTCCCATCATTCTATTTATCATTTCTTCTCAAAAGTCTTGTCATCAAACTAACATTCGACCCGTGTCTTTCTTTGTTCCGCAGCGGCTCCACCATCACGTCCAATCGCTTCGTCGAAACAACGCTCAGCTACGCCCTCACGTACATCGACGCCGTTGTCTCATCCACATCCTCATCAAAGCAACATAACAACATCACGTCCTCGCGCCTCGTCATCCTTGCTGACAACGACTACTATTCCCACTCCCACGAGGCCTCGTCGGGACGCTTCGCCAAATTCCCCGTCCCCATCAAGGGCGCTAACAAGACCGGCCTCGGGTCCTCCGCCGCGCTCGTCACCTCCCTGACGGCCTCCCTACTCACTCACTACTTGCCCAGCAGCGTCTTTGATCTGTCAACTAAGAAGGGCAAGCAGACGCTGCACAATCTCGCTCAGGCTGCGCACTGCGCCGCCCAGGGCAAGATTGGCTCTGGCTTTGATGTTGCCGCCGCCGTGTACGGATCCTGCACTTACAGGAGATTCTCCCCTGAGATTTTGAACGTGCTTCCTGAACCTGGCGCCCCTGGCTTCAGCGAGAAGCTCCTAGCCGTCGTCGATGGCCAGCAATGGGATGTTGACGTCCAGGAGGACAGCGTAAGCGTCCCCCCAGGTCTCGTCCTGCGCATGTGCGACGTCGACTGCGGCAGTGAGACCGTCGGCCTAGTTCGAAGGATCCTCGCCTGGCGCAGCGAAAAGGCAGACGAGTCATCCACTCTCTGGAACGACCTCCAGTCCAAGAACGAAGGGCTCGCTGCCATCCTCAAGGCCGGCGATGTCGATCGGCTCCCCGAACAGCTCATCCAGGTGCGCGACCGCTTCCGCAAGATGGGCCACCTGGCCGACGTGCCCCTCGAGCCCGACACTCAGACCGTCCTGCTCGACGCCCTCACCGCCGTCGACGGCGTCTATGGCGGTGTCGTGCCCGGCGCCGGCGGCTTCGACGCCCTGGCCCTGCTGATGCGAGATGACGCTGAGACGCAGAGTCGCGTGCAAGATTTCCTAGCTGAATGGAGTCGCGAAAAAGGTGTAAAGGTAAAGCTCTTGGGGGTCAAGGGGGAAATGGAGGGCGTGCGCCAGGAAAGCTTGGACGTGTACGACAGGTGGCTATAGCTTTCACAGTGTAATGCATCAAAGCTCATCGTCTCTTTACCGAGATGAGGCATGCCTACCTATTTCGCCCCAGGGAGCTATAGCCCCCCTTCTTTGTATTTAATGCGGATACCTTCAGAAACGTGAAAATTTTGGAAAGAAAAAAAGAGAAGGAAAATTATATCACCTAATATAGACCTTTCATATTTACCCCGTATATAGCCAGGATGATTATTCGAGAACAGAATGGAGCAATAGAGCGATTGCCGGTTATGGTCTTTGTCATGCTGCAATGGCCACCGTTTCGTTACGCGAAGATTAGCACCCGCACGCGAGACAAAGCTGAGCGAAATGGCGCTAACATAGTAGAGAAACAATTGAACGCTGAGAACAAATGTCAAAAGTGAGCTCGGATTACTTATGTTGTGTAAAATTATTATGCCTTTCATCTTTCCTGCATTAAATCCGCGTGTCGCATTAACCGTGGCAGTTCGACATTTCCACGTTCGCCCCCTCCTTCCATCCATCATTACCAAATTATTTCCTGTATCCTGTTTTTGTCTTTGTTGCCCTGAGTAAACCGCTATTGTAATGTCTATTTTTCTTTTCAGCGTGCCCGCTGTCCTGCCCAATCTATCCTGAAATAACCCATGTCGAATGCCCATCCAGTCCCAAAACCCGAATCCACGCTTAGCCAATCTGTTTTATCCCAAAGTTTTGTGTCCATAGAAGAAAAAGAAACGACGTAGAAAGTAAAAGAGAAAGAAAAAAATAAAGAAAAAAAGCATCTCAGTCCCAAAAGTAATAATGATAGAGGTAGTGAGTGATAAAGGTACCCGTAATGTCCTCAATCATAGATACGATATTGATGTTCTGGTTCGTGAGTTTTGCATCCAGTCATTTAATCAGTTCGACTGCTGCTGAACAGAGACAATCGAATACGGCGAAGGGCTCCGATAAGGAGATCGGGAACGTATTGGCCGAGGTAGGCTTGACGACGGGTCCGGAAACATGGAGTCTTCTGCAACACCGATCTGACTAGCGGCAGCTTTTTCTCGAAGAATACAGAGTCTGCACCAAAATATGGATTAGTACAATCGACTGGGGAGTTGATCAATCTCGTGGCGCTTGTTTTGGGGTGCCTCACTCTTCTTGAGAAATGCCGGGGAGCAAAACGGGCTCCTTTTTAAGATCAAATGGCCCAGACTGGAGAACAAGGTTAGCCAAGAGCTCGATCAAATAATATAACATTTACCACATGTACATACAATTTCCAGCCCACGTTTCTGCTTCCGTCTGCCATGACGCAGAGCTGCTTGCATACGCTCATATAGAGTCCTGACGTTGCTCTTAAGACGCATTTCGGAAGCAGCGCTGGTTGTATTGGAACAGCCACCAACGCTCTCAGTCTCCAAGTTGACTGAAGAAGCTCCTCTCAACATATGAGCCATCACTCAGGGCGAGGTAAATGATCGATTAATTAATGAATTAAAGAAGAAAAGGAAATAAGAAAGCCGAGAAGAGCTGAGGAGCAGGAAATAAAAAAGTAGCGAATGAGCTTGTAGTTCTAAGATGAGAAAAGAAATAAAAAAAGAGATGAGAATGATGGCGAAGCAGACAGCAGAAGTGCGGTCCACAATAGCGATGATAGCAATGATAACAAATGAATAAAAATAGGGCCCGCGTGGCTTCTAGATGCTTGTTGGGCGACGAGTGTTGGTGCGAAGTAAATTAGTGAAGATATCCGTACGAAGGGCTTGGACAAGGTGAGGATGAGCTTGGTTTTTTAAAAAGAAAGCGAAGAACACGATTAGAGATGAAAATGAATGAATGAAATGAACCCAAACGATGATGCACACTGCCGAAAACAAATTGCAAGATAAGACAATCAAGAAGAAAAAAAAAAGAATGAATGCCGACGGATAGTCTAGCAGGGGGGAAAGGAGTGTGTCAGCTGGCGCCGGTGAAGCTCCGCGTGTGCAGAATGAATGGTGGCGTCCGGCTTGAGATTCACAAGGCCAGCATGGTTCCGACGGATGCGTTGCTGGCCGGGGCCTCGCATATATATACGAGTAGATGTGCGTGGAAATGGACGTACATAACTCACCAATATCGGCACCTATGCGTGTCTGAGCTTCTCATTATTCGGTAGCCCTTCGGTCGGTGCCGCATCTGGGCCTCTGACGACGGGGCCTCATCAGACAGTCCAACCGTACAGCGCAGAGTGCGACACTCGACACACTAGGAGAGGATGGCCGCCTGTGTCTGTGTCTCACATTACACCTAAATCCAAGCCCTATATATGTACTCCCGCACAAATGTGGAATGCGTGAAGAACCAAAATGGCATTCCTGTTGCTGCTGTTACCCTCATGTAAGACGCTGTACGCCGTTGCATTCGTCAGGGTAATGAGCTGCCGGTAGGCGATCAGGCCAACCGTTCACGGCCGGAGGGAGCAGCGGGCGGAGCATCGTGCGTGCACGGGCGCTGTTTTGCTTCCTTTTTTCTTCTACATCAAGCGGGTTACAGAATGAATGGGGTCGACGACGGCTTGGCAGACTTGCCGTCTCCTTGCCTCGACGACGATTTCTTGTCTCATCTCATCACGGTTGCACTGGAGCCGGCTGCCTGCCTGCGCATTTAGGGTTGACTGAGGTGGATACGCCATTCATGCATAACGAAAATGTGAGATGCCGCGCGGTGATCCTTTAAACGCGAAAACAAACGATAATCGTGGAAACCCTTGTCCAATATAACTTCGCATCATTTGCCGCGTGGGCGAACCAATCACAAAGCCACATTGTTCGATGCTGAAAGGAAGCCAAAGGGAGATCTCTCGCTAATCTTTGGGGTTGGTGCGGAGGCACAGCTGGCACTAGGTCAATTGGGTGATAGTAATGATGCTCTTTTTTTCTTCTTTATTGTAATATGATATGTTCCACAAGCCGCGATCTGACGCTTATTTAGGATAGTCCTTGATGTGGAAGCTCTTGGACTTGACAAATGCTTCAAAGCCAAACTTTCCGAGCGTCTGGCCCTTACCTGAGTTCTTCCATCCAACCCATGCGAGATCCTATTATGTTGGTATTACGGTCAGCAATATGTTACGGGGCTGTGTTCATCAAAGCATTTCCTTGCTACCCTTATTGCCTTGGTCGGGTGCGATGCGACTGCGGCCGACAAGGGAGAGGGGCTCGGGCTTTAGGGTGCACGCGCAGACTTACCGGGCTAGGATAGTCACAGCGGTTGACAAAAACTGTGCCAGCGTCGACTTCCTCCAAGAGGGCGTAGCCCCGGTCAACATCCTTGGTCCAGATACTAGCCGAGAGGCCAAACTCGCTGTCGTTCATCAGCTTGACGGCCTCTGAGTCACCCTTTACCTTCATCACGGGAATCACAGGCCCAAATGTCTCTTCCGTCATGACTGTCATAGTGTGATCCACGTCCGTTAATAGGGTTGGTTTCACAAAGTTGCCCTTGGACGGGGGGTTTTGGAAACTTTCGTTTTCCGGCGTCACATCCTTGGCTCCCTTTTTCAAGGCATCTTGAATGTGTGACTCTATTGTTTCCTTGGAACGTTTGGAGATGACGGGTCCTACATGAGTGGACTTATCGAATGGATCTCCAAGCTTGTATCCCTTGAGCACCTTCTGAACGGCTGCGACGAAAGCATCGTGAATCTTTTCGTCCACGTAGATTCGCTCAACGGAGCAGCAGCTTTGACCAGAATTGAAGATGGCGCCATCTACAATCTCTTCAGCAACCCAATCAATGTCCACATCATCTCTGATGTATGCGGGATCTTTGCCGCCCAGTTCGAGGCCCACGTTGACAATCCGATCGGCGGCAGCCTTTTGCACGGCAAGACCGCCGGCAACGGATCCCGTGAAACAGATGAGCGCGATCTTGGGATCTCGAATGATGCTTTCCATGATACTAGGCGACCCGCAGTGGAAATACTGCAGAACGCCGTCGGGCAGACCAGCTGCCGCGAAAAGCTTGGCCACCTGTTCTACAACAGTAGGTGTTTGTGGGGATGGCTTTAGAATCACGCTGTTTCCAGCTAGGATTGCTGGAATCAGCACATTGACTAGAATCAAATATGGGTACTTGAGACACGGCATGTTAGCTAATAACGGCGCGTTGAACGGCGGCCAAGGAGTAGGCGTGTGGTTTGCTCACATTCCAAGGGAAGATGATGAGAACAGGCCCAACGGGTGCTCTCCGAATAAAACGCTTGAACCCTTTCTCAGGCTCACCCTCGACATCCCGTAAAACTTCGTCGCTAATTTTGAGGAGATACACGGCCCTCTTGATAGCCGTGGTGATTTCTTTCGCCGTATAAGCGATGGGCCGACCCATCTGGGTGGTCAGTTCCAGGGCGAGTTCATCCTGGTTTTTCTCCAGGCCGTCGAGGAATTTCCTGACAATGTCTTGCCTTTCCTTGAGAGTCGTCTTGCGAAAGCTCAGAAAAGAGTCTGTGGCGACCTGAGAGAGCAGCTCCAGATCGGCGGGATTCGGGCCATTGCGGGTGATGACAACCTCGTTGGTATTGGGGGAGATGGTATTGATCACCTCGACAGACATGGCTGCGTATTCCTCGCAAGGGTAGAATGAGATTGCAACTGACAACGATTTCACAGCGGAATATGCAAAAAGGTATATGAAGTCAAGTAATGGGAAATTTGAAATCGGCGATGGAAAGGATGGGGAGGGGAAATGATAATGCCAGACCGTCTGGAGAGCCGCGCCTGCCCGTCTGTCATTTGCCCCACGTCACCGATATCGTTGCCCCGCCATGACCATTTTCCACAGTAATATTGCCTCCAAAGTATGGAGTAGTAGCAAAACTAGCAATGCCTACAGTGGACAATTCTTCGAGTGCTAATTGTACCCTAGTACTACCTGGGCAAACAAAAGATGGGGGATTCAGGGCAGAGATTGGCAAACGAGTGTCTCTACGAGGGCTAAAATCACTAAAATCACGCGGCGCTCAGTATAATTTAGTTTTGGAAGTTGGAGTAGCCGCTTTTCGAAAGGAGGCTGCAAATCGCTACCTAAAATTTATTCTCCGGCTCTCTAACCTAATGCCTAAATTATACTGAGCGCGGTGCAGTAGTATTAGAGGATGCTTCAGGTACAGAGCACTTTAGTCAGGTAGCTGGGCACAGTGGCACCGTCTGATCTGATAATCCAATGCGCCCCGCTACTGTAATAAGCATATTTCTTATCGCGATAAGGAACTTTTTTTTGCCAGTGCAACTGCTAGGAGAGAACCGAGTTGCTTCTGTGATATTGGAGTGAAGCAGTACGCTTTGCAAAACACACAAAATGGCTGCTATAAAAGCCAATGATTTTTTGGGTGCCTCCGATAGCGAAGACGACCAGCTAAACGGATATGACTCCGAAGATGAAGTAACAAAGGGAGGACGCGGCCCAAAGCGACGAAAAATTAGCAGCGACGACGAGGACGACGACAATGACGATGGAGCAAGCGATCAGGACCAGGATGACGATGAGGAAGACAGGGAGGGCTTAGAGCCGACAAAAAAAGGCGATGAAAATAAAGGAGGCGAGGAAAAGACAAAAGCGAAAAAGCTAAAGTCGAAAGACCTACCGCGCGTTGCTCAACCAGCGACGAAGAAAAATCTTATTACGACAGACGAGGCCATTAAAAAATCCGGGGTCGTATACATTTCGCGCGTGCCGCCCTTTATGAAACCCAACAAATTACGCTCCCTTCTCACTCCATACGGCACCATCAACAGGATATTCCTCGCCCCCGAAGACCCAGTCGCAAGAGCGCGGCGCATCAAGGGAGGCGGCAACAAGAAGAAGACATTTACCGAGGGCTGGGTGGAGTTTGTCAAGAAGAAGGACGCAAAGGCTGCGTGCGAGCTCCTCAATGCACGGCCAATCGGCGGCAAGAAGGGGAGCTACTACCACGACGATATCTGGAACCTGCTGTACCTCAATGGTTTCAAATGGCACAATCTGACGGAGCAGATCGCCGCTGAGGACGCCGAGAGAACAAGTCGCATGAGGGCTGAGATTAGCAAGACAACGCGGGAGAACAAGCTGTTTGTTCGCAACGTGGAGAGGGCCAAGATGTTGGACGGCATGGAGGCCAAGGCCAAGGCGAAGAAGAGGAAAGCGAATGATGCTGCTGTGGCTGGCGAGGAGCCGAAGCAGAGCGTACGGACATTTAGGCAGATTGCCAAGATCAGCAAGGGTGATGATACCAACGAGCAGCCGGAGCGCGTCAACAGAGTATTGAGCAAAATCTTTTAATAGCTAACTTTGATATATATCTTAATTTTGGGTTTTTTTTCCTCTTTAGACTCAGCGCCGCTTTCTGGTCAGTGATACTATGTTCAAAGGGACGTAATATTAAGCATCCATTGCATTACAGGGTACTTACCTCAGTTTACTCGAGTACCTAGTACTATCTACCAAATTAACATGTAATAAAAACAGGCCACTGGTGTCCAAAGGACTTGAAAACAAACGCTTAATAATGTGTCCCTTTAAATACATTTCTTGCGAAGAGCCAAGCAGGGACAGCTGCAGGTGGAAACTGCCGTGATGTCTTGTGAAGTTGTTAACTCTTTTAGTGCATGTCCCCGCGGATGACTCGACCAATGACTCAATATTGCACATTCTTCCCTGGCACTGGCTCTTTGCCCCGGCCACTACTACTGGATAGGCAATAAATTTTCAGCGGCCAGATGCAGCGATAAGCCATAGAAAAACGCTTATCAAGCAGCGGGGCAAAATAATTTTTGAACTTTGGTGTATATTGTATTATCTACGGGCTCCAGCCGCGTAAAATCATCTACCACCATACACATCCCTTCGCAATACGTCGACCTCATCAAGCAAAATGTCCATGGACCTTGATGATGCCATCTCTATCGCGCCTGCTGCGCAGACGCATACGAGTGCAACGTAAGTAGCCATCCATCTCTCACGAGACCGGTATCCGATTCGGTCTTTCACTGCGGCTGCATCTCCGCAGTGTCCGTGAATGAAAAGGACCTTGGCTCACAATATTTTCCTCTTCAGAATCCTCTGTCACAACTGCGGTACTCCGATCGATGGAACGACGGCGACAGGCGCAACCTGCTACGACTGTATCAAGCTAACCAACGACATCACCAATGGAATCCAGCGAGAAGCTACCATCCAGCAGTGCAGAGACTGCGAGAGATGGATGTTGCCACCGGCCAGTTGGATCGTCGCCATGCCCGAATCTCGCGAGCTTTTAGCTCTCTGCCTCAAGAAGCTAAGAGGCCTGAACAAAGTGCGAATCGTCGATGCAAGCTTCATCTGGACTGAGCCTCACTCTCGAAGAGTCAAAGTCAAGCTGACAATCCAAGACTCTGTCCAACAAGGAGTGTTGCTGCAGCAGAGCTTTGAAGTTGTATATGTCGTGGCACATCAGCAGTGTCCCGACTGTCAAAAGAGTTTCACCCCAAACCACTGGAGGGCCTGCGTACAAGTCCGACAGAAAGTCTTGCACAAGAGAACATTCCACTTCTTGGAACAGCTGATCCTGAAACATGGTGCGCACAAAGAAACCCTCAACATCAAGGAAGCCAAAGACGGTATCGATTTTTTCTTTTCCGTTCGAAATCAGGCGGAGAAGTTTGTCGACTTCCTCAACTCAGTCGTTCCCGTCAAGGTCAAGGCCGCCCAAGAGTTGATCTCCATGGATACCCACACTTCTAAAAAATCATACAAATTCACTTTCTCTGCCGAAATTGTCCCCGTATGTAGAGATGACCTGGTTGCGCTGCCTATAAAGATGGCAAAACAGAGCGGCAACATCTCACCTCTCGTCCTCTGCCACAAGATTGGCACAGCAGTCTATCTCATGGATCCACAAACCCTTCAGACCGCAGAAGTGAGCGCATCTCTCTACTGGCGTGCTCCTTTCACAGCTCTCGCCGACGCTATGGAGTTGGTTGAGTTCATCATCATGGATATTGAGCCGACCCCCACTCGGAATGGCAGGTGGTTGCTCGCTGAGGCAACGGTCGCTCGTGCGTCCGATCTGGGCGTTAACGACAGGACGTACTTCACGCGAACACATCTGGGAGGCTTGCTGCAGCCAGGCGACTCAGCGATGGGTTACCTGCTGAATGGCACTAACTTCAACAACCCCGAGTACGATGCGATCGAGGAGTCCAACACATATTCATCAATAATCCCAGACGTTGTGCTAGTGAAGAAACACTACCCCAACCGCAGGAGGAATCGTCGCCGCAACTGGAAGCTCAAGCGTATGGCTAAGGACGAGGGCGAACTTCTACCAAAGAAGGCAGACCAAGAGCGTATGGATAAGGAGTACGAAATGTTCTTGCGAGACGTTGAGGAAGATGAGGAGCTTCGTGCTGCTTTGGCGGTATACAAGAACCCCAGAAAGGTAACTGATGAGGAGATGAGTATAGCAGAAACGGATATGGACGGTGATGACGGCGTGCCTACGGTGAACATGGACGAGCTGTTAGATGATTTTGATGAGCTCACCATGGAGGATTAGTATATGGTTTAATGAAACTTACTGCAATGAGATATTAACGAAGGTCATGTTTGATTCTCAATGGACCCCTGCCCATGTTCTTAAAAACATCCATATGAGTCTCCCGATGAAAGTTGTGACTTCCTTCGTAAATATTCCAGCCAGTGCCAAAAGAGCATATATTATAAGAAGGACGGTATGGAGCCCAAATCAATCGTCTTTGGTTCTTGTTTGGCTTCTTGTTTGACCTCTGGTCGTTTGAACTGTTCTCTTGACTTTTTTCTATTCATCATGCGCTTGTGCAGCCCAAAAAGATCATCATCCAACTCGTCAAGACCGTCAATAGATTGACGATCATCATTTTTACGATCTGAGTGAGGAATCTTTTTGTGAGCCGTTCCTGTAGAGGATGAGGATGTGGCCTGAGGGCTTGTATGGGGATTTGGTAAAACGGTTCTGCGCGACGTCGTACTTGGGCGTATATGAGAGGGCGGTTCAAACTTGATCCTTTTGGAGGACGATGGCATTGATGTTGGCGGTGATCTCGCACGGCTTCGATGATCCCGCTGTGGCGAGGATTTGCTCGAATAGCCCGCAGCCGCTCTCGTCCTACTCGATGACGATGAAGCACTTGCAGAAGGCATAATAATCCTGCCCTCCCGCCTCGGTGCCTCCATCAAGCCCCGCAGATTTGTTCTCGCCAGAGACGGCAGCACACTCTCATCGTCCCTTGCTTCTCCGTCACCCTCCAGTGTCTTACGCTGCTTCATGTCCCGCTGAGCCAAATCGCTTCTCTGCCTTGCTCTCATAGTTGGCACTGCGTCTACCACGACTGGCCGCTCAATCTCGCGAATGGTAGCCGCATTTTGAGCCTTGGCTAGTGCTTTGAGGCGATCGTACTCTGCACGATGGAGATGCGCCGTGAAGCGCTGAGCGATGTGCAGAAACTCATCATCGACCATCCTGTACTTATCATCATTGAGTGGCCCTGGAATCATGAATCTAACAGGGGATAAGTCAGTAAGTCAACCTGATACGTGGAATGAAAGGGCGCGCATCCACAAAATGGGCGGTTTCACGCAGCATAAAATGAGATGGAGGTTTTGGACGCGTACTCTTCATGAGGCCGCTCTGGAGGAGGCGAAGTAGACGGACTTCGGATAGGATCTACAGACAATTCGCTGTATTAGCGCTTGGTTTAGAGAACATATGTTCTTTTTTCATACCTGAATCCAAAACGCGCTGGTATCTACGCGACACTGGCGTTCGCAAGATATCACGGCTGTCATCTTGCGCCGTCGATCTTAAGCCTGAAGGATGCTCCCTGGGGCTTTGAGCTGCTGTTCTTCCTGCCGTATTGCTTGTGGAGGACTCGGATGTCCTTTTCCATGGCAGTTTTCTCGCCATGACTGCGAGACGCTGCAATTCGTAGCATTGGAGACTCAGTTGAGCTGGCGCTTCGTTCGCAGTCGTAAGTTTTAGTGCATTTGTAGGTACGTACCACTTGCGCATAATGCAGTAGGTAAGCGGCGCTGGTTCAGTCACATTAATCAGAACAATTGAAAGAAATTACACAAAAAGAGTAAATAAATTTACATTGGTTCATGGTTGACGTTGGGACTTAGACAGTAATTATATCTCCGAGCTGGCATTTATCCCCATTTAGATATGGCAGATTATAGAGATATCTATCATCACGCCAGAATAAACGAGCAACTAATCAACATCCAACAACCTATTAGAAATAGGTTCTATGAATTCCTACAACTTCTTTCCATCATTCAATCGCAGAAGAACATGGACAGCCGTCACTTAAATAATCATTTGCTAGTTAAAAAAAAAAAAAAAAACTTCCTCCCATGTACTTGTTAGAGCCAAGGGCCCAAATGTCCCATGACTTTAAAGCTCACGCTAATCGTATTTTCTTGTATTTTCACATTATTTTAGAAAACCGAGTCTCGCCGGCGGGTTGGGCCATAAGCCACCGGGCTACAAGTAGCCCGTCCGGGGGCACAGTACCATCACTGCCAACCAGATTCAAAGGACGAGAGGCCCTGATATGAAGTATCGTATTCTCAAAATGAATATGGAGTATACGACAGCCTGTCTTATTAAAAGATATCATCAATAACTAAAAACAAAGGTTGATACGGTGTTAGTAAAGCTTCTTTGAGCGCTGGTAGAAGCACCTACGGGGAGAGTATAATGTTTCTGCCAAAACAGTTGTGCCAGACCCTCTCTCAATACCATAGCAGCAAATAGCACCTCACTCCTCAATAGGCGACTATCAGGAGGCGTGATCGTATCAGAAACAATCACTAATGCGTGAGATACTTCTGTATCTGCATGATAATCTGAACACCAGGAAGGCGGACGCACTAGCCAATCGTATAACGTGAATCGATGATAGTAGCTCTGGTGAATCTGCTCTTCATTGTATCTAGAGAAATTGGTCCTGAGTGGGGATCTAGGAAACTTTTAGCTGAGTCGCCCATCTAGTGTTCAAATGCCCTTGGATTGGCTCACAAAAATCTGATCCAAGGGCGATGCTCTGGTTGACTAGAGACTTCTATGTGGTCTCCATCTTCTCTTTCCCAATCCACCATCTTCAAACATCTGTCAATATTTTCAACGATATCGTCATATAGTGGTATGTTCGTCCGTATCGGGTAGTCTCTCCAATTTACAATGATATCTGGGTTATCCAGATCTAGTGGCGGCCACTTATTGACCTCATTCCACCTTTTCGCGCGTTGCGCCGCCACGTGAGGAGTGTCAGGACTGAAATATCGAGGTTCGAAATCAATGGGATTTTCTTCGTCGATGATTAACTCTGGGCCGTGAACAACACCCAACTCCAAAAGACGCGTATCAGACAGCAGCGGCTTCTGCGTCAATCTCTCTAGCTGCCGCTTAAGAGTAGTGGCGGCATCATAGAGCCCAATGTGCCACTCAATATATGGATCCGGAAATGGCCGAGGTATCGATCTCACAAACTGATGAAACGTGGCCATTTTCTACCTCTTGCGCACTCGCGAGTTGTGCTCCGAAGCGTTTGTCCAGGCGTGAAGCTGAATATTGAGAGTGTACGGGCATCGCGTAAAGCCCAGGGTACGCCAGGGCACTGAAAGGAAACCGTGGAAGAAACGACCAGCTCCAAGGAATGGATACCTTATAATCGACCAGAATATCGAGTGATTTACCAGATTACTGCTTCATAAGTAAGGATTCTTTCGAGAGATAGCCCTTGATGTCTCCTCCCCTGGTGAAGAAGAAAGAATAGCAGTGAGCACGTGTACATCATGTGATGGTCACTTCAATTACAGAAGCTGAAGGACGCATTTTTCAGCCAAGTACTTAATATGTTGGTAAATTTAGGTAGTACCAGGTACTAGGTAGATGTTGTACATCTTTTTTCGTCCAGTCATCCTTGCTTGTGCACTATTTATTAGTAGGAGCACTGGCAATCCCCCTCGTCTACACTCATAACCTAACCTAGAGCCGTAACTTTCGTGTGACTTTGCCTGTACTTTTCGATAGTAAAGATTCAATATGTAATAAGTAGCTGCAATACCTACCTAGTAATTATAAGTTTCCATGACGCTTATAAAACAAATTCAGATATATGTTAGTATACTTTGGTACTGGAGTATTGGACTATCCACGTATCACGCTCGATATTTCTCCATACATCTCCAGACAGATACAAGCAACCTGCTGTTTGATCAATAAAAAGATTCGGTAGGAACTAATAGACGTTCGAGAAGCATGCATGACTTAGTAGTGTATCAAATCGCTTCATATCCTCAACATGTATGCGAATTAAGCATAAGGTACCTACAGGTAGTACCTGTGTGTACTGCAAGCATGTCTGTAGTCGTCCGGGCAGGCGCCACCACCACCTACAGCCCCTCTACTCCGTAAGCCCCGCTAAACAAGATCTGCCACCTAGGATTTCAGGCCAAGCTTTGGAAGCTTAAAATTCCAATGCAAACAACTTCGGTGTTTTGTCCAGGACTCGCGCAATAGCCAATTGCGGAGAGTGCGGTCCTGATGCTGGTAGTGCAACCACCATCGCTGTCATTCCTTGCGATGCTAAACTCCAACATCAAATAATCATGATTGTCGTGGCGCTCTGTCGCCGAGCCTCAGTGAGGCAATGCGGCCTCTTCAGCACCTCAGTTTACAGGGCAGCGACTGAAGCACGTTCATCAAGGAGGCACTCTAGCAGGAATGTTGGCGGCACAAGAAATATAAGCTCGATGCTTGAAAATACCCGAAACATTGGTATTATTGCCCACGTTGACGCTGTAAGACTTGCAACCGCTCATCCCGTCTTGATTTTGCAGCTCATATACCGAGTAGGGCAAAACAACAACAACTGAGCGCATGCTCTACTATAGTGGCGTGACACAGAGAGTAGGAGGTGAGCGCAAGAATTTCCGATATTTAGATAAACCGAGCTGATAGCCTTAGATGTGGATTCGGGCAACACTGTGACCGACTTCCTTGAACTTGAACGGGAACGTGGAATCACTATCCAATCAGCCGCCATCACATTCAATTGGCCACTCCAGCGAGATTGCCTACCTGGAACAACTCCAAAGACTATCAATTTGATCGACACTCCCGGTCATCAAGACTTTAGATTTGAAGTTGATCGGTGCCTACCAATTCTTGACGGGGCTGTCTGCATTATTGATTCTGTCAAAGGCGTAGAAGCTCACACGGAGCGAGTATGGTCCTCTGCCCAAGAATTCAAGATTCCGCGGATTGTTTATTGCAACAAACTGGACCGAGAGGGCGCATCGTTTAGAAAATCCGTCTTGGAAATTGGCTCTCGACTCAAAGGATGGCCTTTAGTTTGCCAAATTCCATGGTGGGAGAAAGAGGACTTTGTTGGTGTAATAGATGTCGTCGACGGTGTGGGATATCGATGGAAGAGTGAAAGACAAAAAACTCGATATGGACCAACCGAGCTCAAAGAGATGCTTTCATCGTCAAACCAACCCTTATTGGCGGAAATTCAATTAGCACGGCAGCGTCTAATCGAGGGCCTGGCAGATTTTGACGAAGCTGTGATGGACGAGTTTTTAGCTGAGAACGAAAACATTCCTGCCTCTCTACTAAAGCAGGCTATACGAAAGAGTATTCAAAGTGGCGACGGTCGCGTCATACCTGTGTTTGCCGGTTCAAGCTTTCGTCACATTGGGGTTGAGCCTCTGATGGATGCCATTGCGGACTATCTTCCCAACCCGGCTGAGCGGCCGGACGCGGAGGTCCGTGTTGGGGGTACCAAGAGCGAGCTGCGCGAAGCACTTAAACAAAAAGGCAAGAATACTATTGACGCGAACGTCAGCTCAGTGGCTTCTGTCTTCAAAGTTTTTGATCACCCTAAAGAAGGTGTTATCAGTTTTGTGAGAGTTTATCACGGAACTTTGACCCGTAATGCGCCAAGCTTCAACACTCATATGCTTACCCAAGAACGACCCATGGGTATCTTACAGATATCAGCGTCCAAGACTCACGATATTCAAGAACTCTCTGTTGGCCAAATTGGAGCATTGAGAGGACTCAAGAAAGCACGCACTGGAGATACCCTGATCACCATGGCAGGTGGCAAAGCTGTTCCCGAGAATTTACGGCATATTCAAATCAGACCACCTGAAATCCCGCCACCTGTTGCTTTCCTACAAGTTGATCCATATGGAAATGTAGCGGCGCAGCAGCTAGAGATAGCACTGGAGAGTGCATCGCGAGAAGATCCAAGTCTGCGATGGAGTAAAAACTCAAAGACCGACCAGTTCACTATCCAAGGCATGGGTAAGCTTCATCTGGATGTATCTCTCTACAACATGAAGCAAAAATACAAGATAGACGCCGAGTTTGGTCCAATCGAGGTTGACTACAAAGAATGTGTCAACACCATGACTGATCCTCGAGAGGTTGTTTTTGACCGTCCAGTAGCCGGAAAATCAGGCAAAGTCACATGTTCCGTTGTTCTCAAGCCTATAGAGGCGGATGAACAGGACGTTCTGATGGAATCTGGCGTTGAAAAGGACGGTAATATTGTTCAAATCGAGATTCCTATGACGGGTGATGCCAGCGCCGTGCTAGTTGACACAGATGAAGCACGCCAACAACTCTTTAATGGGGCTATAGCTGGTTTAGCAAGAGGGCCTCGACGTGCGTCGCCGATGCACGGGTGTCACGTCCATGTTACACTTAATACAGCAAGCGATGCGCTGGAGACACCAACTGGTGGCCACTTCAGCAGTGCGGCCAAAACAGCGGTTCAAGCAGCTCTTCGGGATGCGTTCGACAAGAGCCAGATTGGCATTGTCGAACCCATCATGTTGACGCATATCACCTGCCCCGAGGCGGTTGCTGGAACAGTCCAACATGATATCACGGCTGGTGCAGGTGGTCATATCCTCGAAGTTAACGACCGTTCTGCAGAGTCAGCTAGTGAAGAGCTGATTGATATTTCCAAAATATATGCGCCACCGGATCCCTATGATTCAATCACTTCGTTGCGAGGGAAGAAGTCTATTGCTCGGATGGTTGAGATAATAGCGAAAGTTCCCTATAAGCAGATGCTTAATTACGATGAGCACTTACGAAGCAAAACGGCAGGTCGTCATTCAATGACCATGTCATTTGATTCTTTCGCAAAAGTGGTTGGCCATCGCGAAAAGGATATTTGAAAAGCTGATGAGGCGAACACGTAATTACACCCAACGCGGACGTAATTGCATTGCGTTACGCCAATGTAGTTTAAAAAAAAAACCAACTCGACTCTATGCTAGGATTGAGATGTAGCATTGTTGACCAAACACTAACCTGGACTCACACCCTATTGGAAGAGCATATGCGTTCTTTGGCAAAACACAGTCAACAGAGAGGACATTTCTAACAATATATGAGACAAGAGACGAAGTACAATGTACCGCTGGTAAAGCAAATTGAAAGCCTTGGTTTCTTGGCTCGCCGTATCGGGAACTCGATCCAAGAGATCTATACTGCTCTAATAGCTGCCGGAATATGTATCTCAACGCCAAGAAGCCAGGCAAATTGATCAAACCCAGGGGGCAGGAGGGGTAGACAAGCTTTCGCATGACGCCGCTTCTATTGGAGACTAGGGATAAAATGGAGTAGAAGAAATCACAATTCATTACTGTTCCTTATCCAGTCCAAATACCAGCAGCCACTGTGGGCGAAGCAGATGATATCACGATAACGAGCGAGATTTGAGAGATTTAACCGAGTATAACACAGAGCACGGGGCCTGGAGAATGAAAGTCTTGATAGCATGGCAGTCCCTTTACGGTATAACTCGACAGGCAGCTATTACTGCTTCTAGTGGTAGGTATTACACTACGGAGTACTCCGAGCCAATACTCACCGTCCTACTTCGCCCCAAAGACGACATAGGACCTCCTGGCTCTGCACAGGCATCTTTTCTGGGGTTGAGGCTGCTGAACTCTGGACTGGGTTTAGCTCTCTCTCGGTATGGAGAACTTGCCAACTTCGTCCAGCTTATAATGACAGTTTGTGGGCGTTCATGCTCGTGTTAAGTGGAGCACATCGTCTAAGCAAAATTTCTATCCCTGCAACCCCATGCCAAAAAAAAGGAGAGGCCGTGTCTAAACGGAACTGGCTTGTTGATAACAGGGAGACTGAATTGACTTGGCTGCGGCAACAAGACACTGAAAATTCTGTTTCGTTTTAAGTCGTCTCAAACTGAAATTGGGACGAGTGCCACCAACATCTCCAAGCATGGGAGATGTTCGTCTCTGATAGGCAGTTAATAAGGACACCTCGTGGGGTAGCGCGGTCAGCCTTAATTGTCCTAATAACGGCGAAGCTGCTGGGGGATCAGCAAAGACGCAGCGACGATTCGGAGCGTTCCGCCAAATACTAGTATCGCCTTTCACGGCGCCGATCAACTACTTCTCCTTATCCGCCGCTGCTGATATCGCCGCGATGATGTGTTTGCATGCGCAGTATACCCGAGAAGAATGACTGTAACGGATACCCTTGTGGTGCGACAGTCGGCAGGCAGGTTGATACCGCGACGAAAAGTCCGGTCGTCAGGGGGCGGACGTTTGCTTTTGCTTTTGGCGCAGCGCGCCAATATACAGATCCCACTAAGGAAGACCGACGCTGCTATTGCTACCAAGTCGAGCACTGTTGCGTACTATTGACGATTAGCACGACAGCACTACATAATAGTCTTGGTAGCAATTTTGTTGGCTCATGGTTTCGCTGTCTGGCGGCGAGCCGCCTCGTCTACAGGTGTGCTGATGTTGCCCCCGACGCACACAGCAGCTCTCGCTAATCCTCTTAGACAATGGGGGAAAATGAAACCCCGTCTAGCTGGTGGATAATGGGACGTGCTCCCGTTGCAGTCAATGCAGCATTCGATACGTATCTCATACTAAGAGGGCCTTAATTTCCTTTGGCCCTGTCTTAGTGGCTGGTTTGGTGACCGGTTTCCCAGGGGAGAAGCAGGCCGCATGCTGATTGGCTCATGTGTTGTTTAATTTCGACGCGCTCATCCCACGGATCCACACAGCTGGACAGGCATCACAGCAAAAGCCCATCTTCAGCGAAGCGGCGGTCGAGGCATTATTAGCCACGAGCTTGTGGTAATACCACTAGGTATTATTCCGAACTAACCACAGTCAATCCCTTCCCTTTTGCCTGCCCACTGTTGCCCTGCTCACCAAGGGTCCCTCTGTCGCTCTTTTCATAGATCTTCTCGACCGTCACCGCTGTCTCTCTCTTTTTTCCGTTTTCCGCCGTGTCGTGTCGTGTCGTGTCGTGTTGTCGCTGTCGTATAGACGAGCTTTCTTTTGCCGTCGCTTCTGTCACTCTTTGGTTGATTGTTTGTATAACACAGCCTCTATTCGTTCTGTTTGTTCGAAATTTCGAATCCCGAGCGTCGTACTCGCCCCTGCCGAGCGACCTCTTGTCTCTCTTTCTCGCTAAACCCGCTATCACGACTTACACATTCGTTTTCCTCGCGACGCCATGAAGGTTACAGACGTTCAGGCCGCCTTCGCGTCGGCGGTTGTGCTTCTCTCGCTGCCCGCCAGTACAGTCGCCTCATCCCATCGCAGACTTCACCAACTTCCTAATAAGAAACACACCCATTTGCGCTCTCACACAGTAGAGGATGCCAACTCCATTGTCAAACGAGGACAATGCGCGTTCCCGACTGACGATCCTAACCTCGTTGCTGTCACACCCGATGCACAGAATGCTGGCTGGGCTATGAGTCCAGATCAGCCTTGTAAACCGGGTAGCTACTGTCCAATTGCTTGTAAGCCAGGCATGGTTATGGCACAATGGGATCCCGATTCTTCATACACCTATCCAGCTTCAATGGTAAGTTTTTACTACAACGCCGAGAGAGACAATCTTTTCATTCCTGACTGCTAACTGTATCAGAACGGAGGACTGTTTTGCGATAATAGTGGCACAATCCACAAGCCATTTCCTAACAAGCCTTACTGCGTTGAGGGTACCGGTGCTGTCGTAGCTGTCAATGATTGTGGTGAATCGATGTCTTGGTGCCAGACAGTTTTGCCTGGTAACGAGGCGATGCTTATCCCAACTGAGGTCTCATCTTCAGCAACCTTGGCTGTTCCCGATACTAGCTACTGGTGTTCAACCGCCGCTCAGTAAGACTGAAAAATCGTTTGCCGCATATACCACAAACTAACACGCAAATGTGTAGCTACTATATCAACCCTCCCGGAAGTACCGTTGCAGACTGTGTTTGGGGTACCTCAAGCAAGCCGGTTGGCAACTGGGCTCCCTACGTTGCCGGAGCTAACACCGATTCCAATGGCGAAACTTTTGTCAAGATTGGCTGGAACCCTATCTATACAGGTTCCTCTTTGATGAGCACCTTGCCCACCTTCGGCGTTAAGATTGAATGCCCTGACGGTGGCTGCAACGGGTTACCCTGTTCGATCTCACCCAATTCCTCCGGTAACGTCGACAGCAATGAGTCTGCTGTTGGCGCTGGTGGCGCTTCATTCTGTGTTGTCACTGTTCCAAAGGGCGGCACTGCTAACATCGTGACCTTCAACACGGATGGCAGCTCCGGCTCCGGCTCCGACTCTGGATCCTCCTCATCTGCCGAACCAAGCTCTACTGTTGCCGAGCTTAAGGCCGGTGGCTTTGCTGCCCAGGCAGAGAAGGCCACATCGACTACCGCTGCTGCATCATCTACTGAGGCATCCACCACCGCGCCAGCCTCAACAGAGGCATCAACAACCGCGGCAGCTTCTTCCACAGCTGCAGAGTCGACGACGGCACAGAGTTCCGAGGCCACTACCGGCGCTACCTCGGGTGCGAGCGAGACCGATGCTTCCACCACCACCAAGGCTTCGAAAACCGCGTCTTATGCTCACGCCCGTCCGTCTGTGAACCCCGGCATGTTCCACGAGAACGGCACATCATCACAGACCACAGCGGCGCCCTCTGGGCCTTCACAAACCCAGGGTGACTCTGCTCCGGTTACTACGACTACTAAGAAGGGTGAAGCTGGCCGCCAGCAAGGCAGCCCTGCTTTTGCAGGCCTGATTGTTGCCTTTGTTGCCGCTGCTTGTTTCTTTTAAAGAAGAGAAAGAAGAAAAAAAAAATAATTGATGGCAAAGTTGGCCTTGTTAATTGTATCTTTGGCAACCTTGTATTTTCACATCTAACTTCAGTGTCTATGTCACATTTTGTCAGCCGCAGCTTACATATTTTCTTTGTTCATATGCTGCTCTAGACTTTATATCACTTGACGCGATTTTTCTTCTTCACCTTTTCTCTTTCGCTTCGCATACTTGGGCTGTTTGATTCCCCCTTTCCTCCCTTGTCACACCAACATTGATATTTTTATGCTGTCATATCTGTATATGGCTCTATTTTCTTTTTATCTTACATACCGTTTATTATATGCTATACATATAAACTAACATGCCCTGTTGGGCGATAGTGTTTATTGTCTTTGCGAGATTGGGAGGGTTTTTGTGTCTGGTATAGGCCACACGCCTCGGGTCTAAATATTCTCCCTTTCCCCCACCTCTCTTCCTTTCTTATTATGATGCCAGAATATGGTGGGCATATATCTCTATACTTATTACGATTTTTTATTATTTTGTTTTTTTTTCTATTGCCTTCTTTGTCGTCGATACCCCTCTTCAGCAGTAAGAGAAAATAAAACCAGCTTTTACGAAAATTGGAGGACAAGGACACCAAAAAATAGGAGGGGGAAAGCGAGCGATTCTTTTTTTCTTCTTCTCTTACAATTCCTTTTTTTTTTTTTTTTTTTGTCTCTTATCAACATTTCATGATCTATGTCTTAGGGGAGGGCTTGAAGTTGGTATTTTTATTTTTATTTTTATTTTGTTGTGGCTATTTTTTACTTTTCATCTTTATTTCTTTTTTTGTTTCACAAGACGAAAGTGAGCGATTGGGGGAATACTTAACAAACAAAGCTAGGAGGAAATAGAAGAAGAGAAAAGATAGAAATAGCGCAAATTAATGAAGTTTACGTTTTCTCGGATGTAGTCTGATCTCAATGGACCACGTGTAGATGAGTAATAGAAAGAACTAGGGGCACTTCTAAATGATGAGGCGAAGTGTACTTATATACCGTATGTCTCATTACTGTCGTAGTTAGCGACATTGACCGTTTAGGGGGGTATCATTTCGTTTTCTTCTATGGAGTAATTAGCTTTACAATAGACGATACTATGCTATGGAGTATTTAGCGCCGGGCGGTTAATAAACCAGCCTTATCCAGGACGCCCTTTTCTCTTCTTTCCCCCGATCTAGGAACTTTGTATTGCTCTAATTAGCCAGGCATCATGCGCACCCCTCCTCATAATGTCACCCAGCCGGGAACCTGATCCAGGTCGAAGTCATCGTCATATCTCCTCTCTTTTATCGTCTGCCACACATTTGGCCAACCGGCCAATACAGGGCTGCCCTTTGCCTTGGCGCCAATGATGGCGAACCGGCCCTGGCTGTGCGCGACGAAACCATGCATGAAGCCCTGCTGGACGAGCGTGGCGACTGTCATCTCCACGTCTTCGTAGGTGACCTGTGCGTTACCCCATATGAGCCCCTCGTTAGGGCGCAGCTTTTGGGGGCCACTTGGGGGAGGCATTAGAGTGGTCTCGTGGGAAGATTGAATGTTGTTTTTGAGGGCTTTCATGAAGACGGGATTGGCCTGTGATGGGTGACCGCGTAGGGGCGGGTTGTAGGGCTGCCAGCCTTCGAGACGATGTTGGACGTAAGTTGCTACAGTAAGGAGATGAGAGAGCTCAAGAGTTGCTGCTTTGCGGGAGGAGGCGTCTGTTGGAGGGACGTATGTTAGGATAAACGTCTTGCGGGTGAGACTCCTCCAGAGGAGTGGGCGAAGGCGGTTAGAAAGTGGTAAGAGAAGGCCCTTTCCTAAGAGCCATGATTCGTGTGCCGCAAGATGAGATTGGAACTGCATGAAGTTGCCAGAGCGAACAGCCATACACAATGGAAGGAATATGGGTTTCAGTGATTGAGCCTCCGGTCGTGATGTTAGTGTATCTGAAGGGAATCGCCCGAGAAGAAGATTCGAAGGGATGAGATAAGTTAGAATGTTGGAACGATGAGAGACGAGTTGAGGAGGAGTCTGTAAGTAGGCCTCTTGGAGACATAGAGAAGCGCGGTGATAATGCTGATTGGAGAAGTTGAAGCGGCCAATGTAGTAGAGAAAAGTGACGCGCTGGGCGGCCGGATAGAGTGAGAGCGGAGGCGATATGCTCTCAATGTTGACAAATATCATCTTGGCTAATTGAGTTCTTCGACACTATTGGACATGGGAACTGAAATTAGAAGAGAGCATTCTTATATAGGAAAGGAAAAAACGAAGCATACCGCGAATAAAAGTTTGAGGACAAGATTGGCAAACATGTATATACCAACCCGCTTCCCTTCCGGCTTACTCGTGCGAGAGCCTGACCGGTCAGTCAGACAAGTCGTAAAGATCTTTTGAATGATCTCAGCAGAAGACTCGGCGACAGATTTGCGGTTGTCGTCGTCCACGACACGAAGTCGACGAGTTAGGTCAGGCCGGCGGTTGAGGTTCATGGTGAGACGAGCAAGAGTCTCAGACAAGGACATGCTAACTTGGAGCAGCATTGAGCCGTACGTAGGATGAGCGAACGCGGTGGAACAAGAGCTGTAGATAGAGTTTGTTAGTGGTAAGTGAGGATATTATCTTAGGAGTATTTTGGCAGCGCATTATGGTTGCCAATCTACAAGTAAACAATACAAACAGATACTTACTTGACCAACCCACTGAGAAGCTGATGCGCCCCTAGCAAATCTGAAAAATCGACATCTCGCCAGTACGTCAAATAGTCCTTCAAAAAAGCCAACAATCCCGGCCAAGACGTTGCCTGTCCCTCCGGCAGGTCGTCCTGCTGCGGAAGGCGGTCCTCGACGATCTTGTCAATAGCATCTTGACGACTAAAGTTGGAGCGCAGCTCAGCTGCCAGGTTGTGATACTGTTTTGGTGACTCGGGCTCTACTTGGAGCCATGATCGGAGGAGATCGCCTTGCTGGTTGCGGACTTGCTGCTGTATTTGGGAGAGGAACTGGGAGACTAAAGACATGATTTACTGTGAAAGAGAATGATAAACCACCATTTGGTGGTGAATTGGGATAACAGAGAAGAGTGAAAGTGAGAAATAGAGGGAAGAGGTAGATGGATCAGTACGTACTGAGTGGGTGAGAAGTCGCGTTTAGGCGAGGCTGGTGCTAGAGAACGGTCTGGTGTGGCGGTGGTGTAGTGTGGCGCATTACCCAGTACGTGTGCCTAGGTACTAAGCTAGCAAAGGCATGCCTTGAATTCATTCTTCTCCAACAACATGGCAAAATAGTTGAAGTCAGTGAGTGTTTCTATGTCTCGCAATAATATCTTGGCACTTTGGAAGTAATAAGTTTCAATGTCATAATAATATTTAAACATCATAATTCTAAAATTACATGGCCCTTGCTAACTGAATATCCCAGCACTTTCTTCCCTTTCCAATGCTATATACTATGTACTCTTTTTATCTTTTTTCCCTTTCTTTTTTTCTTTTACGTTAATGCTTTTGATTCTGTTTAGACAGAGTCGATTCTTTGCACAACCACGGCAGTGGCACCACCACCTCCGTTGCAGAGAGCGGCAACACCATACTCGCCAACCTTTAGCTGGTGGAGCAGGGTTGTGAGGATTCGGGATCCGGAGCTTCCCAAGGGGTGGCCAAAAGAGAGACCACCTCCCAGAGGGTTCACGCGAGCGTTTTCGAGGCCGAGGATCTTTTTGTTGGCCAGAACAACGGCGGCGAAAGCCTCGTTGAGCTCCCAGACGGCAACTTGATCCTTTGTGATTCCAGCGCGCTCCAGGGCAATGGGGATAGCCTTGGCAGGGGCGATGGGAAAATTAATGGGGTCCACCGCAGCATCGGCAGAAGAGACGAGCTTAGCCAAAACGCGGGAGCCAGATCCGTACTGCTGTGCGATGGCCTTGTTGCCCAGAACCAGAGCGCTAGCACCGTCGTTGAGAGTCGAGGAGTTGGCAGCGGTGACGGTGCCTGTTCCGTCACGGACAAAAGCTGGCTTCAGGAGGGGCACCTTCTCATACTTGATATCGAGGTAGCCCTCGTCCTCCTTGACAACGACCTCTCCCTTTCTGGTCTTGACAGTCACGGGGACGATCTCATCGGCAAAGGCATTCTCAGCCCAGGCCTTTTGCGCTCTCTTGTATGACTCGATGGCGAACGCATCCTGCTCCTCTCGTGTAATATTGTAAACCTTTGCTGTGTTCTCGGCGCAGTTGCCCATAGGAAATTTGTTGTAGACATCGGTCAGACCATCCTTGAGAAGACCGTCCTCGGCCACAGCATGGCCGTATACCGGCATGAGGCCGCCACGGGGAAGATTGAAAGGCACTCTGGACATGTTCTCCATACCACCGGCGATCTGAGCCTCGGCCAGGCCCAGCTGGATGTTTTGCGCGGCGAAAACTACGGACTTGAGACCAGAGGAGCACACCTTGTTGATGGTGATGGCCTCGACGTGTGTAGGGAAACCAGCGTGGATGGCAGCCTGGCGAGTGGGAGCTTGGCCCATGCCGGCCGCAAGCACGTTGCCCATGTAAATATCGGTAATCTTCTCCATCGGAACTTTGGATTTTTCGAAGGCGGCCTTGATGGCGGCACCGCCAAGCTCAGGAGCAGACACGGTCTGGAATGAGCCGTTGAACTGGACACAAAGAAGGTATGTTAGTATAAATTGGTATGCATGAAATACTTGAGAGCTTTTAATAAACGAACCTTGCCTGTCGGCGTTCTAGCAGCGCTGAGGATGTAGGCATCTTGGATTTCTTTCCTCATCGCAGAGCTGGTTGAGAACTGGCGAGCCGGGCTCACATGGCTGGCGATTTGGCCGAGGCGCCTGGCAGTTCTAAGCTGAGCGCTGGACATGGTTGGAAATTGGAAGTTCGGAGACGCAGGAGGAGGAGGAGTGCGCAATCAGCAACCAAAAAATCAAAATGAATTGGTTGAAGAAGAGGAAATGGAGAAGGTGGATTTAGAGTAAGATGCCGGCAAAATAAAAAAAAAAGCAGTTGAAAGTTGTTTTATACAGATTGTCGGCACAGGCGCATGAAGAGGAGCTTCTGGGCCGTTTCGGTATGTTTCGGCTTAGAGCGGGGGAAATCAGCCGAGCTCCGTTTAAGCCGGGGTGACGGCAGCAACTCAGAATTTGGCGGGAGCTGATCCGTGATTGCGGGGGATTAGAATTTGGGATGGGATTGACTGCAAGAGGCCGGGGAAGGGAATTTAGAATTATTCCGAGCTGTTTTGGTGTAAAAAGAGTATAAAGTACTTGTATCCTGGGATCCCGCCTATGACATGTGCTCTTATGGTCATATTCTGGGTCTCCGTTTTACAGACAGCCATCCATTGTGTGCTCTGTATCCGACTCGCACATACTGCCTAATACTGCATCCTCTCGGCACTTTCACGTCAGCAGCCCGAGGTTACAAACGGGAAGCTGTTTCCACGCACGGAATGGAATCACCACATAAACAGCCGCAAAAACCGCCACAGAGCCCAGCAAGTCGGAATTGCTGTGGCGTCGCTCCACCACGTTTGCCACAGCTCTTTCTCTCGTCGCCATCTCCAATCTATGTCTGTTCGCCTTTGTTCGCGATGCTGATGCGTTGTCACATGATCATGACTAATCTACCCAATCGCTGACCTGCCATTGGCTCTGATTAGTCGCCTGTCAATTGCTGCCCATTATTAGTGCTGCAATCACGCTCTTGACTCGTGAGGCCTTCGCTCAACTTCTTCCAGCGCAAAAAGGACTTGCCAGCGTTTGGCCAAAAAACATTCGTATCTTTTCTTTACCTCCTTGAGGTCTTCAGTCATTTCGTTGATACTTGTCCGCTTGCAGAGGCCGAGGCATCCGAACCTCAAAGCTCGACACTGCTCAGCTCACTCAACTTCCGATTCACAAATCAGATCCCTCCACAGCCATGTCAACGGCAGCCCGGCGTCGTTTGATGCGCGACTTCAAGGCATGTCCAGCACATCCTTGATATGCCCAACTTATGATTCTTTTACACTCTCTAACTATTATTTCAGCGCATGCAAACCGATCCTCCTGCTGGAGTTTCAGCCTCTCCCATTCCCGATAATGTGATGACCTGGTTGGTTTGCCCCTCATCTCTCCGCTGCCGGCAGAGAACTTGTCAAGACCCAGTTGCTAACCACCTTTCTTTTTTTTTTTCTCCCCAGGAACGCCGTAATCATCGGCCCGGCGGATACACCTTTTGAAGATGGCACATTCCGACTCGTCATGCAGTTCGAAGAGCAATACCCCAACAAGCCTCCCCAGGTCAAGTTCATCAGCCAGATGTTCCACCCCAACGTATACGCCACCGGCGAGCTATGCTTGGACATTCTGCAAAATCGATGGAGTCCGACATACGATGTTGCTGCTGTTTTGACCAGCATCCAGAGGTATGAGCATAGACTTATGTGATAGAGTGGATTATAAATTTTCCACTGTCTGCTCCTGCTATGATGCATATTTGGCTAACTTGGAACGAATTACTGTATAGTTTACTCAACGACCCCAACACCGGTTCACCGGCGAACGTCGAGGCTTCGAATCTCTACAAAGATAACCGAAAAGAGTATACTAAGCGTGTCCGAGCAACTGTCGAGAGCAGCTGGGAAGACTAGAAAGGACTGCATTAAGACGAAATGCTAAGGACATATTTGTGCCCGAGGCTTCTTACGGTGCCTGGGTCTACAATTCCTTCGCTTCCGGCATCTAAATTCGGACTGCGGACTTAGGTTGCCAGATCGTTTTGATATAATACGCTGTCCACGAGAGACTGGAGCTTGGTAGAAAGAAGGAGAAGATTCATTGCAGGCGTTTTGGTGCACGAGATTGAACTGGTTATACCAAGGGAAGGAGGATGAATGTTCGCTTTCTCACGATTTTTGGTTTCATTTTCTCCTACATTATTCGAGCGTTTGTTTTTGGCATCCTCACCATAATGGTGGAGATGACCCTAGCGAACGAGACATAGGTAGTTATTTAGCGGCGATGAAATTGCCAAAGCCTTTTTTTTTTCTACTTCTTTTTCTCTTTCATAGTGCATGAAAATGAAGCGGCCTGTATTCTATAAGATGATGGCGGCACGTTCATTTGGCTGTTGCTTGCCTTGACGGCCATATCTACCTCCTTTTCCAACAGAGTCTACGGCTTGGATTGGATAGACCAACGTTTGCTATTGGCATGCCATCTAGCCATTTGTATCCATATGCATAGAATAGAATGGGCATCGAGGATGTCAGGCCTGCTTGTCACTACGATTCAGCCACTCCCATGCGTCTGACGAAGTTGGGCCAGCGCCAATCCATAGCCTGTGTCAGCCACCGGCCACTAGCCACTCAGACAACGTTGGGAGAGCTTCTTCACGATGACACGCTAAGACAAAAGAGAACACGGTTGACTGCAATCCAGCCCCTGACAGACTCGATGGCGATTTTTTGGGTTCCCGCGGACGCTGCGAAGACGAAAAAGACATGGCATCGTGGTGCAAAGAGACATCAGACAGCACTGCTAAATGACAATTGCTATTATTAAACATAATCTCCATCTGTATCTTTCCCTGTTTATTTTATTTTTAGAATGCTCTTCTCAGTCGCTTTGGCATAAACACTCCTCTATTTACTACATGACTAAGGTCCAGGTCCGGTCAGGTACAAGTAAGTTGGCACTGCTACTACCATCACAGCGGCTGACCTCCAACAAACAGCCCCTCATCTTCAGGGCTTCTGACGGCACCTTCAACCACCACGCGGCGACCGTTTTTAGCGCGCTTGTCACCCTCTAAACAACCACATTGGCCCTGAACTTTTGGGCCCCTCCCCGCCAACCTTTCCCAGACCGCCGTTCCTATTGCATCCCTAGAACCTCTTTTTGTCTCTGTCTTGGGGGGTTTTTTTTTAACCTTTCTCTTTTTCCCTTATTCTTCTTGTTCTCTCCCCCTTTCCCCCTTTTGCACTGATCCTGCGGCGGGGTTTTTGTTTCTCGTCGTCGCTCGCAGCTTCGGTTAGCGATTGTTTTGTTTCTTCTTTTTGCGCCCCTCTCCTCTCTCCGTCTTTGGTGGAGCAGCTATCGGAGCCCGCCATTTGGGATCAAGAGGGAAGAGAGAGTCTCTCCTTGGAGATAGCGACTTCTCCTCTTCTCAAGATCGACGGCCTTGCTTGATTTCGATCCAACCGCCCACCGCCCACCGCCCATCATGTCAAACAACACCATCAAGGTCGTCGCCCGGTTCAGGCCCCAGAACCGGGTGGAAATCGAATCGGGCGGCAAGCCAATCGTCGCCTTCAGCTCGGAAGACACTTGCACACTTGACGTATGGCCCCTCTACCTGAAAGAACCAGGCTCGCTACAGAGCCGTGATGATGGGTGAAAGCTCTCCGCTAACCGTGGCCATGCTTCTTGTAGTCCAAAGAGGCGCAGGGTTCCTTCACCTTCGACCGAATCTTTGACATGTCAAGTAAACAACAAGACATATTCGACTACTCCATCCGCCCAACCGTCGACGATATTCTCAATGGCTACAACGGTACCGTCTTTGCCTACGGTCAGACTGGTGCTGGTAAATCATACACCATGATGGGCAACATGGATGATCCCGAGCAGAGGGGTGTTATTCCGCGCATTGTCGAGCAAATCTTTGCCAGCATCATGTCCAGCCCCAGCACTATCGAATACACCGTTCGCGTTAGCTACATGGAAATTTACATGGAAAAGATTCGTGATCTGCTGGCCCCTCAGAACGACAATCTCCCCATCCATGAAGAGAAGAACCGCGGTATCTACGTCAAGGGCCTACTAGAAATTTATGTCTCCAGCGTTCAAGAGGTATACGAGGTGATGAGGAGGGGAGGCAATGCCCGAGTGGTCTCTGCCACCAACATGAACGCAGAATCATCACGATCTCACTCCATCTTCGTCGTTACCATTACCCAGAAGAACGTTGAGACGGGTTCGGCCAAAAGCGGTCAGCTGTTCTTGGTTGATTTGGCCGGTAGTGAAAAGGTTGGCAAGACGGGTGCCAGTGGCCAGACGCTTGAAGAAGCCAAGAAGATCAACAAAAGTTTGAGTGCCTTGGGTATGGTCATCAACGCCTTGACCGATGGCAAATCTCACTTTGTGCCCTACCGAGACTCTAAATTGACCCGTATACTGCAAGAATCTCTGGGTGGTAACAGTCGAACTACTCTCATCATCAACTGCTCTCCTAGTAGTTACAACGACGCTGAAACTTTGGGAACGCTGAGATTCGGTACCAGAGCAAAGTCTATCAAGAACAAAGCCAAGGTCAACGCCGAGCTCAGCCCGGCAGAGCTCAAGGCTCTGCTCAAGAAGGCCCAAGGCCAAGTTACCAATTTCGAATCGTACATCTCTAATCTCGAGGGTGAAATTCAATTGTGGCGAGCTGGAGAGTCTGTGCCCAAAGAGAAGTGGGTTCAGCCCACCGCCGATGGTGTTACTGCAGCCAAGGCCGAAGCAAGAGCACCGCGGCCCTCAACTCCTTCACGGCTTACAGAAAGCCGTTCAGAGACCCCTATTGCCTCTGATCGCGCTGGCACCCCCAGTATAACGTTGGAGAAGGATGAACGGGAAGAGTTCCTGCGCCGCGAAAATGAGCTGCAAGATCAGCTTACAGAAAAAGAATCACTGGCTGCCACAGCCGAGAAGCAGCTTCGCGAAACTAAGGAGGAGCTCTCCTTCTTGAAGGAGCACGATAGCAAAATAGGCAAGGAAAATGAGAAGCTGATGACAGAGGTGAACGAATTCAAGATGCAGTTGGAGCGGCTAAATTTCGAGGGTAAAGAGGCTCAAATCACCATGGACGCCCTCAAAGAAGCCAATTCAGAACTCACCACTGAACTGGACGATATGAAGCAGCAGCTGTTGGACGCCAAGATGAGCGCTAAAGAGACAGGTGCTGCCCTCGATGAGAAGGAGAAGAAGAAGGCAGAGAAGATGGCCAAGATGATGGCTGGTTTCGAACTTGGAACCGATGTGTTCAGCGAGAATGAGCGATCCATTGCTGAAACTATTAAGCACATTGATTCTCTACTCGAACAGAGCACAATTGGCGATCACATTGCACCAGACGAGTTCAAGGCACTCCGAGCAAAGATGGTCGAGACTCAGGGCATTGTGAGACAAGCAGAGCTGTCTATGTATAGCGGATCATCCAATGATCTGGATGCCCGACGGAGGCAGGAGCTGGAGGCTAGGCTGGAGGCCTTGCAACAAGAATATGAGGATGTTTTGACACGCAATCTCAGCGAGTCCGATGTTGAAGAGGTTAAGGCACGACTGGAAGCCGTATACGCTAAACGCGAGAAGACTGAGACACAACTCGTCGAAGAACTCAAGGCTGACCTCGCCCAGAAGGCTTCTGAGAACGCAAGGATGAAGACTCTCATCGAGGAGCTTCAGCAGCGCGTCAAGGCTGGCGGCGCCGGTGCCATGGCCAACGGCAAGACTGTCCAGCAGCAGATTGCCGAGTTTGACGTGATGAAGAAGAGTCTCATGCGAGACTTGCAGAACCGCTGCGAGCGTGTCGTCGAGCTGGAGATTTCACTTGATGAGACCCGCGAGCAGTACAACAATGTGCTGCGGTCCTCCAACAACCGTGCTCAGCAGAAGAAGATGGCTTTCTTGGAAAGGAATTTGGAGCAGCTTACACAGGTTCAGCGCCAGCTGGTTGAACAAAACTCTTCCTTGAAGAAGGAGGTTGCCATTGCCGAGCGCAAGCTCATCGCGAGAAACGAGCGTATCCAGAGCCTGGAGAGTCTGCTGCAAGACAGCCAGGAGAAGATGGCGACTGCCAATCACAAGTATGTACCACCCGTTATCCCCCTTTTTTTTCCATTCTCTGTGACAGTAGTACATCAATGGACTGCTAGCAAAAGAAACATGATAAAACGCCTGGTGCTGACCTAGACTCCCCCCCCTTTCTAGGTTCGAGGTCCAACTTGCTTCTGTCAAGGAGCGCCTCGAGGCTGCCAAAGCTGGCAGCACCCGCGGCCTTGGTGGTGCCGGCGGCTTCAGCTTCTCTGGCGCTGGTAGCCGCATCGCCAAGCCTCTGCGCGGCGGCGGCGGCGATGCCCCTTCGACCCCCACGATCCAAGGCGGCGATGGAACCAGCAGCAAGCGCGGTAGTTGGTTCTTCAACAAGTCGTAGATTTTTATTATAAACCTGCGTTCTTCCGGAGCGGCGTTATGAAATACACTAGATGCGAGGTTTTTTTTTAAACTACAAACGCTTAGAAACCACCATGCCAACAAAACTCTGAACCCCTTAACCCTCAACCCTCCTCGCTCTTTTCTTTGTCCACCCTTACCTTTTTTTTTTTCTCTCACTCTTCATTCTCTACCATGCACATGCTCTGCTGACTTTGCTGGTTAAGGCTTTATCCGTTTTTGATTTCTTCTTTTGCCTTATATCTTTTGATATGTCTTGCTCTTACTTCTGCTCCCCCCTCTCTCTTATCTGCAATTTGAAAGTTTGGAACGAGAGATTGACGAAAGCGAGGGGTATGCGTATGCGTATGCGTGCCTTTTTCTCGAGATTTATATACATTGTTGTGTGGGTGAAGTCAGGGGAGTGATGATGAATGACGATTGTTGGATTCTGGGTCTTTTTTTCTTTACGAATTTTTTACCTGATGGTTACACGTTTGAATGAATTAAGACAGCTTGGTATGAATGAAATACAGCGAATGAGCAAAGAAAGACAGAGATGGAAATGAACCGAAGAGAGAAGAGAAAAACGGGCAGTGGGTGGGCTAGAGAGATTTCTACTGTTGGAGTTACGCGGTTGGGGGAGGGATATATTTATATATATGATAAAGACGTCACGCATGAAAGAATAAAGAATTAAAGAACACATGAGATATTAAAAGAGATTTTTTTTTGTAATTTATGACGAAGTATAAATATTGTGTGCATATATCATGAATGGTTTGCCAAGTTGGTTGTGCTGTGTGCGTGTGATGCGGCTCCAACCATGAGAGTCGCAGTACGAATAGTTAGTATAAGCATTGTTTGCCAGCAAGTGAGCAGGCAAGCAAGCGATTTAAGTGCTCTTTGCGCCGAACTTCATCAGGAGCAGGCCAGTAGGAATGAGAATGGCCCAAGAAAGGATCATTGTAGCCACAACGACGCCAAAAATCTTGGTGTAAAGGATGATCACGCGTCTCCAAGCAGCCTTGGAAAAGGTAGACCAGGCGTTGGCAACGGTGGCGTAGCCCAAGCCGCCCACCACTGCAGGCTCGACCTTGCCATCGAAAGAGCGGTCGAAGGGGATGATGGGATCTTCGTCTTCAGGGAGAAGCGAAGCCTGAACACGGACGAGAACGACGCGGGCGGGGATGATGACAACAACCCACAGCATTGTGCTCAGGAGAAAGTACACTCCTGCCTTGATCATATAAGAAATTTTGTGTTCGCTGAAGTCGTCAGGAAGGTTGCCAGAGCCCCAGCTGAAAGATGGCGCGTCAAAGCCGATCAGGCCGGACAGCAAGAGGGGAACCCATTGGTGCACTTGGGTGGCAACCCAGTAAATCACAACGGGCTTCCAAGTAGCAGTAAAGGCGCGCTTAAAGGTAGGCAGGCGGCGCCAAAATCTTCGAGGGGAAGGGTGCGAGATGACAATGTGAACCCAAGCAGTAGCGTATTGAACCATGACCAAGGATGCCAGCAGCTGGGCAAAAGGCCTAGCAGGGAACCAAGAGAAGAATGAGGCGACAACACTGCTGAGGATATTCTGGACTAGAAGACACATGAATCCACGGAAGTTGGCTCGGAAGCCGCCATACGAGGTGAGAAGGCGGTTGATGGAGCGAAGAGAAGAAGTCACAGTTCGAGGGGCGCCATCGGTAGGCTTGGGGGCGCCAGCGGTAGCCTCATCATCTCCGTTGCTAGGAAGGGGCTCATAGGCAGGGGGGTTCTCATCTTCAATGATGGTGAAGACGGGGTAGATGTAGAGTAGGGTATATTGAACCTATATGCTGGTGTTAGTGGAAACCAGCTTCACATGCACTCAAAAGGTGCAGGGAACGCAATGACGATACTCACCAGAAGCGAAATGGGGATAAGAATAATGGCGTCGGCAAGAATCAGAGGCCATCCCCAAGCGGGCATATGGAACTCGACAGGTTCTCCCGCTCCTCCTTGAACGGTCCAAGTCATGGTGGCGGAATGCTCGGGCAATGTACGAAATCAAAACTTCAGAGATGCTAATACCGATGCAGGTACAGTGACCCTAAAAGTGTCGCAATGAGCGCGCAATATGGATAAGTATTTCGTTCAGCTTTCCGGCTGCGAAACAAATACCGGAACCGATGGAAGAGAATGTGAAAAAGAGCAAGGCTAAAGAAGGAAAACAATTATTTGCGCTGATGGTTGGGAGAACCAGAGGCTTATAAGCCAGAGGAATCCCGGTGGGCTGTTTGGCAAAGGGACCACCCCAGTTCAAACGGCCTAGGCAGCACTGCCCTCCACCACGGCAAAAAGCTCGTGTATGAGCGCGTTAGTCTGTAGGCCCAGAAGACTAGCTGCCACAAAGCTCTCATTGCCCAGACTTATCGGCTATTTCTGCTTTGGGACGGCAACCTGATATATGAGGGGCGCCAACCCGGCCTTTGCCCAAAGCAGTGTTGTCGGGCTATTTTTTCTTCTCTTGGTGCAGCGAATTACATCAGCTGCGCAATGCATTGTTGACGCGTAGCTTGCATGAGCGCATCTATAAAGTTCGCAATGGTGTGTATCAGGCACATTCAACTACGCTGCTGTCTGCCTCACACCCTGGCTTTGCTGTCTTCTGCTCGATAGTTTGCTGCTGAATTGCCTTCACGGTGTATTGGCCTGTATATCCACAGAAATCTTGTCTTGACAACTGAACCATTGCGAGTCAGCTGTTATCGAAGTCCAGCAAGCGCTGCCGAAGTGGATAGAGCTCTAGAACCGGAAGAGAGAGGGTTCTAAAAAAAAATCAGTCGCAGCTTTCCGTCACGTAGTCAACCTGGTAAAAAGCCGAAAAGTCCGCATTATTAGAGAGGATGGGCGAAAAAAAGCTGAAAGGGCGTATATGAAGATGAAAAAGATAGAAGAGAAGAAGACGAAGACGAAAGGAAAGAAATGCAGACAAATGCAAGTGGCTTGTAAGTCCTGGCGACAAAAAAAACTGGCAAGATGCTCTCTGCGCGGTTCTTTCCACAGCGGCTGCTGGACGCGGCAGGCAGGCGAAAGCGCCCCGCAGCTTCCTTGAACACACAGCTGGAGTGGGGCAGCCTTTACTGTTCATTTGATGCAGAGACATTGACAGTTGACAGCGTACCCGTTTATTTCCAAGGTGTATTTTGTTCGGCACATTACCTTACTTATGGGTGTATATTCATCGTCTCACTGATTTAGGGGCCTTATCGTCGGATGAGGAAGCAAGAAGTACATTTTCCCTTTACTACGCGGGAGTCACATCACTTTGTATCGCATCGCATCGCGTCGCGTCGCATCGTATCACTGATAGAGGCCAGTGATATCTCATTACAACATCCAAGGGCCCCGTGGTCCTTCAGCTGAGCCCAAAATGTCAGCTCCATCCATCCCCAACTTGCTCTCACTCCGGGGCAGAGGCGGGGGCCGGGGCCGAAGCCGTGGCCGGGGGCAAAGACTTGGAGGCTCTAGCGGCGGTGGTGGCTCCGAAGCTCGTGGCAAGGCTCATGATGCTACGATCCAAGGCACCGACACCGATGCGGCCGTATCGAGGCTGAGTGCTGTCGAAATGGGCTATCTGAGTGACCCATATGCGCGGTATTTCGTGTCCAGCTTGGGGGGGCCTCCGGCGAGACGGTTTCCCATTATCAATCGAGGTTAGTTATGACAACTATCCAACTTTTATCCCTTCTTTTTTTGGCCATTTCGTAATGTAAATATGTATACTACAACTCAACTCACACAATTCTATAGGAACATACACACGTACAGCAGCTATAGATCATCTAGTCCAGTCGTTCCTCTCCGGGTTTACTGAAAAGACAGGAGGACAAGCCCCGGCTACGACGCAAATTGTTTCTCTAGGTGCTGGCACCGATACAAGGCCATTTAGACTCTTTGGCCAGCAGCATCAGGGGCAGCCGAATCTTATCTACCACGAAATTGATTTCTCAGTCATTAGCGCTAAGAAGCTCAAGACAGTTGAAGCAGTGCCGTCATTGGCAAGCATCTTAACCAATCGGTCCACAGGCGACACGGGCAACTGGTCAAGCAAGCCATCAAATGGAGAGTATTACTGCCACGGGCTCGATATTCGGCAGTTATCACCCACCTCTACGGAGACGCTGCCAGGACTTCGCACTGATGTTCCCACTCTCATCTTATCAGAGTGTTGCCTCTGCTATCTTCCACGAGAACAATCCGATGGAGTGCTTGAATACCTTACTTCCCGAATACCCAATGCAGCAGTCGTCATCTACGAGCCAATCCATCTTGGGGATCCTTTTAGCGATACCATGGTGTCGAATTTGGCAGCAAGGAACATTCACATGCCCAGCCTTGAGCGGCGCAGGAACGAAGCAGACGAAGCAGCTCGGCTTAAGAGGATAGGATTTGAGACTACCCGTCAATTGACAATTGATCGCATATGGACTAAATGGGTGGGTGCTGAGGAGAAGGAGAGAGTTGACAGACTCGAAGGGCTCGATGAAGTTGAAGAGTGGCAGCTACTTGCGGGACATTACATGATTATTTGGAGTTTCAGGGGAGAAGGGTTTGAGGGATGGAGAGCCATTGAGTAGAAAAATAAATAAAAAGTTCAGCGCAGCATGCTGGTTTAATGCTCGCCATCACTACCGTAGCCTGCAATAGCCAAAGATTGCATCATAACCGCTACTGTTAGCAGTGATGATGTGCTTTTGTCCATATTATAAACCTCCAGTACTCTTATTCAGGGTGTCAGTCTCATGTACCGTCCGTCGCTGTTTGCTGGGCAGTGACAAGCCGATTCTCATCACGTGACTTGTCACGGCGTTTGGTGTGTGTTTAGCATTTCACCAGCACATTCAGAGGGGGTGCAACTAGCATACTTCGCTTCTAACGAATCAGACTCCGATTCTGTCGCGTTGGTGCCTCTTCATCTCAGCCTCGACTGTCTCCTACTCATCGTGGTTTTCTTCTCTTTGTCTAGCTTTGGGGATTCCATTATTGCTCGAACTCGGCTTACTAAAATCAGCTTCAATTCATCTGCCTCTCTCGCTCCTCTCTACGCTCTCTCTTCTCTTTTTTTGGATTCATAGAAGCGAATACTTCTTTGTAAGCGACTCGGACGGATTCCGACTTTGGAGGCCAAAACTGCGGCAGTCGCTGTTCACCAATTGCGGAAGCTCACCCCAACAATTCCCAGATCCTTCGCTTGGATACACAAAGACGCTAGTTTTCATACGACTTTTCGCTTGAAATACCGATTTTCGAGGGCGGCTGCTGGACTTTTACGGGGGAGGCGCACGACTGGCGCTGTTCTGAAGGGGGAAGCCACTGGACGCGCTTCGTCCTACTTACAGGCTTTGGGCCTGATTACTACAGAAAGAGAAGGAAATTCGTTACTTATTGGAAATCTGGAAGCATGGCGGAATCAACCGCTGTCAAGGCGTATAAATATCGCCAAGAAATCAGTCAGGTGAGATACTGCCTACTTTCACTTGTACCTGAGCATTTTCGAGCATCAATGGGGCTCAGAAGTCTGGGCATTCATCATGATGGTGGCGATAATGGTTGATATCGTCACGCTTATTATCAAGTTATTCAATCGCACATATCTCGTTTCACCACCTTTTTTCTAAGCTGGACCTTCTCTTATATGCTGAGCGCATTTAACGAGTGAGCCGTCGTGAGTAAAAAGAGTTGCGTTCTTCTCATCATTCACTCTGAGAGCAGCTCAGACAATCTCATTTGTCATGGCAGACTACTACTTAATAATAACTCTTGAGGAAAATGCATCAGCGACCTTCAAATTCTGATCCTACATGCAACGCATCCTTCAACACCAACGCCTGGCAATGCCGCGTTTACCAGCTGCATCTCAATTATAGCCAAGTGGCAAGCATCAACCAACTCCTATAAATTTTACACACGCTCAGTTTTACCCTAAACGAGCTTCATCTTCCTCTTCACCTTCTCTTTACTTGAAATTTGCTATAGGGCCCTCAGCCTTACTTTTACTCAATCATGAGTGATCGATACTTCTACGCCAATGGGCGGCGATATCGCATGCGACCTGGATTCTTGTTGCGCCTTTCCAGACGAGCTATAACAATTGACTCTTTCCAACAGATGATGTACGTTTCTGGCGAGACAACCGAACCGTCAATAGAAACAACCGGTATCATCGAAGACATCGTCCGGCAGCAAGTCATCGAACTAGTAGGCCACCAGCTTTTTCTTTTGTGTATCTCAAATCGTACAAATTTAACTAAATATCAAACAATTCTTTAGTTACGAAACTGCACTGAGCTCGCTGCCCGTCGTGGCTCAAAATCGATCAGCACTAACGACCTCATTTTTCAAATCCGTCACGACCAAGCCAAAGTATCTCGTCTGCGCACATTTCTCTCCTGGAAAGACGTCCGTAAAAACGTCAAGGACTCTGACGACAAAGGTGCAGACGCGGATATCGCTGCTGGCGACGATGCTGTCGGCGGTGTCGTCCCTGGAGGCCCCGTAGACGAGGCAGCCAAGAAGAACAAAAAGGCCAAAGTCGGTCTCCCCTGGGAACCTGCGTCTTTCTACTCTGTCGAGGTCCCAGAGCGCGACGACGAAGAAGATGAGGAGGAGGAAGAGATGAACTACATCACCCTCCAGCGTCTGCGCAAGGCCGACGAGCGCACCAAAGTCATGACCCGAGAAGAGTACGTGACGTGGTCCGAATATCGTCAGGCGTCCTTCACCTGGCGCAAGGGCAAGCGCTTCCGTGAATGGGCTGGTTTTGGTGTCGTCACTGACAGCAAACCTTCGGACGATATTGTCGATATCCTTGGTTTTCTCACCTTTGAAATGGTCCAGACCCTAACCGAAGTTGCCCTCAAGGTCAAGGAGCAAGAGGACATGGCCCGCGCTCAGACCGGCGCCCTGGTCGAGGGTGGCACGAGCAAGAAGCGCAAGCTCCAGCAGGGCCTCTTCGACCCCCCTAGTGAGGGTCGCACGCCCATCGAGCCAAGGCACGTTCAGGAGGCCTTCCGGCGGTTCCAGCAAAGGCACAAGAAAACGCGTGCTATGCTCAACATTACGAGACTGGCACAACACACGACTCTAAATATTATTTAGACTCTTTTTTGTGCCACGTTCTCTTTCTCTTTTCTCTGCTTCTTCCTTTTTTTTTCTTCTCCTTTTTGCTCAAAGTATTCTTTTGGTTTGGGGGGTTCGCAATCACTTTTTTAGTCTTATCTGCTGCTCACTTGTTTGCTTTTCCCCCTTTTGCTTTTCCCCCCTCGTTTCGACTCGGAGTTTTGGGGCTACTCTGACCCGGTTCAATATGCGCTTGGAGAGGGTCTTGGGTCATCAGATACATGATCAAGAACAACGGATCTGAGAATCTGGTTATTTGACGATTGTATGATGGGTTAGTTGGTTTCTTTTGCAAAGTCAGTTGAAAGAGTTTAGCGCAATCGGTATTACTGTTGTCATGTCGTTTATCGGCGATGGGCGATGGGCAACGGTAAATAAAAGTGATTAAATGTATATAAACTCTATCAAGCGGTACATGTGAAATGTAAGCTCATGATTGCCATCGCGTAAAAATCAGTATACTTTCTTTCATACAGATCCAAACTCCTCATACTTCCTTTACAGGTGGGGTATATATCGTCTTTTTGCTTCATTAAAAATGACAAAAAAAATGATAAAATCTGGAACGCCAGATAATGAGTAGGAACACGCTCGCTTCGAAAACAGGAGAACAAAAAAAATCATGCTAGGAAAAGAATTATCCTTCCATTTTCCATTACCCTTTTCGAGGTCTAGCAGCTGAGTCAGGCCGCATACTAGTGATCGCGAATGACGCCCGTCTGACGGCTTCGTTTCCTTGCCAAAGCCGAGAGTTGACCCTCTGCAAGCTAGCAGGTATTTCTTCCAAATTCTCTCCGAAAAAGCTTCCTCTCCTATAAGAAGGCCGTCGCGCTCCAGCAACCCCTCGTCTTGGTCTCTGGTTGACATTATCTGTTTGAGCAGTAGCCAATGCAACCCGCCTCAAGACCGAATCTGGAAGTTCTCCTGGCTCCTCTGGAACGGCAATGCTACTGTGTTGAGTTGTTAATGAGCTGCTGGACTCGTTTGTGGAAGCCAGGGTTGCAGATTCCTGGCGAGAGTCTGCCATTTGTGCATAATGTTGATATTTTGGCTTTTCCAACAGTCCCGAGCGGAATGCATTTACTCCCACTAACATTTTGACCAGCTCGACTAATTCTTCCAAGTACTCAATAATTTCCATCTGACCGGCAGTACTGGCATTCCAGGAGAGAAAATTATGCTTGGTTATCAAACGTGCCATCCTTTCGCTTGTCTGATCATCGTACTCGCCCTCGGTTTTGCCATGGCTAGCATGACTTACCGTGGGTGTTACCAGAGCTGACGTTGATGTTTGTGACGTGATGATCTTACGGACTCTATGTATTAGCCGTAAATGCGCCAAGCGAGCTGATGGGATGAATTGTGGGAGCGGGAGCCAAGTTGTCAACGCCTCATTAACGGAGCACAGCATCAAGGTGCAACTTGCCACCATGCTCCGACGATACGTATAGACCTGCGGATTCAGGACTTCCAACACTGAGGAACCATACGCTGCTCGGAGCTGTACGACGTTGTCCATGCGGTCGATTACCTGGTGAAGCACGTATATGATTTCAGTATATATCGGCGCAAGCTTCTTAAAGCTGCCCTTCAGTCTTGGCTCAGTAGAACAGAACGGTAAAAAAGTCTCGGCCGCTGCAAGCGAAGCTTGGGCCCTTTCTCGCAATTGATCGAAATGGCGGTGCTGCTTTAGAGAGCGAGGATCAAAGAACTCAGGCTCATCGACGCCAACAGCTATGGCGCCCTGCATACCCTGGATATGACGCACACAGGCAGATAGGGATTCAACCAGGCGATCTCTGGCGCGCACAGGGGAGATAGACACCTCTACCAGAGTGGCGGTAACACCCCCTACCAAAAAAGCTATGAGGCGCTTGTAATAGACCTGTACCGCCAGTTCTGTACTATTCTCTGCCGCTAATAAAAATGGTCAGATATTGTCTTATGTCGGGCAGAAAGAAGAAAATCTAAAAGCTTACCTAGCGCAACCACATTGATTGATATAATGGCTGCTGCGCCAGCCTTGACATATTTCGTTGCAACATGGAAATAGGCCGCAGGTAGGATCGTAAAAGCGAGAACCACAACAGTAATAGCTCTACTCCCCCCTGCAATAACAAACGAGACGTATCCAGCTGTACAGCCAAGAACCAGCCCAATCATTCGGACAATAAAGGTGACCAAAGAAGTACCAATGGCCACTTCAAAGATAAATATCAGCTGAAGCGGAGCCCAAACGCCATGAACATCTCCGTACCACTGGTTCCAAGACGGTACAAAGGCCGGAAAGCTGACAAGAAAGACAGCAAAAGATAGCTTGAGTGCATACGCAAGATCGTCAGAGTCTTGAGCCCATTCTAAAGCATCTGCTGCTTTCCCTCGCAATTCTAAAATCCAGTTGTCAGGAGCATCTTTCTCTTCATGCCCATGTTTAGATCGCCGGTGATTATCGGCTGGCCCATTTTCTCTTCCTTTCTTCCCCCTTTTTTTGCTTCTTGTTTTTCTACTTTTCAAGACTTTCAGATATCTAGAAGTGGTTGTAGAGCCCGCTTCCTCATCGGTTATGCGCTCCCCCAGTTGTTGCTCATCACTCTCAAGAATGCCGCTAGATTCTTTCGATTGAGATTCAGATGGCCTTCCAGCCAAATCCCCGCGTCGTGCGGCCTGCCTCGCGCCTTCTGGAAGAACCATTGAATCACGTTCTCCAGCAGTACGAAGCCACTTTCGAAGACTTGAATAGTGAGGAATCCAGATGCGTGACTTATTATGGCGGCGCTGCCTCTGTTCCACCAAGTAGCGTGCATGGCGAAGCATATTCAAGACATGGGTTGAAGACTGGCGAAAGGCTAGAAGAAACGATGAAATGAGGAATGTCTCCATCCGGGGCATGAAATCAAGATATTGGCCTGTCTCTTGCATCGCAACCAGCTTAAGCTGTTGGATAGATTGCTGGTCAAACGCTGCTAGAGCATCGGCGAAAAGGTCGATGCGCAGATCAATCTCTTCTAAACGAATACCTCGAGGGGTAGGCGCGCCAGAGGGTAGGGTGGGAACATCATAGCAATATGCCAGACAGGATATAAGAAGAGCCACCGCTGCATTTGTAGAGGCTTGGAACTCTTGTACAGGAGCTTGAAGCCGCATAACAATTGATTCAAGAAGCTCGGCGCTGCTCAACTCAATTTGCCTATTCAGCGTGGCGTAGTCGGCTCTGCTATGGGGATCGATGGAGTTGCCTGCTTTCGATCTAGATCTTATATTAGAGTTGACTTTTAGGTAAGCTTCTGGGGCACCGGTCGACGGTGTGGTTGATTCAGGGCTGTGCGTGTTCTCTGTTGAGAGTTCTGGATCATCACTTGCCAAGCCGTTCTCTTCACGACCCTCATCATCAAGTACTATGAACTTGTTTTCGCAAGCACCAATTAGTGTAATAATGCTCTGGGACAGACTGCTCATGAGATCAACGCTAATGCGTTTCATATCACCAGGAGCAAGGGGTGAGATGGAAATCTCAAAATTAACTTCATTCTGTGCAGTCTTACACGCAGCAAGCTTAGATCGGATTGTAGGTTTCTTTTCCATTAGAGACGCAAGCGTGGTCGCATGTAGTGGTATTTTGGATACTGTAGCTATAGCCCTGGCAGATCGAAAGGGATTCGGGAAAGCGGAGAAGAATTTGCGCCAGTAACGGATGATGGATTGTTTCTTCTGGCTCATTTTCTGCTGCTGCTGCTGCTCAATATCCCTATCGTTGGTCACTGTGGTGCTGCGCACGCTATCCTGATCTCGAGTTTCAACACAGTCGCCCCCAGGGGTGGCGAACCAGTAGGTAGCTCGCTCCAATGTGTTGGCCATTTCGGAGAGGGCGTTGATGGTAGAAGTTCCCAGGTAACTACCAGAAAGCTCTGGGAATATGACAACGTTGGCGAAAAGCATAATGCCAACGCCAATAAGAATTGGTACGTAGATAGTTTCATATAAGAGTGGTGTAGCCTTGGTTGGTGCCGTGAGCGTGGTTATCGCGGGTAGCATGACGAACAAGACAAATAAAAAGAGTCGAGGACTAGAGGACCGTATATAGCCGTGAATCAAGATACACGCAAGGTAGAACAGAGCCCGAATAGTAAACGCAGCGGGCTTGTTGTCATCATAGACCAAGCTCGCGAGGTATAAACCCAGGATGCACCATGATAAGCCCAGGCCGGAGCCGAAAATGACCATGATGATGTTCTCAATGACAACGCCCAACCGCTGGCCTGGGTGTGCAAAGGCAACAGTCATTGGAATAAGAAATGTTGACCAGCTTCTGATCTGGGGGAGAATGGCAATCGTGGTTGCAATCACACAAGCTATGAAATCCTTGAGAATCCGCTGCCAGAGATCCTTGGTGCCGTGGTCGCCCCAGAGGGAGGCAACGATCCTGCGTAGGAGCTTTGCCATTGCCAAGTAGAGTAGGGATTCTTCTGTAACCACATCATCCCTTGAAATCAAAGATTCTAAGCTGTGATTTTTTAGAAGTGTTGAGTGTTTGTCGCAAAAAGCCGAGTCCGGGGGGCCGGAGAGGCGAGCGGGAGACTCTCGGGGAAAAGATAAGGAATGCGAGCTTGCGCTGGTTAATCTGACGATGGCTGCATGAAAGATGCCAGGATCAGACCCTTCGTCTGTGAGTTTTACTGCGTGGAGCGTTGAACTGGACTCCGAGGTCGTGAAAGGGAAGGGGAGGCGAAAGAGAAGAGAAGACTCAAGAAAGCGTAGAAATGGTGGAGGGAGGCGAAAGAATAGAAGAATGAATCAGGATTTGACAGACTGAACGATTCCAGAGCTGGTGAGATCGACGATCGGTGTGAGGTCACGTCTTTTTTTTTTTTTTTTCCTTTTCCAGAGATGGAAGGAGTAGTCGGTCAAAAAAAAGGACAGCAACGAAGATCCATAGAGCTTATGGTGTGCTGGAGATGGGGAGCTCGAGGAGGGGCATGGAACAGGCCACTAAACCACTGGATGGGCCTGGGTTTTAGGCTAAGGGTCGCCCGGTGGCGCTCTCCAGGCCCACCCCGGTAGGCGTCTCAATCGCTAACAGTACTACTAATAAATCTGACATCTTCTGCAAAGGATTACATAGAGGACAGCCACAATGGCATCGGCACTACCAAGGTACGTAGCCCAGTTGAAGCAGTCTTCTATGATCGACCTTACAAATTGCACGCACTACGCATATGCCTAATAGATGGGAAAGCGCTATAGCATTGTTAGCTATAGGCCAGAGGCGCTATAATTGCGCTACAGCAGCACTCGAGCTTAAAGCGTAGCCTATAATTACATTACTATGGAGCAGTGATACACAAAGATAAACTCAACGGAGGTGATCAGCAGTCAAAAAGAACGGGTCAGGTAAAAACTGTTGCTTTCATTGTCGACGCTCGCCCACTGCTTAATAGGCAGACAGACCTATCTATTTGCAGCTACAGCGTAGGTGGGCGTTCCTCTCTAGCAAAGCGGATTGCAGACGACGAGTCAGCGGCAACGTTATCCGGACATGCATTGAAGCAGTGGGGAATTCCTTTGCCCGGTGGTATGATTTGATCTGATGTTTTCTTTTCGTTTTTGTCGTTCTCTCATATTCGGATTTTTTTCTCTGTTTTTTTGCTCTTCTCTCGGCATATGACGTACAACCACTCCATACTTGTGTGCTCAGTAGCGGCCATCGAGAGACACCAAATGACCACTCATCAGTGCGTCTTGGCCTCGTATCGTCTCTTGTATACGCCACCATTCCTATGATTCCTCATCAGTTGACACAAGGCAATGGTATCTCTCCCATTATTTGCTAATAGTCTCCGCTACACACATGATTCAAGTTAGTTCTTCCCCAACACTCATCACAATCCTCTTGCTCTTTAAGCCGCATACATGTCAACCAACCCTTTTAACTACCTTAGCCTTTTATGATTTCCACTCATGCAATAACTTTTTTTTTTTTTTTTTTTTTTTTTTTTTTTTTTTTTTTTTTTTTTTTATTTCATCTCCTAAAAGAATCAAAAGTAATTGAACTATAATATTCTTCATCATCAGAATGAGCACATGTATCTGACTGTGATATATTGCTGTTATTGCTCTCTTCTTCTCAAGTCCCCACTGGCCCTTCTCTCGGCCCGGCCGCCAATGGCATCCGATCCGCATGCTCCGGCCCCACGGTTCCCTAGACGCGCTGTAATTGAGCAACGTCCAACTAAACCATCGACGTCTGTATTATTCATCCTCCATCTCGGCGCCCATCCTGCTACTCTCCCTCAACTACACCAAAACTCGTCGCTCTCTCTTTCTCTCTCCTCCTCCAACAATCATGCTCTCCTTCATCCTCATCCAAAACAGACAGTAAGCCTGCCTCTTCTCCAACCCACGCGCGTCTTTTCCCCCCCAAAAAAAATAACCTTCGCAAAACTAACTCCTCCAATCAATCAATAGGGGCAAAACCCGCCTCGCCAAATGGTACGCCCCCTACAGCGACGACGAAAAGATCAAGCTCAAGGGCGAGGTCCACCGCCTCGTCGCCCCGCGCGACCAGAAATACCAGTCCAACTTTGTCGAGTTCCGCAACAACAAGATCGTCTACCGCCGCTACGCGGGCCTCTTCTTCTGCGCCTGCGTCGACACAAACGACAACGAGCTCGCCTTCCTCGAGGCCATCCACTTCTTCGTTGAGGTCCTCGACTCCTTCTTCGGCAACGTCTGCGAGCTCGACCTCGTCTTCAATTTTTACAAGGTCTACGCCATCCTCGATGAGGTCTTTCTGGCGGGCGAGATTGAGGAGACGAGCAAGCAGGTTGTGTTGACGCGGCTGGAACATCTGGATAAGCTGGAGTGATGTGTACAGGAATGGGGAAGACGCGTCTTTTTTCTTTCCTTCCTCTATTCCAAACTTCTCTTTTCTCCCTCTTTGCCTCCGAGGGAACTTTGAGAGAATAGGGGACACAATTTATCGGTTTCTTTACATCTACGTATATATTCATTTCGCGACTCGGAGTTACCAGGAAGCCCAACAGGATTTTTTATTTTTTATGATTTTACACTTATCTTTTATTCGCCCTTTTCGCAATCTAGCAGAGGAGCGTGTTGATAATGCATTATTGGATGCAAAGGATATCATAGGCAAGGGTGTTTGGGCGTCTTGGGAAATAGCGGATTGCAAGATTGTGGTGGCCAGGATATGTAAGAAGCCTGCGGCGTGATTTTGTCGCTGTCTTCTTTATTCCTCAGCTCCAGGGGTAATTTGCTGTCATCAATGTATGTCTAGGTATTTAGTCAGATAATTAATTTATTAATTAAAACATGAGAAGGCATCGAATTATGATGAGAGAACCAATGTATCAAACGTTAGATATCAATGGCAATGGTAGCCTCAACTGATGGTACGGGCGATCCTCAGTCGCAAATTAGAAAAACACGGCTGTTCAAACAAGAAGATTGTCGCAAGAGACTTTTTTCTATCCTTACCGCAAATCAAGAGACTATATGTATACGGACTATATTGACGAACAAAGCAAATTCCTAATGTATTTCTCTCTCTCAATCTCAATCGTCCCTATAAAAACGCAAGCTTTGAACTAGATTCCATCGACTAAAGGAAAGAATGGAAAAGGAAGGAATATGATGAAGACATGAATAGCAGCCATTTGCCTTGCCGCAATATTCGTAAGTGAAGTCCCATTGCAGCACAATGAACTTTATCCCGTGGGCCCTTAGTATGGATCGTATTCAGATTCTGACGGCGATTGGTGGCATTCATCAAGATACATTGTATCCCACAAATCAAGTGCTGTTGGGCGGTTTGCCATCTGGATCCACGTATTGTCTTGGTTGTGGAATAACTCGTGAACGGCTGGGTCATACGGCGGACCTCTGCCAAGCGGCTTGTTGGTGACTCCAAGATAGATATCCGACTTGTCTTGCGGCTGCAATTGCGGCTGCGGTGTCTGAGTGCACGGCGCAAGCCCCGGTGCAAAGCATTCTCCCTCATCCATTCCCATGAGACTATCAAGAAGGAATGGTCCCTCATATTCTTCTTCCAGTTTCTGCTTTTTGCGTGCTTCTTCTTGACCTGGAATTATCATACTGCAGCCACCTTGTCTTTTCTCTTCTTCAACTGTTGTAAGGAAACGATCAGCTTCTGCCACGCAGCCATCACCACCATAATCATCATCGCTGTCAATACAGATCAAGTCATACGAAAAAACAAGGCTCTTCGTATCAACATATTCCTTCTCTTCTTTGCCGCCACGATCCTATATAGAGGAGAAGAATATTAGTTACAGTATTTTCCAACCGTTGTTTAGCGCAGCCAAATAGATAGGTCAAAGACACTTACAACTTCCTAAGGTGACAAACGGCCGTCAGTGTGTCGGACCCCTCTCAAAGTAGGGCCACTGCCAAATTCTTTGCCACCAACATCATTGAAACAAGTGAATTTGGCCTCTTCGATCTCAGAGCCGCTATTAAGCATGATTAAATCCGAAGACGATTTATCATCTGCTTCCAGCTGAGCAGATGGCACTTGCTTGGGCAGTAGCTCATCGGCATAATTGCTACCAGTCGCCATCCAGGCCGCGCGCTGGGGATCCATGTGCATTTTGTCATTCGATAAATCTGCCATCTCCTTATTGCCTGGTTTATAGACGAAGTTGGCTGACTTGCTATTGACGGTGCAGAAATAATTATAGTGATCACCCTGTTGGCCACAATTCAGGCAAACATATTCAGGCCCAGGAACAAGTTGATTAAGGGCGGTTTTATTCTTTTTCTCTCGGGGGACTGCGGTAACCTCATTGAATAAGCCAAGAAGATCTACAGAATCTGATGCAGTAGGAGAAAGAGCAAGGAAAGTATCGGCAAGAGCAGCGCCGTCAGGGGGGGTCGCAACAAGGGGGAGCCAACCTGTGATACTGCACTGCTTACAAACACAGTCGTCACTTCGAGTCCTGCATTTTCCAGCCTGGTCAGGCGCGGAGCCCCAGGTGCTGGCTTGTCCGAGGTCATAGGGGGCACAGTCTTCGGGTTGATGTTCCTCATGCAGCGGAGCAGGCCCATCTTCGACCTTGACACTGTCGTGGTAATAGTGATGATTCTGGTGTCTGTGAAGTTTGCTGAAGCTTTCTTGCACATGCTTCTGATACTTTCCCTTTGGCATTGATTGGAGGTTGTGATTATAGGCAGGGTAAGTCTGGGGGAGAGGATCCTTAGCAGCAGCGAGAAGCGCAGCATGATCAGCAGCAGCTTGAGCATCTTCTACCCATCGGTGCCAGTGATCATAGATATAATCCACGATGGAGCGGAAGTCAGTCAGAGTTTCTCCAGAAACTCGCAGCGAAACTTGGCTGGCAAGGTGAGGGCGCAATCTGTGAAATGCTGTGTAGAAAATCTGGCAGCACATGTCTTGAGAGCAGCCTCTGCGTTGAAGGAAGACACATAGATCTTTAACGTTGGGCGAAGTACCAGCGAAGGAGTTGCGGCAGATCTTCTCCCGAAGCCAAATGGCACAGATGGAGACGATGTTGATAATCGAGAGCTGGTTGATGGCTCCGTCAATTCTCTTCTCAAGTGTATCTTGACGCATGAAGCCGACGTTGTAGAGGTCCCGAAGGCCATTGCATCCCATGGTGACTTGCACGTGAAAGAGCACCTGGTCATTGGAATCCATAGAGAACTTGGCATCCCCCATTGTGAAGGAGTGCTTGTGGTCGTGATTGTTGGAGGGCAACGGGGAAGAAGATCCGTTCAGTTGTTGGTCAAGCTGGCTAAAATCCTTTTCATTGAGTTGTTGATGAAGAAAAAGATCTCGGCGTAGCTGGGCGTCATCCCCTTCGTCGGGGGTATCAAAGGGACTAAGCAAGATACGCACAATCTGCCGTTTGTATCTTTCAAGATGGGCCACAAAGAGTGAGGCGAGTGTGAAGATGGAGAGGCAGACAAGGCAGAAGAAAAGAGAAGCAGTCAGGGTGCCAAGCTTCTTCGGTTCTTCATGCCTCTCTGCTTGCACGAGCACGTGAGGCGACATGTTGGCAGCTGGCACCTGGGCAACCGCCAAAGCACGCAGCAGAAAAGCCAGCGACTGCGAACCAGCCAGTAAGACAAATTGAGAGCCAACCGTCAGTCTAGGGAATGAACAAGCCCTTATGGCAGTCGATGATGAGGCAAATACAGAGTCAATGTTGATGAAAGACAGATTGTCTCTCTATCTCTCGTATCAGTGAGAGCACATGAACGCGAACCTCTAAAGGAAAGAGACGAATGGAAAAGCCTCCGTCAGACTAACATGATAAAAAGTCCAGGGTCTGGGAGGGGAAGAGAGAAAGAAAGTAGGGTCTGAGAAAGAAGGAGGGGAGAGCAGCAACAGAAAATAAAATAAAATAAAAAAAGAGGAACGGAACCCGAGGCAGAGCTGCATGGCAACGCTGGCACCTTAAATAATGCCTGGCCAAATAGCTCATGCTGTGTAACAAGAGTCGGTGCTCGTGACTGGTCCAATTTGCGGCATGAAAAAGAGGCCAACCAGGCCAGGGGGATAAAAAAAAATATATGCAGTGCTTGGATGATGCGCGTGGGCGTATTTTCGTGGAGTCACGGCCACACGCATTTATTCATGGAACCCATGTGTACCTACACCCTACACAGGCATGGACAGGTACGTCAACGGGTGGTACTGCTACCGTAGCCACCCAAATATCGGCGATGGCACGGCAGTTGGAGGTAACGGCACAAGAAGTATAAGGTAGTAGGTATATACAAATACAGTACACCACCTAGGTGCGCCGCCCAGCTCGCGTAATAACAAGTGTCTGTATCTCGCCAGCATGTGCTTTGTACCGCTCTGATCCGCTCTGCCCTGCTTTCTCTGAAATGGTTTGCATCGCTCGCTCTCGCAGTAATATTCCATTTGTTCCATCCGGCCCATTATCACATCATAGCCATAGCATGTGCGCTTCACCTCTTCTTCAACGCCGCAAACCGTCTCTCTAAATCTCCGATATCCGGTACTGACCCTTCCGGCTCTGACTTCTTCCTCACCACCGGCACCTCGTCCTTCTTGCTCTTCAGTTCGATAGATCCCATCATCACCTTGGGATGCACGTTGTCCGTCGTCATCCGCGGCGGCGTCACCATTAGCGGGCTCTTGGGCTCGCCCAGCTTCGCGCTCGGCGGTGTTGCTCGATTCATCTGCTCTTCGCCCAGAGAGAGCTTCCTTTGCGCCTCAGTGAGGGGCTTGTCTAAATCGTTCCTCTGAGCCTGTCCGCCGCCTCCCGCTCCATCGCCATCCCCATCTCCCTTGCCTTCAAGGTCCTCATCCAGCAAATCCGGTGGAGGTGGCGAGGAAACCTCCCTTCTGGGCCAATCCACGCCGTATGCCTTGGCAATCTCTTCTAGATACCCCGTCACCAGCTCTCGTCGTGGCGCCTCTACGCTTAGCTTCTTGACCACCTTCTCGTTGACCTTGCCGTCTGTATTATCCATAGCCGCCAACACAAACTCCTTGCCGTACTTCTCCGCCAGCAGCGTCCGCACCGTCATCAACTCCTTGATCTCGGTCTTGGGTGCCGCGTACAGGATGCTCTTGACAGCCTCCTCCAATCCAGGGTCGCATACCGGGCCCTCTAGAAGCCCCGCGCGCGCAAGTAATAGCTCGCAGTAGAGCTCCAGCAGCTCATGTAGCTCGCTGGTGATGTCGGAGCGGATGATGTTCTCGACGCGGATCGTTGCTGAGTCGACTTTGCCAGCCTCGAGGAGCTGCGCCATTGCTCGGCGATGCGTCTTTCCAAGCTGCTCATCCCGCTGTTGCACCATGCGCAGGCGCGCAATGGCCAGCTTCAGCTGGACCTTGAGCTTGGTCTGTACAGCCACCGCGCATTAGTATCTTGCGAGATTCTATGGCTGGGTGCTGGCCAATTTCAAGGGAAGTCTTTGATTCAACTTACCTGCCAGGTAGCTGTGGGGGGCATCGCGGGGGAGGGGAATCAAGCAGCAGCAGTGCAATGAATATGAAGAGAAAGACGAAGAAGAAGAGACGAGATAATGCAGGCCCCAGGCTCTGGACTTTATGTAGGAATTGGCACACGAGGCAGCAAGATTCAACAAGGGCTACCTATGGCAGGCAGACATGAAAAGAAGCTTGACACCTGGTGAGCCGACAGAGAGAGCAACGTCACCGAGGTGCTCTGAGGTATCTTAGCGTTGAAGTAGACGGCACTTCCGGGCGCAGGCAGCGAGGTACACAGTAACCCCATATCTAGATAGCACGGTTATTGATACTGTGCACTATGAACTCTTGGTCCAAAAAGAAAGATAAACACAGTATCTTAGTAGTAGGTAGACAATGAGACAACTTGTATGGATCAAGGGGGGTGTTTGTATTTCGACAGAAATTCACTCTGAATAGAGCAAGCGGTGGACGGCAAAGAATACATGAGCTGGATCAGAAGAAAAGAGCAGGGTTTCAATAATCAGTGTTGCATTGGGAAGAGAAAAGCGGTTCCGCAGTTGATTTAATGTTCAAGGCAGCATCTGACGAAACAAAAGCGGTGTGAGAGAAACGAAAGGCAGAAAGAAGATGGAAGTCAACTTAGCCGTCGTTTTTACTACTCTTATATAAAGCGGTCGCGAATAGCTTCAACCCATCCAGCATCTACCACAAGGTACACAGTAACCCCCACCTCCAGATAGCACAGCCGAGTACCTTGTTCAATACCTACTAGTAGTTCTCGAACCAGAATGTGCCTTGTCTAACTTGTCCAACACTTATTAGTCTAGCTCGCCCACTAAGACATTCATCCGCCCACTGCGGGGCCGCTCAAGGCACCAGATTTGACCTCCCACCTCCCAGTTCTGAGACATCCCTACACCACCACACTTATACCGTAAACTACAACTCCAAGGTTCTCTCATGGCCGAGGTTCACTTTTGGCCGCAGAGAAGAGTACTCTAGAACGACTTCCGCCAGGCACAAGAATGCAAACCACAGAAACATTGAGATACCTTCCACCTTCGTAGTACCAGGTAGTACCTAACACGCCCACTCCCTCATATTTCTTGTCCCACGCCAGCCACCAGGAACCAGCAGCAGCACCATTCTCCGTACAACGGGCCTCGATTCCGGTCAATGCATTCATTGGCTACAAGGAGCCCCCGGTAGGTGCAGTAACAACGTGGTAAGCCGTGATAGGAGGCAGTAAGTGCTATTTAGCTGCCGGCTCGTGCTGCATCTCGTGTACTTGCAGCAACTAGGTAGGCAGTGGCTGATCCGGTTGGTCAATGTAAAACGCATGTCTCATAAATCAGGCACCCAAGTTATACGGACAAGGAACAAACAGCATTTCTACATACAAATAGCATACTACAAAAATAAGAGCCACAAGTATCTGAAACAGTCTCTGTATCCATATTGTAAATCTCTCCGGTTGGTTGCCTTATCCACTCCCCAGTGAGCCCAACCACTCCACTCTCCTACATATTCTACCAGTATGTAATCCAGTAATTAGTATAGTAGTAATGTGCCGACGCCGGCCTGCATTCCATTGAATCCTCGTCTATTGAATGTCTCCGTCGGGAGAATCCGGTGATGTATCAGTCCACCACACCCAACCACCTCTTCTATTCAAAATGCCACAGATAGATGCGGTGTTGTGTTTATAATATGAATAATATGAAGGGAGAGGAGGAAAACAAGTAAAGAAGGAGGGGAAAAAAAAAAAGAAAAGAAAAAAACAGCTCAAGAAAACTCCAGTGTGAAATCCTTCATAGCCGTTTAACGCCCGTTGTTGTCCCATGTACCCATCCATGTGTGTTTGTTTTTTTGCAAATTCGTCGTCATGCATGTACACTGTCCTACTCTCGCCATCCTGTGGCCGTAAGCAAACGGATCGTCGTGTAGTAGTCCAGAAAGAGAAGTAAAAGAAAGAAGTAACAGTAACCATCACCGCCACCATTATAATCACCAACCGAGCTGCTGCAATGGACCGCGCCGTTATACCTATTCCATCTCAGAATTGCCGGCAACCGTTGGGATTCCGTCAATCGCCTCCCCCTGGAAGACCTGGCTGCCCTCGTACGTCACGCGTCGCCAGCCGCACGGCTCGTTGCTGTCCTTGATCCATTCCATAGTAGGGAAGTAATGGTCATTCTTCTTCATTGTGATCACCCACGGTACCGAGTCAAAAGTGACTGCTTTGATGCGGAAATCTAGGTTGCAAGTTACATTAGCTCTATTTTTGCATATAACGCGTGCAGCAAACGAGAGGGGAAAGGGGTGGTCTTACAAGAGTTGTCGGGGATTTTCCGGGTCGCCGCAATGAACGAGTCCAGATCCGGCGTTGACTCGCCATTGACATGGGTGATAAAATTGGTCGGGGCAAGCCCATACTGGTAGGCTGGGGAGCCTCGAATTCGGCTCGACACGTATACCTCGCTGTGAAGTTTGCTGATCTGCTGGCGAACGGCCAAGTGCGGGCGATGGAGGATGGCTCCGCAAAAGGACACGGCATGGTGTGTTTCCATGTCGTCGGCAAGTACCGTTGGAAGCTGGAGGTGCATCTCTTCACAGTTTCGCACAATAACAGCGTCCAGAACCTCGTTCGAGTACATCACGTCAAAGTCGGAGATGGTGGTGCAGATTTTGCCGTTGAGTGTCAGCACCACGTCGCCTTCGAGGAGCGATACCGGGTGATTAACCCGTTCAAATGTCCGCTTGCTGACCATGAACAGCTGGTGGTGAGACCGGTTTGCTTGTGTAACCTTCTTGATCCATTCGTCCGAGACTCCCATCACACGTGCCTGAGACATGTGGATGGATCGGAACTCAACCGAGAGCATATGGAGGCGCGGCGTTTCTCCCCGCTGAATGGCTGAAATAACGGGCAGCAGGGTCGGTGTGCCTAAGCCGAGATGGTACTCCTCATCTCTCTGATTGTTTGGGGAGCGCTCTCCGAGATACTGCAGCCACAGGGCCTGCACGGTTCCGTCCTCCGCTACGAGAACACCACTGCCGCACGACACTCCAAGGTTGCTGTCGATTGTGATGGCATCTACGTTGACGGCGCGGTATCGCGGTGCCCCCGAGTTTGCCGGGATAGCAACCGCTGTAATCTCCGTCACGGTGGTAGAGCCGTGCACGACTCTACTTATCCTGTTGTAGCCCAGGAAGTAGGTCTTTGCACCCTGGGTGAGGTGCTGATCGCTGAGCCGGGCGCTCACGACGGGAGCGTCCACTAAAGCGGGATCGTACTTGATGATGGCGTAGTTCTGCAGCGGATGTAGGAAAACAACCTTGCCCTCAACCATGATGGAATCAGCAATGGTGACGGTGATGTCGCACAGATCATACGGCACCACAGCTCGAGAAATGAGGACGAGACCTTTGTCGGCGTCGATGACAAGGCCCATTCCCCATCGTCGGTTTTTTGGGAAACCGTCTAGTTTGACGGGCATAGAGCAATTGACATGCACAAAGCTGCGGATCAAGGAGGCGATGCCAAGGTGCGGCATGTGATCCAACTCGATAAAGGAGGCAGATCGCCGAACAGGGGCGACCGGGGGTAGGGGCTCACCGAGGTCAGAAAAGTCCCATAGACCAGTTACATCGTTGCGAACGGCCAGTTTCATCTTAGCCGACCAGTGACGGTCGATATATACAATGGTCGTGTTGAGCGTGTGCAGATCGCGCAGGTGCTTATACTTGACCACCACCCGCGCCTTGTCAGGGATTTGCTTCAACACCTCGATAAACGTATCCAGATCGGGCACTGCCTTCTGGTCGACAGACTGCACGATGAAGCCGTTGTCCGTGTTGTCGAACCGGAAAGATCCTGCGGCCTCGCAGATGTACACTCCCTTGACAGCCACGCCATAAAGCCTGGCCTGCTGGTAGGAAATGTCGTGGAAGCTCGCCCCAGCGACGGTCACGAAGCGATCTGGCGTAATCTTGTGAAGATCGCCAACTTCGATATCGACCTCGATGTCCTCTCCTCCACGTTGCAAGTGAAACTTGATACTGTTGCCCACGTTTGAGTCTAGGATGTCGTCGAGGCGGATGAACTGGGTAAGCAGCTCGCCATTGACCTTGATGAGAACGTCACCCTCTTCAATCTTGCCATCGGAAGGCCCAGAGGGCAGGACAATTTCAGCAACCAGCATGTTGGTTTCCTCCGGGAAAGCCTTCCGCGTCGCCGACTCCCACTCAGGGGTAAGTCCTAGCCTGCGGCACTCGTCAAAAGGCTTCAGCAAAAATTGGCACTGAATATCACCACGCGTAACTGGTTTGCCCTGTTGGATGCACTGGAGTGCGCGTAGCGGTCGGTCAAGGGGCAGGAAATAGTCGGTAGAGGCGCCATCGGAGCGGCCACCGGCCTGGAGCGCAACGGCGTTGCCATCCTTATTCACGACGGGACTGCCAGAACTACCACCACTAGCAGCAGCGTTTGCCTGGTAGTAGCACGTATTAAAGTCGCTGTATCCATCGCCGTACTCGGGCGCGTTTCGATCCAGACGGCTGATGACACCGGAAAGGATACTCAGCTTTTCGCCTGCATCGTTACCGACGACGCGGATTTCGGTGCCAACTAAGATACGACACTCAAATTAGTCCTCTTATCCCCTCGCTCCCGCCGGTCAGCCTCGGTATTTATAAACGCACCTTTTGCCAGGTCTGGACTTAGCGTGAGTCCATCCACGTGCATGTACTTAATCGCCTTGGGGTCGTATCGAAGGATGCCAAAGTCGTGAATGGGGTCGCGGTACACAGGATAGCAGTCGACTTCTTCGTGATTGTCAAAGACGCAGTGCCCCCAGAACGGGCCAGAGCCGACAACATGGCGATTTGTCATGATGTAGCTAAAACAGTAACATGTTAGTATTGGCACATCAGATCTCCTACTGGCATCGATTGGCTGCCAATCCAAGTGGGCAGCTACAAAACTGGGCAAGGATGCGTCGCACGTACCCTCTCTCTGAATCAACGACAAAGCCGGTGGCCTCGCTTGTCAGTGCAGGATCCGTGTCGAAGGAGCATGTCTGGCAGAATCGAATGGCGACAACGTTGCGGACGACCTTCTGGATGGTGTCCTGCCACTCGCCGAAACTGCCGGGCGTGCCAACATACATGGCCACGGGGTGAATGTCGCTGGCAGCATCGGAGCGGTCGTCGTAGCTGACATCGTCGATGGTGATGTCGGGAGTCGTCATATCCGTGTCGATACTCGGCTTGTTGCTGCCGTTGACTGGCCTCTTTGCCGGAGGGCTGGTCTGAAGAGAGCCGTCGGCTTTCCTCTTACCACCCGTTGAAGCTGGTGTCCCGTTCATTGTTGCTCGTTTCCTGTTGATGCTCTTCTATCTCTCCTTTTATTCTTAATCGATTTATTTGCTGCTTTAACCCCTTAGCCTTAAACGGGGCTTGCCGAGTAGCTCGGGGGGCGGAAATAAGATTGATCTCGTTCCTTCTTTGATGAGTATTCTGTCGCCAGCTCTTCTTCTCTTATCTTAGAAGAGGACTGGCTATCCGTGGCGAGGCGCAGGAAGAGCGCGAAAAAAGCGATCCCGGTAAATCAAATCCTCCAAGTTGGCTCTCGTCTCCTCTTTATCTATACAGCCCAAGGTGGCAATCGGCGCATTCACGTTTGTACGCTCGGCCGCGGGGTGGAAAAGCGAGGGCGATTGGCGACTTGCGCGCAGTGTGTCGCGTAGGGTAGCAGCGCATCAAAGACGCGGCAAGATCCAGCGGAGCGCGTGATGCCCAAGGCTGAGGAAGGGAGAGGGAGAAAGGCGCAGAGAGAAAAGGATGGTGGTGGACGGACAATGGCAGTGAAGCAACGGCCCATGTGATGTCGGTCCTTTGGAAATCGGTTCTGGGTATGCACAAACTTGGAGTCGTGGAGAAAAAAAAGGTGGATCAGCAGGCAGGCTTCGCTGCGGGTACGTACTGCCGCTGCTTCTGCTGCTAGGTACTAAGGTACGGTACTGCTACCAGCGCCAGTGCTAGCACTTTGGTACCTGGTGCTACTTAGTATCGTACTGTGGATGGCGATAACCCATGCTCGCAAAAGGGTGCTAAACGTGCTAACAAAACGACTAAGACGCACAAGCAAACACGCCGAGGTGAGTGAATGTTTGTAGCCGTTGCTGAGCCTCAGGTCCATCCGGGTTCACCTACCGCTGCCAAGCCGGCTCTGTTATTGGTTTATAGAGGGACAGGGCGCGTTGATGCTCCGCAATAGTAGCTGCCCCCCCCTTGTCCTTCAGCTGCGCTTTATAGGCTATAGTAGGTAGTAGTAGTAGGTCATACGATGAAGATATCATAACAGAGGTGTTGCTATTCGCCGCTATACCATCGTACAGCAATTTTAGGCCTCGTAGCGCAGCAAAAACGCTGCCCTGGTGCCCGCATATGCAGCTCCAGGGTAAGCCCCCAACTCAACCCCAAGTGCCCCCTGGTCTGGCTTAGCAGTATTATGTCGTCGTTCAGCTTGGTATAATCATCCAACCAAGGCAGTTAGATTAATTAATCAATAAACCCAAGCCTGCAATTGCCCACACCCTCTTTTCTCTTCGCCTCCCCCCTTTCCGAACCACCCCATCCCCATCCCCGTCAAGTTCACGTCCACAGCCCATCTGCCGCTTCTAGGCTGCAGCATCATCAGCAGCACTCTCTCTGGCTGCTTGTCGTGGGGTAGTAGTACGAAGCAAGTGCCGGTATGTGATGGGCTTTTGCCAGTGTATGAAAGCCTCGTGTCTTACTACATACAGAGGAACCACTGAAGAGTGTTTGGTACGCCGGATCTCCGTCTTATTTCCCAGGCCTACACCCACACCCGCACAAAACGTATTCATATTCGCATCCTCATATCTCGCAACAAGTTAAGGCCTCTCTCTCTCTCTTTCGCACATAGGTACCTACCTACATACTGTAGTATATTGCGCTACCCACCTAGACGCTTCTCCGCCCTATCTGACCTCGGAGCCGGGTCACAACACCAAGCCTGCATATTGCCAGTCGAACCAGCCTGGGGATAGCGGCTCTATCATTCGCCCTCACCATCGCTTGCTGCGGGCACTGTAATGCGGAGACGTTGCTCCTAATGCCGCTGCACGTAATCTCAGACCTATTGTCAACCTGGCCTGCTGATCTGCCTGAACCCGACGAAAGGGGGGCAAGAAAAGTGGAAGATCTTCACCTAGGTGCATCTGGACGCAGCACTAACACTAGCAGCGTTGTATTTACTAATAAACGAACGAAGACGTCGTGTCCATGTTAGCGGTGCTTGGCCCATGCTCAGCAAAAGACACTTTAGTAGTATCCCATTCCTCTCAAAGACAGTTGGCTCAACAGTTATGATAGCTCATTCAGATCTTCGTGTCCTCAGCCGACATTTCTCTCTGCGCCTTAGTCCATCACAACAATAATAAAGTCCCCACTACAGCCAGCTATGTGTATGACTTTGATACTATCAAAAGCCAAAAAGCCTGACGACGTAAAAGACACCAGACATCAGTACTGTCTGTTATTTTCCTTCTTAACCCGAACGGTATCATTCGCTTCGGTCTTGACTTTGGCTCTCTTGAGAGCCGGGATGGGTTCTTCGTCATCTAGTTCTAGATAAAAGGGAACATGTCGTGTCAGTAAACATATTGTACTTATCGCCTAAGATACCGACTAGATTCATACCTTCAGCACCACGCTTCTTGAAGAACTCCTGCTTGATATCGATATCGTCATCGACGGCACCGCCATCCATATCCACACCTTTGGAAGTCTTCTTCGTCGCTAACCCTCGTTAAAAAAAAAAAAAACATTAGCCTCCTCATTGTAGTTCTTGGTCATTTCAAGCTATACAAGCGGCAAATCACTTACGCCGACCTCGCTTTCTTGGCGTTGGCTCGCCATTCTTATCTTGCGCCTCGAAATCTGCAATCTGCTTGTTGATTTTGGTCCACATGTTCTGCAGGGACTTGACAGTTCTTCCAGGGAGATTTATCTTGTCCCATTTGATGGAGCGACCATCTTCCTTGAGCTGCGCAACAATTCGCAAAAGGAATTGAAACTATGAAAATTGTATCTTCGTTAGCCTAGTCAGCCACATAGATGAAGGGTGGTGCTGCATACCTTGGCCTCATCTGTCCAGATGGCACTAGGCTTCTCAGGAGTTTCATGGTTCATGGTGCAATGGAAAGTAACTTTGCTTGATCAAATATCTTTAAAAAAGATCGCGAAGGTGAAGATTCTCTGTCACGAATCTATGAGCGTTGAAAACGGGATAGAATAATTCGTGTAGTAGGTAAAATATTAAACCTGCCAGGCGTATCCAAGCTGCCAAAATAAACTTGGAAAGAGGCTGAAGTGAATGGCTCCAAGCTCTCATTGGGCAAATCAAGACCAAGTGACTGCACAGTAACGAGCCAAGTAAAGCACTCTGCGAGGATGCCACCAACATGGCATGAAGTAAAACAAATCTGAAGAAGTAGCATCCTTTTGAGCCTACGATAAAGATAGGGTGGGGGGCAAGGTGGGAGTGAATTCGAGTGCCCACTGTTGCATTAACCGAGAAATCTTCGTTGTATGGCCCTGACGCATTCCAATATACATCTCAGGCGTAAGCCTGTTTCTATTATACACATATTCCCACAGACAACTGAAGCGGGCCAATCCTAAATCTGCCCAGGAAACGAAAGCGACCATCTGATATCAAGTTACACCTCCCAAGTCTTTCCCAAAGAAACTTGAGAACGAAAATAAAGGCAGATAAAATAAGAAGGAAAAACAGTAGGAAGGAAAACAGAAGGGGGGAAAAAAACCTATGCTGAATTGCACACATACACGAGACATATATATAAGTGTGCGCATCAGCCGTGATATGGGTATCGAACTCTTTACCGGGAAAACCAAACTAAGCAAATGCCATGGACGTAATGGCTCTCAGCTATCGCATGTTACTCGTTGAAATCTATTGACCAAACGCCTACCCAGAAAAAAAGAAGAAGAAAGGTGGGAGAAAAATCCTCGTCGTCTCGTTTAAATCGGCATCTTCATCTTCTCTCTAAACGCCATGAATTCTCTGAATCGTGTCTCGTGCTCTTCGCAAGCTGCCAGCCATATTCGGCGGACTCCATTGTCCTGCTCAACCCAATTGTAATATTCTAAGACGTCAGTATCGCCTCGGACACCTAAGAATGAATAGCCTTTAGAAATCCTTGCGTTTGATATGTTGGCTTTTCGTGTGGCAAAATGATCAACCACTTGCGAATTAAAAATGTCCCAGCGACGTAGATAGCCTTCAAACTCCTCAAGATATTTGGTCCACACCGTAACGTTTGGCTTCACGCCATCAACCATCAATGGAAGCCCAGGAGCAGCTGGAGGGTCGGGTAGTTCAAGCTGTTGAGGCTGAGGAGGTACGTTGAGGTGTAGTTCTGCTGACGCCTGGCTCTCAAAAGGCAGATTGTCCTTGAGCTCAGTGAATGATTTAAGGCCAGGTTTGGGTGGCGCAAAAGGCGCAACATTCTTGAAGTCTTCAAAGGTTGCCCGGAATTCCTCGCTATCTTCAGAGCCCTTAAAATTGATCGGAATTTCTTTCCTTTCCTCAGGCTGCCTCTGTGCTTGGCCAAGACCAGTAACGTTTCCAGGTCGCCATTCCGGACGCGATGGCTCAACATGAATATTCCTTGCGACAGGGGAGTGATGCTGGTGGTGAGGATGCGATGGGATAATGGGGGGCGGAACGGGAGCTGGAGTAGAAGTCACAGAAGGAGTAGTTGGCACAAGAGGAGGTGGGGTAGAAATAGGAGTCGCGGAGGGAGAGGTAGCCGGCGGGGAGTCAATATCCATCGCTTGTGGACTGCTAACCGTTGCAGCTTTTGGTTGAGCGTTGCGGCCTCTCCAAGCATAGTGGCTATCGTCACTACTCGGAGTTCTTGGTGCCTTTTTAGCGTTCACTTGACTCGTCCGCGTGGGTGACCCTGACTTTTTGGGGGTGCTGGGTCGAGGGGGGGCAAACATCTGCGGCTCAAATTTGTATCGCTCTGGGTCAAAGACGGTTGAGTTCTGGGTAGCTTGAGTTCCAAAGTTGGGCGCCTTAGGCGTGGCGACTGGCCGACGTCTGATCGGGGAGCAACCATCCTTTTTGTTGGTTGACTGAGAACGGCTCTGGGTTTTGTTGGTTGACCGAGAACGGTTCTGAGGAAGAGAATCATTATCTCCACTTCCAGCACTAAAATACCAAGTAGCTGCGGTATTGTCCTTGACAAAGTTTGTGTTAATTCCATCAACGCTGCTACTTTTTCGAAATTGGGCGGTTCCTGGGGCATCCGGTACGAAAGTATCATCGTCTAGACTAAAATTGAAGCTGCTCGGTAAGCCATTGTTAGCATTCGATTCTTCTGCGGGAGATTCTTTAGGACTGAAAGTAGTGCGGTGATGTGGTTTATTGCTTCGAGCTGAAACAGCGCCATCTCGGTTTTGTATCAAGGATTTCAGAATGTCATATTGTTTCTGTTCGAAAGGGGAGAGATTGTGAGCTATATCGTGCATTCCACTAGGGACACGCATTTCAGTCTTTGACTTGGAGCCGACTTCGGCAATGTTGTGTTTTGGTGATGGAGTCATTTGGAGTTTATCAGTGAAGATAGTGCTGGCATGTAGTGAAGAGCCAGCTGGCTTGTCTTTTTGAGGTATTGCATACATTGATGGGTCTTTCACTCCGTTGACTGGAGTTGCAGGTTTATTGAAAGCTGGTGTAGAGGTGTCAGCAGACAGCTTATTCAAGTTAGTGACGGTGGATCAGATCACTCACGCATGTGATTAGAAGATGATTGGTTTGATTCGTTGGCAGTGAATGTATTAGATTGTTGATTGGCAGTGAATATATTGGTCGATTGATTGGCAGTGAATGCACTGCCATTTGGTGTTGCATCCGGCTCACTTGGAGCTCTGTACGAGGAAGTAGGCCGTGAATTGGGACGTGAACTAGGAGGAACAGGGACAACCCGAGGTCTCCCATCGGCCCCTGTCTCGTTTTGGCTCCTCTGGGCTCCGCCTCTCGACTCTCTCCGTGGTATACTAGAGCTGCGACGCTTGGGTGTTGGTGGACTCGCTGGTTCTGAGCGTTGCTCTTTGCGAGATGGATCCTTGGCACCCTTATCTTGGTTCAAGGGACTGCTGTCAGAAGGGCTGGCCTCTTCGCCCCCATCTTTAGTATATGGGGAGCTCTGTTGAGGGGCCATGAAACTTTCTTCGGTGCGAATTTTCTCCCTAAATTGGGCCAAGGGATCGGATACTGGTTCTGCTGCTCTCTCAGCGTTCATACGGGAGGAGGAGTAGTTGTTGTTGGTAACCGGTGGCTCATCGCCAGGGGTGTTTGACCGAGGATAGTATCCGGTCTTCTTGGCCCCGAAGGATGCCTCAGCTCGCTTTTTAGCCCCCTCAGTTCGAGGTGGTGGAGGAGGTGGAGGGACGGGGCGGTCTTGCTGCCCACTCTTGGCACCGCCTTTTCGCATGCTTTCGAAAGCTCGTGCAGCCGTTGCCGGTGTAGTTTGTTGTTTGGCGGTTGGGGGCACGCCGGCAGAGAACCTCTCATTCCATCTCTGCGCCCCTGAAGTGGCTGTTCGTGGCTGACCACGTCGAGGTGGAGTAGGGAACTGCTGGCTAACGTTTTGCCAAGGGTTTCCTCTCACGCCGGAAGAGGCAGGATATCTAGAGGCCGCAGATCGTGCAAAAGAGGCGTCGTATTTGGCCTTGGCCTCAGGATCGCTAAGTACTTCGTGGGCGGCTTGGATGATTTGAAACTGTGAGTTGACCTCTTGTTCTCGGCCGGGATTGCGATCAGGATGATATTTCAAAGCTATATCCGAAGAATTAGATAACAGCCCTTTTCAACGAAAGAATTTGTGTAATGGACTGGGGTCGTTGCACACCTAGCTTTCGGAACTGCTTTTTGATCTCTGTGACATCTGCCGTTGGAGGCAGTTCCAAGTCGGCGTAGTAGTTCCGTTGGGGCACCATCGTAGCACTGAATATCCTGCTTGATCAGGCTTCAGTTCCGAAACGGAGTATCTTTCTTTGTTGAGTGCTTGGGTCGCAATAATCATGTCAAACCGATCTCGGATTTCGCCAAACAAATATATCCAGTTGGAAATAGAGGCGAACGATAGTGGGCAGATGTAGTAGTATCAAGCAAAATATGCAATATACGGGCAAAATCGTAAGAGATTGGCAATGAGAAGAGCACAGGTCGGTAGACTGTGTTGGGGCTCGATTTCGTTGCACGCAGCCTAACGGAGGGCTGTTCCGTGATGTCTACCTTCGATGCTAATAGCTAGGCACCCTGGCAGTTAGCGAGAGAAATTGGAGCGGCAGACAAGGTTGTTGCTGCAAGACACCCCACACTCAAGATAATTAGAAAGAGGAAGAATGGAAAAGCGGCCACCTTTAGCAGAAATATTTATCTTGACGAGGGCCGCAGCACTGCCAGCTGTCAGCCTGATGCGCCCAGCAGATAAGGCAAAAAGCAGCCGCTCACTCGGGCAGTAAGCTCTCTCTCTGTGTGTGTCTATGCGTGCTGAAGCCCGCAATGAAACCGACAGGGGTCGTGCAGAAAAGGCAAAACGAGAAAAGCCAGTCCTTGATCGGGAGTTCGCAGCATGCAGAAGACGGCAATGAAAAACGGGACGACGCAAGGGAGAGCGGCAGCTTGCCTGAAATGACGCCTGTGCTGCGACTCACGAGGCAAAAAGCAAAGAGTGTGGACAAGAAGGGATGTTTTCCGCGATCCAAGGGCCAAACGACGCTCGAAACCCAAACAGGCGATGTCTGGCAGACAGCAAACGCGCTTCCCTACAAATATGCGTGCGTGCAGATTCTGGGAGGAAATAAATTCGAAATCAGAAGACAGGAAAATGCGTGGGTACAGAAAAGGCGGCAGAAGGAGAGAAATCTCGCAAGGAAAGGAAGAGCTCAAGTCCAAGCTTCGGCTTTCGTTTTGTTTGAATATACTTGGTCCCCGCGGTGACGCAGCGCTTTGTTGATGCTGGCGAGCGGCTGTGGCTGAGTAGCATCAGCTTTGCATGAGCCTCGAGCAGGTGGCGCATCGAGATGGATTCCTTTCCTTTCAGGGTCTGATCTCATGCCCCGCCAAAAAGAGCTGCTGCCCACCGCGCGCTAGTCCAGCTTACGGAGTACCTGTACCTGTAGTACCATCTCAGATACAGCAAACTTGTACTCGGGTTTTGAACTTCAGTCTTGATCCCGTCAGGGCCCGTAGTATCTAAGAATAAGGAATGATAAGAAGCATAGATATAAGTGGGAATATATATATATAGATATATACAGGTATACAGGTAGTGTATAATTGGAAGTAGGTAGGTAGATCCGGAACAGGCCCAAGTACCTACCTACCTAGGTACCTACTAGTAGTAGGTACCTGATTGAGAGAGACAAACAGGCACATGTCATTCATTCACGATGGGTAGAGACGGCCCGCCGACTTTTGACTGCGCTTATTTTCCATACGGCGGTGCTCTTCGTTAATCATACGTCAAAATTGCCAGCCCTCTTCATGCGAACGAAATCAGATCAGGCCAGTGAACCCAACCTGGACGTCAAGCTGCTGACCCTTGTTCGCACGTGAGAGCAGGCGCGGGGCTCTCTTTCACAGCAGAGACGTGACCGAGGCCTCCAGGCGCTTACTTGTGCCATCGAACACACTGTATTATCATGTTGACGCTGTTTGCGGCATTATTATTCCACCTCCCTTTATTTTGATCTACCTGTGTTTTTAAGTTTCATCATGCGACACCGCGTTCGTTTTATCTGTCATCTTGCTCTTCGCTGATTCTCCCACTAGCGGCTTATAGTAAAGTGAGACATACCACGAATGTATATACACTGATATGACGTTGTTTTAGACGAGCAGTCGTCTTCTGTAATCGTTGACTTTCTTTTGCACTTCCAAGACATGAAGATAATATCCCACATTTTTGAGACGTATATTGCAAACATGGCATCTATGATGGAAGCAAGACTTCTTCGCGTCCTGGTCACTGCTCACAATCTACAGAGCACATACAAAGCCAAGAAGCTTCATATTATCGCCATTATCATCACTCGACACTCCCACAGGGCATACTAAAGCATTCAAAAAGTCCTACACTACCTTCATCTACAATATTAAAACGCCAATGCTTGCAACCCCCACCACAAGTATGCACCCATATTAGACAGAGGGGAAGAAGAAAACTATATAAAAAAAAAGAGTGCCCCGAAATCAAATAATCATGCTGCTGTATGACCTTTGCCGTGCCATTCCCTTCAAGAAGATCCTTGGGCGGCCTTCTCCGCCGCAATCTTGGCCTCCATCTTCCGCCTCGCCGCCAGAATCATCTCTTCTCTTCTTCGTTGCAGAGCAGACTGTCGTTCTTCGCGATTGGAGCTCCATGCTTTGCCCTCCTTCTGTTCCTTCCTCTGCGCTCCCTCTTCCTCTCCTGCAACTGCAGTCGCTGCGTCGCCAATCTTGTCCTTGAGGTTGTAGCGTGTGATCAGATCCGGCTGACTCGGCTTCTCGGGCTGCTTCGCCGCTGGGCCGGAGCTTCCAGTCGGGGGAGATTGCGTTCGAAGCGGCGGAGGTTGGAATGTGACAGGAGGCTATCGTCAATTAATCCACATTAGCATGTTGCCGTCGAGAGTAGTTGTGAAACAAGGGGACAAGAAACTATACCGTTTCCAAGCGGCCTGCCAGAATCCGCTCTGTGGTGCTCTGGATATTCCCGCCGTTGCGCTGAAGGTCCCACAAGATGCTCCGTCTCTCAACTTGCGGAAACATCTGCTGTATCCTCTGTACTGCCACCTCTCTTGATCTGAGCATCTGCTCTGCCGTCCTTACCGGTGGTCGTTCTGGGTTCGGCCCCGAGAAGAAAAGATACCGCACTATCAGTCCCGACACAAGCAGGACAATGGCGAAGAATGGTAACGAGATTTGTTCGTCCGACATGGTGAGCTATCCGGGGCCGCGATTGCGGTGTCGCTTTGCTGGCAGTCGAGGGAGAATTCGCTGATGAAAGATGATGAAAGTCGACTCAGAGCTTGGGCTCTTGCTAGGACGAAGAGCAGTCGGTGACGGTCGAAGCTCGAATCGCGGCCAGGAATTTGGAGGACGTTTCAAAACAACGCGAAATCAGGTTTAACGGAGTTCAAGCATCAGATATGCGGGAGTCGCTAGTCGAATTCGATCCCTTATCGTGGGCCAGGCGATCTTAGCTCATTGTTAGGTAGAGACAGTCATGCATGCGCTGCCAGGTTGCTTGTGCTCTGGAGCAAAAAGGTACCACGCCACTGGTCCCGCCATGGTGGAACCTCGGCTAATTCTATGTCAGTGCTTGTATGCACAAGATCGCCTCTTCCAAAAGAAGGAGCCTGCTCACGCGACAATTCTCATGTACTCGAAAGCTTGAAAAGCAACCATTGCGAAAAAGGCAAAAGCGAAAAGTATATAATTTTCTATATAGAGCTATTTCAATCATGAGTACTGAAAATGTTGTATTGCTATTATACTATCTAGCAGTATACGTACGATCTAGAAGGCGTCATCAATGTGTACAACTCAGTTCAAACAGACACACAAGACACACAAGACACAAAGCGCATGCAGACACAAGCTCACAGTTGAGGATATACCAGCCGGCAGTGCGTACTTTCCGGCCAGCCTTTTCTCATTGAATCATAATGCAACCCATGTTAACCATCGCAAGCTAATAATCTAGGCCTGCCTTTGAAAACCGACTCTGCATTCCAGGACCGTCATGTAACCGAACCCATTCCTATAAAAGCAACAATAATTCCTCGATCCTTGTCCTAATGGCTGAAACGCCAAAACGATTAAGCAGCTCGACCAAGCTTTCGCGTCCCTAATCAGCAAGCAAGCAAGCCTTCCTGGGGCTTAAAAAAAGAGGAGGCAGCCCCCCTGTTCATTTAATACTAGCTCTTTATGACAACACTGGTGGCGGTTGTCCTAAAGAGGTATCCAGATCTCCGTAGTGTAGCGTGAACTCTCTCTAAATCATGGAAGCGCAAACGGTCAGCTGCTGAATATATTATAGCGTTCGGCGTGTTTGCTGTTGACTTACCCGATCCTTTCGCCATGTGGCAGTATCCCATACAATGTAGTATCCTCGCTCGTGGTTGGGACTTAGGATCTGAGGAGTCATGTGCTCATCCTTGGTTAACCAAACCTGCAGCTTCTTATGCCACCTCCAGTTTCTGGAATGCCTTGTTCATGTTAGTTATACGTATTGATTAAAATAGGAGTTGTCCTTTTTACTTACAGCTCTACTGCTGCCATCTGCTGTTTGGCATCCAAGGGACAGCTATAAAAGATCCAAAACAGCGTTTCCTCGTTAAAACTCTGTATCTTGGTTTCTATCGGCTGCACATTCGTTACGCTGTAGCAGTCAGGTAATCGGAACTTGTTGGTGTTTACTGTCGGCTTTGGGGGAGTATCATCCAGTACTGAGTACATTTGGGTTGATATCAGACTGAAATGAAAATAAATCAGCTTTTTATGCCCCCACGCATTACAAACCTTGAGTTTTATCCTTCGGGTCACTCACTCTGGGGAAGATAAGTCAAGACCGATCGTGCTGGGGTCCATCCCTATGATCATGGCGTGATAGTCGGGGTAGTTGTTCATTAGTGTTCGTAAACCTTTGATGCCCCATTTATCAACTGCCGCCATTCCTGCCAAGGGATCTACAACGTCTGCTGCTTGGCTATCCTTGCGTTCGGCCAATCTTCCGTTCGGGCCTTCGCTTCCAATTACACCAAGAGATCCTCGTCCTTCGGCAGTTGGCGAAGCCACCTCTGATGCCTTGCCCGAGCCATCTTCTCGGAACTTCTGTTTACCATCATGTTGTTGTTGCTGCTGCTGCTGCTGTTGCTGTCGACCAGGACCTGCATTTTGTTAGGCTGAGGCTCTAGCTAAATGTATACACAAGACAAAAGGAATAATTCAGACGTCTTCTTACCGTTTGGTGTGCCGATGGCGGGTGGTGATCGTACATCATTTGCCCGGCTTGTTGCTGTTAGAGCATTCAGCAAGCCATTTCCGCCACTGCTCTGCATTGGCCCTGAGGAGCCAGGGTTTTGCGGCCCGAATCCAATAGAAGACATGACGTTGCCACCACGCTCCGAGCCAATTTCTCCATTGGATGTCCGATTTAACGGAGGAAAGTCGTCGACGCTATTTGGCTGAACCTGGGACGGTTGGGCTCCAAACCGAAATGGCCCCTGATTTGGCTGCATCCGCGAGGATGGGGGCCCGAAGAGATCATCCTGTCCACCTTGCTGAGAGGATCCTTGTGGCGGCTGATTTCGCTGAATAGGTCCGCTGATATTTCTTGAGCCCGCCGTAGACCACATCGACCCTTGGGTTGTACTGGGGAGTTGAGAGTTATTCGAAAGCGATGGAAATTCCCTGTGCATGTCAGTTAGTGGAATTTGTGAAATGTTATGCCCCTGGGCACTCTGTGGAACAAATTCAGCGGGAAAAGGAGGTCGCAGAGTCGACTTGGAAGAACTCGAGTTTGCCTGTCCCTTAAGAACAGCAGAGTAGGCCAAGCCAGGGAAGGAATGCGATCCAGGTCCCATGTTCGAATGCGATTCTCCAATTTTAATTTTGACCAGTTTGTGTTTCTTCTCTGTCTGGCAACTCATGATGATGTTGACGTTGAAAATGAGAGAAAGCAGTCAAGGGATCGAGAGCGCAGTGAAGTGTTATAACGAAAAGGAATTTTGACAGAAGTGAATGGAGAAGACGTACGACAAGTCGAGTGGCGTTGCAGGTTGTGACCCGCTCAAGCTCTGCGCAAAGCTGACGTTTCCTCCCAGCTGGCGGGCCTGATTCTGAAAGGCACCACCTCCCATAGGAACAGCTGCATTGAATGCCCAACCTGAGGCGTTGTTCGCTATATCGTATCACGCCAGCTGTTAGCACTTGGCTTCTGAACCGAGCAATAGCTTCTCCTTTCACCCCAAATCCAATCCGCTTCAATACACAAGTAAAGTACCTAATTTACCATTTGGTAATCGAGTCGACACTGATCGGCCTTGTTGTGGTTGCTGTTGGCTTCCAAAGCCGCCGGGTATCCCCCGTAACGTCTGCGGCACCGCTCCTGTAGGAGAAAGAACACATGGCATTAGCATCTGTTTCCAAGTCCATCTGTGATATCGACATTTCAAGATTCTCGTCCGCTTCCCAAGATCCAAACAGAGCAAGTCCTTTGTTCAAAAGCCATATTCAAATCAGAGCTCGCCTGTGGCATCGTCGACGGTCCGTTGGAGGTGGGGCATTGACGACGACGGCTGCGTCTATTCGTTTCTGCAAGGACAGGCCGGACAGCAAGACGAGATATATGAAACGCCATGTCCCGACTCTTGCACGTATAGAAGATAGGCTTCGGACATAGCCCTATCGCCCATCCATCGAACCGATCGCACGTCGCTGGCTAATGGGGTGGGAACAAAGGCCCTTCTGGAGCCGAGGTGGTCGAGGGGGAGACATCTGGACATGTCCTACCTGGTCGATTCATGATTGCTCGTGGTTTCGCAGGCCACCGGGGTATGACACTGCCAATATGGTGTCGCGTATGTGTCTGGATCGTGTATCGAAGCCCAATTCGGCGATCCCTTATCGTACCGATTGTCTATCGTGATCTTGAATCTTTTTTATCTGGTGTCGTCCAGGAAGGCTGGGCTCTGGCGCGGAGCATGCTGGCCGGATTCAAGTGGGTCCGCGCCGAATTTTGCTCGGCAGCCAATCAGATCAGGCGGCAGACTACGAGGCTGGCTGATTACATGATGGATACGAGCACCAGTGGCTACAATTTTATTTTGACCTCGCCGGTTTCGTAAACATGGAGGAACTGTTTTGAGTAGATGACCAGGTCTCTATGATTGATATTGTACAATAAAACATGAAATAGTGTTGGGCATATCTTAATCTCAACTAATTGTTTGTCTAAAATTCGACTCAAAATCTATGTCCTGCACCCCTCTACCAATTAGGATGATCTTGCCTTCGGTTGAAGTAATTTCAGCGCCATTCGGAGCATCCATGATCTCGAATATTTCTCTAACGCCTTGTAGTAACTTCACATTGCCGTTCTTAACCACAAGACGGCCCTTTGACCGATGAATCTCGAATTCACAAGCGTTTTCTGCATCTGGAAGCTTATGGTCCCAGAGAACCGCGCGTAGCCATCGATCGACATCTTCCAGCTGCTCGGGGCGCAAAGCTGGCACTGGTATAGAAACTGTCGATATCGTCTAAGTTTTTAGTTAGCTCCTTTTCCCTCTGCCTTCTTTTTTTTCCCCTCCTCATGGCACTCACTGGATCGAGATGACTATGGCCCTTGTTCTTGGCTTCTTCCACATTAAACTGGTCATATGCATGGAGATCTAGCAAGAATCCCCCAAGCTCAGGCACTTCGCTTCTTTGCGTCACATGTATTCTCGCAGCTCCATTGATAGACTCAATCCGTTCCCTGACTCTTCTCAGCTCCTCTTCGCTGACTAAATCCGCCTTGTTAAGAACAATGACATCAGCATGCGAAATCTGCACATGAGCTGTTGTCATCAAAGGGCCGTGGTGGTCATGTTCGTTATGATCCTCGATTTTGCCTTTCGTGTCGTCAAGGCTGTATAAGATATTCTTTGCGTCCACCAGAGTCACCACTCCGTCAAGGTATATTGTGCTGCCAAGGCCATCATCAACCCAGAAAAGTGGTGCGATATTACCCGGATCTGCTAGCCCAGTTGTTTCCAGCAGAATATAATCGAAGGCTCCCTTCTTTTCCATTAGAGATTCGATTGCGTTTACACCGGTATCCCTTTATGATATTAGTACTTCTTGGAAGAAGAAGAGGATCTCGCAGCGGAGGTGACATACTTGACAGAGCAACATAGGCAGCCATTTCCAACTTCAAGCCACTCTTCTACTCTATTGTCGCCCTGGCTGACCGTGAGAGACTTTTCAATGTCCACAGCTATAGAGACAATCAACTGTTAAAAAGCTTGCCAGAGCGCGAACAGACTCCATAAGTAAATACATACAATCTCCAAATTCTAGTCATGATAATGCGTTAGTCGAAAATTCATGCATAGACGCAACATAAAAGCCAATACTGCTGCTTACCATTCATGATGACGGCAATCTTTTTACCATGTTGGGCCGTAAGTATGTAATTTAATAGCGTCGTCTTCCCAGCGCCGAGATATCCTAGCGATTCTGTTAGCCATGCGTATATATGTATATTTATATATATATATATGCAGTCTCACCTGTCACGATGGTTATAGGTACTTTTACGCTGACTTCCTCCCCAGAATCTTGGATCCCACCACTAACGTCAACCAACTCTGGAGGGGCATCGTCGTCAAAATTCATAATGCCTGACGTAAGTACTGAGAAGCAAACAGAGATATACAAACAAAAAAGGAAATAAAATCACAGGGGCTCTCAGTAATATCTAAAAGCGAAATGACAATCTCACGAGCTGAATATTACCATGGTGAGAGGTAATAATAGGTAGGCTCGGTTACATAAGGCTCAGCCAAAAGTGAGTGAAACTGCATGCACAATGATGTATTGGCCGCTAAAAGAGGATGCGCCCCGCTAAATAATGCTTTATCCGACTAAGACGAGTCCATATGCATGTATAAAGCTCACCAGATAATTATGCACCTAACCCATATGGCGTAGCTTCAAGCTCAAATCCACTCCCAATTGGACGCCAGCCAGGCTGGCAACAGACATCACGACACTGCTTGATATCGGAACCCCCCCCCCCTTTTCTTCTCTTCTCTTCTCTTTCCCTCCTCTCGAGCCTCGACGCTCTCGATATCAGAGAGCTACGGCCGACCTCATCCATCATGTCTCTGGCGCCAAGCTCCCCTCGTCTACCCAGCCCGCCGCCGCCAGCAGAAATCCAGATAGGGCCAAATTCCCCGTCGGGAGGCCCCGCGGCGACGCTGGCGACGACCGAGATGGAGCAGTCGCATATAGACGCCAATTCATCCAGAAGGATACACCCGGGAACCAAATCTGCAGACATGGCCGTTGGCCCTCCATTGGTGCCACTGAGCGAGGTATGGCGCAATGCAAAGACGAGAAAAGCACCAGACACGCAAGACCCCCCAGAGGCTAATATGAAATCTTGATCGCGCGATCAGCTAGACTCGCCGTTCCAGCTACAGGAACACCTCGCTGCTCTGCACTACCACAGCACCGCGTCTGGCACTCAGCCTTTGACTCGCGCCTCGGCCCTCCAGCTCGCCCAGCCTCCGCAAGGCATCGATCGCACTCTCTGGCTCTATGAGCTCTGCCGCTTCCTTATCTCGCAGTGCAACTCCCTCATAGTCGGCTTCCTCTTCGATAGCCCGCCATGCAGCGCCAACACCTGCCCCGAGATGCGCGCCTCCGAATGGCAGTTTCTCTGTGCCGTACACGAGCAGCCTAAGAGCTGCTGTGCCATAGATTACTGCTGTCACACCCTAGACTGGGCTGCCAACGTCGTTTCAGACCAGAAGATCTTTCCAAGCCGCTTTGTCGTGGTCAACGACGTTCATAGCAAGAATGTCGGCGTCAAGAGCTTGGTCAATGTCTTCCGCAGACTGCATCGCATCTTCGCGCACGCCTGGTTCCAGCACCGCAGCGTTTTCTGGGCCGTCGAAGGACAAACCGGCCTCTATGTCTTCTTCAAGACTGTGTGTGACCTGTACGACCTGCTGCCAGCTGAGAATTACAAACTGCCACCAGAAGCCGAGGGCCTGGAAGCCCACCCAGAGTTTGACGTAAACGCTAGCAGAGCCCAGCCACCTCAAATCTTGAAGCCCTCAGCTTCGCAGACTGGGGGGAGCGAGGGCGATGATGATGGCCTGCACGGATCTGTTAATCGCACAAACACCCGCAGGCACATCAGGAGCAGCCCATCCACCGGAAGCTCTGTAACAACTGTCATGGAAGCTGAAGAAGAAGACGCTGACGGAGTGTCTCGAAGATTGAGAAGCATGCAACTAGCGGGTCCTGACCTTGTAGAAGAGGAGTCTGAGGCTGCTGAAGTTCCCGTCATTGTCGAGCAATCAGTAATCGCCGGCCCTCCACCTCCTCTCCTCTTCTCACTATCCTCAGAGCCTAGCCAAGATGAGACGGGCACTACCGTATTTGACATGTCTGACGCTGGCCAACAAACATCAGCGGTGTCAGAAAGCATTGTAGAGATCACAGAGGACGATGTCACCAGCGTCATTAATCCTTCTGATCACCATACCGCTGAAGAAACCAAAGAGGAAGAAAAGGCGGAAGAAACTGCTCCTGAGGCACCAAGTGATGGGCACACCGAGGGCGAAATCCCAATTTTAAGCGAAGAATCACATACGTCTGAGGCTCCCGCTGAAACCACCAAAGAAGAGGAAACATCAACAACTGAAGAAACTACCAAGAAGGAGGCCACACCCGAACCCGCAGCGGAAGGAGATGCGAATGCGGCAAAAGAAGAAAATGCTCAGCATGAGGAGAAATAGCGCTCCTCTGACTGGTTTTGGATGAATGAAAGGAGATATGATAAAACTCTCAGGGACTAATCGTCCTAATGAGCCCTACCTGATGGCTGAATTTCCACCCCCCAATCTTTATGACGAATAGTAAAAAGGCATTGAACACTTCTATAACTTCGAGTCATGAAGAACATGCATGTTTTATGGCAGCAGGCCTGACTAGCACAGCAATACGCCAACGAGCACTTAATATATGAATGAAGCACACAAAGAAAAAAAATGTATTATACTGTGCAGAGTGCACCAGACTCTATCTAAGTGTATCCAAGCGAATAGTGTCTCCGCCGATAATTAACCCTCACCACAAAAGACTCCTCCCAAAAACAGTCATTTTCTAAACAGCGCCGAATCCTTCAAACCTCCAAAAATCCATTATCGTGTACTGTGATCCAGAGGAGGCTTGCGTCTTGCTCATTTATTTTGTTTCCATATCGGGCAGGACAATAGTCTTCTCAAGCCGAGAAAAACTTTAAGTCCCTTGAAGCATTATCTTTCACACCTTGAGTGCCTCCTATTTCGCTGCTCATGGAAACTCGAAACCAAGCATCTAATTGTTCGTAACGATGTCCAACCATCTGCTTCCAAACTCCTTCATGGAAGTGAATTATCAATGCATCTCTCTAATATCAATAGGCCTCGACTATCAATGGGCGCCGAGGAGGTTTAAAATGTCAAAAAGAAGGGTGATGTGCTCGCCAAATATGATTTTCGTGCGCCCAAACAGTTCGTAATCTCGATTTATCCGCCATTTTCATTAATTCCATGATGAAGCCAATGTTTCCAAATCTATGGGTTCCTCTTTTCTTTTTTAAATCTTTTTTTCTTAAAAAAAATATCGCATTTGATTCTCGCTCGTCATCCAAGGATAAGTTTGTCGAAGAGGTGTTTCACTTCCCGGAGATTCACCTGCTGCGAATTCACCGCCCTAGCATTTCGTTCGTCTGCGAAGCTTCGTATACTTTGGAGGATCGGCGTAAAACCTTGATCGTTTGGTAGCCACCAATGGACACATGAAGGGTCTCCAAAGATCTCCGCCATCTTCGTACGGCGAGTGACAGGGTTGATGTGTCTAGGTCACTCAAAATTAGAATAACGTTGATTTTACAACAATAAGTACTAAAGAAGAAGGGAACAGGATAAGAGAATAAGAAAAGAGACGAAGAGATTATGGATGGTAAATCAGCGTTGCTAGGTCAGATATACATACCCCTGAGCTTCCAAAATCGCAAACTTCTGCCGCAGCCACATGTTGTGATTCGGTTGGTGCGGCAAAAAAAGGCCTGCAATTGCAAGACATGGCTGCATCGCTATTAATGTTCCCGCCGGCAGCTCCGGCCAATGCTCCATGCATTCGAAGAGCTCACACACTGTAAACGCATGCCCCCCCAATTCCGCGAACAGCTGTTCTGGAGACAAATCGGGCGATTGGCTTTTATGCATTATGACGATGCTGTGCCATTCCATCGTAATAATGGTGCTGTTGAATAATGGATGATCATAGAGTAGTCCTGGGCGGTAAGGATCGACGATATCGTTAGGGTCCAAGAGACGCCGCCAAGGAAAATCAGTAACGAGATGTTTTGGGTCACATAGAACCGGATCCCAGCTTCCCTTCCATTCTTCAAGCTGTGCAGTCAAATAATTGTGCTCATATGCGTAATCCGTTGGCTCGATTTGTTGTCGACTTCCACGAGCATACAAGGTAGACATGTCGTAAGAGATGAGACGCAGACGAGCGGACCGATCTTCAATCTTCCAACGTAATTCGGTGGGATTTGATGTCATCTGGCTTTGATAAAACGCAACCATGGTGGTAAACCACTCCCGGGAAATCTCAGTAGGAAATCTGCCCATCAGGGCGATTATGTTATCAAATCGGGCGTACCAGCTGAGGCACATTCGGCCTATGGAGGATTGCATCGCTGTCTGCGGAGTATAAATGCGGGTGAGAATTTCAAAAGCGGCTTTCTGGTGCCCCATGAGGTTCACCCAGTCGCCCAGATACTCCTAAGGCATATGTTAACGGCATGAATCATAACATTTCCTCCCCTCCAATGTGCACCACCTACCTCAATTGTAGCGAGCTGCAGTATTGTTAACAGCACATGGACATTGTGCGTTTCTTTCCTTTTCAAGAGCCTTAGCAGTTGCGTCACGCTTCTATTATAATATTGGAGGAAATCTTGAAGTTTCCCATTTGGATTTCGCAGAGTAACATGATACGCGGCGAATCCAACCAACGCATTGAGCAACGGCTCAAACTGTATCGCAACATTGGGTAGCTCAGAGTTGAAAAAGTCGTCTTCATCAACCGCCAAGCCGTAATGATAGTTCGTCATATTCTTTTTAAAGAATTGGAGGTAATTCTGGAAATCTGGCGGCAAGTGTGTCTGGTCTGCAGTCCCGCTCGGCGGCAACGTCGCTTCCTGCCCCGTATGTCCAGCCAGCGTCAAGCTTCCCGTCGTGACGGTAGAATTTGAGTTTGAGGGCGAAACGCTCTTAGTACCGTCCTGTGACGGCGTTTCGGAATTCTGGCGGCCGCCCCCTGGGGTAGTATTAAGAGATACTGCACTTGCTCTTCGGACTTGTGGCAACACAGACATTGATTCTCTACGCAGTAATCCATCGGGTTCGTCGTCGTCAGGAATGGTCTCAAGCCTAGCGTCTTGCTCTGTATCGTCTTCTTCTCCCTCGTTAGAAGATGTGGGGCTTATACACTGAATAGATGAACCGTCTTTTGACTTGATAGCAGAGCGGCCAAAATTACCTTTTGATCCTGGTGGTTCAGGATAAGCACATTCTCGATTTCCTTTCCTGCAACCTGCCAACTATTAGTATACTGGGCTCAAGAAAATCAAGTCTTCCATCATTTGTGACTCATGGCTTACGATCACATATCGGCCGGGTCTCATCACACTGTGTGGTGTCAGTCACATTATTGAATTAGCTCTGCAGAGTTTTTCGATTTGTCCTACCTTTACTCGGCGGCTTCGACATGTATAACAGCCGGAACGCGTCCTCCGATGCTTCACTTGGTCCGGATTCCCTCCGCCTTGGTTTGCAGTCGATCGTCGCCGGCTTTTGCCCGCCTTGGGGGCATTAACAACAGCAGGTTCGGCATATGCAGCGAAATATTCAATAGTAGAGGGATACGGCGAAGGTATTGGTGGGGTCGACATAGGCAGCACAGCTCCAGGCATGAGGCCCGGGTTCAGTTCGTCGGGGCTCGTAGGCAAGTAGCCTTCCCCTCCTGTCATTGTAGAAAGGAATTGGCGGTAGTAGTCACCCATGGTGGCAATTATGTAGGAAACTCGAGGTATCCAATAGTGTCTAGCGGGTACGCCGTCAAGAGTTTGCTGAAGATGGTTGGCAAGTTTTCGACTATTCGCATGCTCAGCGGATAATTCAAATATAAAAGTCGGGCTTCTCGCATCGAAAGCCAAACAAAAGTGAAAGTTACAATGGGGTATATTGCCGAAATATGTTCGAAAAGATACCACAGTCGAATTCTTTCTTGGATAGAAGTAAAGTGACAAAGGAGAGGGGTTTCGAATTATTGAGGTAGCGTTGAGTGTCGCCGGTAGGAATGTATGGCGACTTGTTGATATTCTCCGGTTAAGAGAACAACTCTGGTGTTTATATAAAAGTCGTTGATATAAGCTCCAAAAAAGAGAGACTGAGGCCGACGGTAACGATGTACGATGAATAACATCGGCCCAAGAGATTGAAGAAAGCCGCGCAAGGGGGTAATTGGTCAATTTCACAGCTAGACAAGACGAATGATGAGAAAACACCACCGCGCAGCTCCGACTTCTAAACAAGTCTGCACGGCGCTTGCTGACAAGAGTTGAAGACCAGGCAAAATATAGCAGTGGTAATAAGCTGTAGTAGGCTCAGCCTTCGGATTCGGTTGGTAACGCTTCTTTTCTTGTTGTCCAGGAGAGATGCGGAGACAGATGCCGGAGTCGTTGACCCTTCGGGCAGTGAGTGGCAGATGTGGTGAGGAGTCCGCGGGCATACAGTAGCAGTCATGTAATATGCACAACTTGCCAGCCCCGAAATATCGGTTTGTCACTGCGTCTCGCTAGATCGGTCCCCGTTGGCTGCAGCAGTCAGGCGGCGTATGCAGCGGCAACGGCTGGAGAGCAGCAAAGGCAGCGCTGGCGCAGTAGATACGACCGTGGTATGTATAGCCCGCGCTGCGGGGAGCCGGTGGCGGTCCAATATGGACGCGCAGGTACTGCTTGGGAGTAGATGATGGATGGCTGCACGACGAGGACGTATCATGTGCTTTAACACGTAGACGGTAAGGACTGCGAAGGTAGCTGCAGCTCGGCAGCCCCCAGGCAGAGCCGGTCAGTGGGAAAAGAGAGAATTATGAATGGGGAGTCGCGTTTGGTGACAAGACTCCAGAAGTGGCTACCGTATCGAAACTCTCTTAGCCATGGAGGCAGTGGTAGTACCATTGACAAACTTATGGAGATGCTTGCCGCGGATCTCCTCGTGGTAAATACAGCGTCTGTAATGCAGATTACCCCCTTTTCTCCCTGGTCCCTCAAGGCAAGACGACCCGACGACGCTTAGGCTCGCAGTAGAATTGAAGCCGGAGAATATGAATTCAACAAGATTAGATCTTTGGGAGAGGATCAATCAAACTAATCACCTGCATCAATGCTCGGTCGATACTATTTGAGCTTCTGGCTTCCGAAAGGGAATCAAGTGTCTGGTCCACAGCGGAGTCGGCTGGTGGGAACTGGCCCAGCGCATTCCCACAGGGCACTCCGTCGTCGATGGAGTATCCCGCAAGGGTAGTGAAAATTGGGAACTGGGCAAGGAGAATGATGAAGCTCTAGCAACGGAGGGAAAGGCGCGGGGCAGAAGAGAAAGACGGTTAGAGGCCCCCCCTGGGCGGCAATACACATGGGTCCTGCCAGGCGTATGGCTCCAGCTAGGATGCGAATCTATCAACAAGCACCCTCAGTCAGGGCGATCCAACCGTGAACAAGCCTGCTATGTACTTGCAGAGTAGAGGGAAAGCGGCTAGGGGTTCAGCACATCAATGATCGAGGGTAGTAGTGGTGGTGCCGCTGGCAGTTGCTGGTAATTGTTGGTGGTTGCTGGTGGCAGGCTGGATCTAAGAGTGATAAGGTATTGGATGGGGTGACAAAGAAGCATAAGCTACTCGCACCGCCGCAGCAGTCTAGACCCAGGCCTGGAGAATCTTTTTTTTTTTTCCCGAGCAGTTAGCTTAAGGGCATATAACAAAAAATATGCTGCTCGCAATGTATATTCAGGTCAACTGGGGAGTGAGCCTTTAGCAAGAGGCCGGGCGTTTGTTCCTTTTTGGGGACTGAGCATGTCACGGCGGTACTTTGGAGATAGAGCAAGCAAATACAACGCACCTGCTCTCCCATTCTTTGGTACAATGCTCCAAAACAAGCTGGTACGTCGTCAGGGCCAGGGAACGTATTCGATGATGCCAGTGGTGCCACTTCGTAGACAACAAATAACCTTTTGGGGGGGGTGGCAGCAGGCATCAAGCAAGACCCGTGGGCAAAGCCAAGACCTCAAAGCTCCTCCCTACCCCTCGTAAACCGCACGTATGAATGCTCGTACAGCAGAACCAGAATCGAGCCTCTAAAAAAAGCATCCACAAGGCCTGAGCAGCCCGGGTCGCGGCCAGCCTAGCAAAATGACGGGGAGGAGAGCCAGGGTTAATGCACAGCGGGTTTGGAGCACCCCACGCCAACCTCCGGCCTCCTAGCTCTGCCAGGCCAGCACTACTACAAGTATGTACTAGATGGAGGCTCCCCCTCTGATCCCCAAGCTCGAGAAGGCGAGCGCGAATGTCCCAGCAGCGCCAGTGTGTACTGTGCGCCTGCAATGTCCATGGTGTTGGGTTGCGAGTGCAGTGTCCTTAGTAGAAGCCAAGAGGCCATGCATCAGAATCGAGACGGGCACAAGAGTCATGCTCGTAGTAGATAGATGGTACCGAAAATGCTCAGCAGCGCCGTCGCCCATATGGAACACGCTCATGTACGAGTACCTACTGTACGTCTGTAGTGGTCGGTACGTCGCGGGCCTGCACATACAAGTATCATATTTGGGGTGGTGGAGAGGCTCGTGGGCCCAGGATTGGCATGGCTGGGGGGTGAAAGCAGATACACACGGTGGTCTGCTCAACATGCTCAGCCATTTCACACGGTCCTATGTTGCCCATGGCTGAGGAAACGAATGCCCCGTTCTCATGTTCTCTGCCCTTTCAATGCTTTCCTCTCTGAGCCCCAGCTTGCCGGGACAAGCGCAGCTGGCACGTCGGATGCTCTCCGCTGCTGCTGTTGCTGATACTCCTCCAGTCGTCGCCCCCTTGCAAACCAGGTCGGCGATAGCATATTGTGCACCGTACCAACAGCACCGTAACGTACCGTGGGCGAAGCCATTGGGCGATCCGCGATCCATTCGGCCAGGTAGCTTCACAGCTAGCTGCAAAGCTTTCCACGGCGACCCGCGTCTTGTCGCCGTCCAGCCACTTTCGGAGTAGCTGTCGGGGCTTGGACCGGTCTGGTAGCGTGGGGTCGTACCCTCCGGCCCGACCAAGTGTGCTCCGTACGGTGCGAAAGTCTCTTTGCGGCGCAGGCCAGAAATTGGCTTTGGGCGCCTTTGATATGATGGATGAATCAAAGCCATGATGGCGCTCAAAACGGCGAGCTGGCGATTGGCAGTTGGCCGCAAGGTCCGCACAGGCGCTGCCAGGGTGCAGCACCAGGTACAACCACGACGTGCTAACCTAGCAGCAGCAGCATGGAGTGCTAGCGGCTGGCCCTAACACTTGTAAGGCACAGGCGTTACTAGCTCAAGTATCGATGTGCAGGCGCGGATTGAGAGCTTGAAGATTCCGCGTTTCGTGGCTCGACATGGGCGCTCGGCACTAACTTCTGCAGCTACCTGCCCTTACCTGGCCGGCTGGGTGGTATTTCGTACCTTACCTACAGCCTTAGTCGCTCCCTCCCTACCTCAACCAGTCACTTGAGCTGCTCCTTCCTCCATGCTCTTCGTTGTCACGGCTTATGTAATACGTCCAGCTTACGGGGGCAACTCCTTTTTTATTCCTCTTCCTTCTTTCTCGACCAATACAAGTCTTCATGTGCACCCTCTTTGGCCAACGAACGCAAAACTACGGCCGTCACATTGCCATCCAATCCGTCCAGTCCATGCATCCCTCAGTCACAAGCCTAGCATCCCAAGATTGACATTTGCCTTCCACGGTGAGAAAGAGAACAGCATGTGGACCCTTGCTGGCAACAGGGTCCAGCGGCGCCACGCAATTTGCAGCACACCACAGAGCAGCAGTGCACAGACCATCAAAGTCCCAGAAGAAGCCGCGCACAGATGGGCTTGCAGCAAGAAGCATGAATCGCCAGGCCCGTGATGCAGCTAAGCTTGCGCTTTCAACCTATTGAGCTACGCGGTGCGAGTGGGCTGGATGCTGCGCGCTTGGTTGGGCCCTTTCCCCGGGCCACTTGCAAGGATGGGGAGTCGACCTGATCCGCAGTGACCCCCATCTCTCCAATCCTTTTTCGCCGACACAACAGGCATGCAGCACGAGCTACAGTTACGAGGTATTCGATGCTACCTATTCACCTGTACCTACAGCCGCACTCGTCGGGCACAGGCCAGCAAGGCCGCTGTGCTCCTGTCGACCAGCGGACGTTTGTAGGTGATGGCAGCACTTCCTCTTGAGCCGCGATGCGTCGGCAGCGCGGGAGCGGCACGGAAGAAGCATGGGTAGAGCGGTTTTGGCTTGGCGCGAGCCAAGAGCCAGGCCCTGGCATAATTCTCCATCCGGAAGACACTCTTATTTCAATACTAATACTCTGTATGCATCTGGTTATACACATGAAATACGCGTTTTGTCACCTCTTTTAGAGCGCATAAGTCGAGCCTGACAGAACTGCAAGCGCCGAGTAGCATCGATGCCATCCAGCAAGCTGCGCAGAGTCATTCAAATCATCTGGCGATCCAAGGTGCTGGGGCGGCTCTCGGCCCACGCACAAGCAATTCATGCGCCGATTGCCACGTCGGGGCCATCATCTGTCTTGGCCAATGCCCTGGCCTCTTGGCTATTCCGACTTTCTCGCAGAGCTAACCGCATATCTAGACAGCTCCGTGCAGGACTCGAACAAATTTACCAGCACTTTACGGTAGAGGAAACCAGTCCATGTCTCTTAATATACAAAGCCTGCAATTGGTAAATTTGCATGTACTGTTAAATAATGCCTCACAGACAAATTAGTATTGGCCAAAGCCCGCACCCTGCATTGAGCATTTACGGTACACCAATTCCTCATTTCGAATACTGCTCCGCCATACCAATCATACGCACCAGCGCGATCAATCCTGGGCACTTTTGGCATTCCCTCAGCTTGAAGAAGACAAGAGTATGTCAGTATGTATCTGAGAGTAGTCGTTTAAAACTCCGGATCCTCAAAATCTTCAACAGCTCCCAGAAGAACAAGAACAAGAAGAATACCTGTTACAGTAATTACAGCGGCTATACATATTTCTTGTGCTGCCGCGTGTTGCTGAACGAATACCTATCACGTCTGAGGCTGGCCGCAGTGTTAGCACTACCTAGCACGGAGGCTAGTGGTATTAGACTTTGCTTGTAAAACCTCCAGGCTTGTTGCCAGGGTTCTAGAAGGGATAAAGTGCATCCAGGGCGTTCAGGTCAACGCGAACTGTGATGGGCGGATGGGTCTCCAAGAGGAGCTTCGACGGGTATGTACTAGCTTGGCGCCACCTCTGCAGGCTTTGATTTCCGGGAAAGGATCCTCCAGTGCCTCTTCAGAGCAGCTAGAAGCCCACTTACGCAGTTTGGATCAGCCTGCAGCAATGGTAGGGAACAAGGGTGCCGCAGCTGGCTACTCAAATGCGACCAAAGGGACACCACGAGCTGTTTTGCCCCTAGTTGATGATTCGAAGGCTTTCAATCTCCAGCGAGGTTACATCAGCTAGAAAACCGCCAAGCGTGGCCCAAGCCTTGGAGCGAAAAGGAAAAGAAGATGAAGAAAGAAGAAAGGAAAAGGAAAAAAAAAAAAGCACATTTACTTGACGTCCGCTGACGGTGGCGTCTCGGTTCAAGTCGCTGTGGAATAATAACTCTAAAATCCTCGTACCATTCAAAGTTCATCGCGGCAGGGCCGACCATTTGCGCTGTAAGGACCTCACTATACAAACATGATATACATGCTAATTGCTCCATCCTCCGGCCGGGCAGATAAGCGCGCACATGGGCATATTTTCCATGCTGAGGGATGGGATGGCTGGCCTTGCAGAAGGCCCTCCGTATGGATGGGGAAAAAGGGACCAACCACAATTCGTTGCATACAGCCAAAGTCCTACGACACACAACTCAAAGTACATCGTACAAAGTGTTGGCGCGGGACAAGTTTGTCACTAGAAAGTCGCATGGCAGCTGCAAATCTAATTCAACTGCCGGCACTTAAGGTTTCGATTGGAGCATCTGGTCTCGTGCCGTTCGCAGATATGCTTTTTTGCCAGGAGAATGATCAAACTACGTGTAACACTATATATTCGAAGCATCAGAAGAACGCTTCAGACGACTAACGACTATGTACTTCGATGTTGGCGCCATTTTTTATACAGAATTCCTCAGCGGAATAATGAGTGCGCGCAACCGCATCCAACCACGTCCAGCCAGGATTTAGTCATGCTGTTCTAGCCTAACGCTACGAAATTCCACATCATACTATTGCCAGGCTCCAACAATGAATACATTTATATGGAGTGTTATTGCGGAGAAACTCAGGCCGCTGAAAGTACGTTCGATTAGTGGACTTACTTGCACACTTGCTTCTACCATTCTACTGCACTCGAGTCGTGCGCAGACTAAGGAAAAGCCATCTTTGCCCCCCCTAATACTCGTGCGTACGGGAATAAGAACTCAGCAGCTCATTTTCCTCAGCCTCACTTTGTCTGTGGAAAGCATTATTTGCTTCATTACCGGCGACCAGCTAGTGCTCTTCTAGCAGAGATTAGAATCATGCGTGTCGCAAGCTCTATCGCTCTCGGCCATTTCCATACCTGACCGTCTTGTGCCTCGCTCTGGCCCGTGCCTCAGCTTGACGGCGTCTAATTTCTCCTCCTGTAAGCCAGGACTCTGGCGCATGCGAGTACAAAGGCACCGAGGCTCGCCCACTTTTAATCAACACTATCCGCTGGCCTACCTACTTGCACGTATAGGTGACGAATATCCGTTAGTGCCTGGTGCCAGCGCGGAATTTTTGAGAAGACGGCGGCTAGGCTGGTAGAGACGGAACCAATCCTGGCCAACAAGATCCCCGGGTCACATGTCACAATGCCGGAGGGGCGCACCGCATCATCGGGGAGTCAAGGTTCATGTTCAGTTACTGTATGATGGCAACAAATTGCCCGCTAGCTGCGTCTGCGGCACAGCTTCCAATGAATATTTCAGATTGGCCCTTCAGGACACGTTGATGCGAAGGCCAATGCCGGCCGCTGCAAGCTCACATCCCCGGTTCTCCATAAGGTCCATAAGGCGCTCGCGCTATTCTCCGAAGACGAAGAAAAGCTTCAACGGCGCCCTGCTAGCAACGGGCTAGTTTCCTCTATTAGCACCCCAGGCACGGAGCTAGTAGCGCTGGTATTGAGTTCTGATCCGTAGCACGTGCTTGCCGCTTTATTCCTATCGAACTGATGCTGCGCAGTAGTAATAGTAGCAATTCGCGATTTCTTATTGGATTCGATACGAAGCCCGAAGCGGTTTGGTGCTTCATCTCAACAGGGCTGCATATCTTGTACAGTAGGTGGAATCTACTGTATCCTTTCGCGCTCGTGCTATCTAGGTCCTAAGGCTTAAGGGGAGTCCTACTGCTAATACTGTATTACTTGTAAGCCCTCGATTCTAACTCATCTTTCAGTTAGGTTCGTTGTTCTAAATTGCTGACGTACACTTACTCTGAGGACACAGCCCAGACATGCAGAGTCTTGAAGAGAAAAATACAACTTGCTCGTTCCCATAATACCTACTACCAATCTATGCCCGGGCCACCTACTCGCACGAGCAACGCTCATTTCTCTGCCTCTGCAAAGATGGCTCTGACCCCTCAACACCCCTTTCCACCCCACTCTCGTGCCTCAGCTTCCGGTGCCACTCAAGTACGGCGGCTGGATGTTCGCCATAAACAGCCTTGAGGATCCACGAGTAATGCACCAAGCGTAAGAAATTTCTCCTGGCAGGGATTCTACTCCCGTCACATGCAAGGCTGCCGCTTCAGACTCCAGCCCTGGGCGCCGCAGCCAACCAAGTCGAATAATTTTACGTATGTCGGAAAGATTTCTGTTGAAAAACTAACGGCAGACCAGAACATCTGCGAGGATTCCCTGACGCGTTTCTGGCCCTNCCCCCAAGCTGTCATGTCTTCCAGCGTGTGATGAAACACAGACATGAAGCCTGGCTGATACACCTTACCCTAGAGAGTGGGCGAGTTGAGGTGCTGTGAGAGTGTATGGTTGGCGACAGAGCCAGCCCCAGCTGCGATTACTCTGTTCAGGCAGTGCGAATAACACTAGGGGCTGGCGGGGTTTCGTTTTATCTGATCTCGACACATATTCCCAAACGCAGGTACCTTATGCTATTAGGTAGGTACGTACTACTGGTAGTAAGACGACCTGCTCACGTAATAAACAATCCACTAACGCTCCTTCGTGAGGACCTCATCACGGTCACAACTGCCAAACCTGCCGTGCTCTAGTCACCCAATCCGATCACCATATTTCGTGACGTTAAAGTAGGCACGGCTTTGCCGTCCAGAGCACTTGACACCATATCATTGGCGATTGCGCTGTTATTGCTGGCGAATTCATTCCATACCCTAGCTCTCAAGGCTGGTCCTTGAACAGGTTGTCGGTTGCCGCAATGCCGTCGACCTCCGAAGTCATTGCTTTGTTTGACTCTACCGCCATTGCCCTCTTTCTCACAACTGTGGTTGTTTTTGCCATTCCTGTATTTATACTATTCCCGCCGATACCAGTGGAGCACGGGGATGCTCTCCAACAAACGCACAGCAAAGTCGGCATACCAGCATCTGAGAGCAATCTCAGAAACCAGACATCGCCCGAGCATAACCACCAACCAGGCAAGGCAGGCAAGATACAGAGCTTATTGATTTACCCCGTCAAGTCATGTCGGGGCATAGAGGTTACGAACAGCAAAGTCCTTGCCAAGGGGTTTGAGTTTGATCGCCTTTTTACCTTTGCAAGGCAAAAGGCGAGTCGCACAACGCCTCTTGTGGCACCAGGAGAAGAAGCAGAACAGCCCAATCAGCCGAAGAAGCCGCAATGGGAAATCCTCACCTTGCGGCAGGTCCCGCTGCTGGCGAATGTCCAAGTCGATCTGTGGCTCCCAGATGCAAGCAAGGCTAGCCGCCAGCTCGGCAGAGTAGGCGGCCGATTCATTGTTGTTAGATTTCCTTGGAAGGATGCTGGCCTGAGGGGCATGATCCAGTGGGTATCTGCCAAACTGAGCCGCGGCTTCAGCGGCATCCCAGAAAAAGAGTTTATGCTATCAATTGATTTCCCACCCCCCAGCGAGATTAAAACCAGAGGCTACCAGTATGAAGATACGCGGTTCTTCGATAGCACTGTTCATGCCCTGAATTTGAGAAATGAGGTGCCCCTTGAGCTGGGTCGCTATCTGGGAGTTAACGTGCCAATGACCATCTTCATGAGCGACCCAGCTCAACGGAGGGAAGTCTTCAGAAACGCACCTCGCAAAGAGGACCTTGGATACCAGCCCTTGGCCGACTTCCAGGATGTGGTACGTTTTGATTGGTTTACAATTCCCCTTTACCTTTTTCATGTGGGCTCTGAAGTAGAACTGATGACCTCCCGCAGTATCCACTGAATGTTCTTAGCCTGACGAGTGTCCGCGCTTTGGAGTCCAAAGTGCAGAAAGACGACGGGCTCAAGTTCCTGGACGCGCGCCGTTTTCGCCCGAATATTATTGGTATGTATACCGGTTGTATATTTGAGACTATGCGTTTCAAAAATATACCCCCGTATATCGAACTCTAGACCCCCACGCTTTAGATGTACATTTCAACTAACTTTATGTGACTAGTATCTGGTCTCAAAGAGTACGACGAGGACGACTGGAGACGGATTGAGTTCTCACAGCCTTCCCAAAGCGCCACGACTAAGGGTCTGAAGAGTCACTTTGACGTCTCAGGCCGCGCAGTTCGGTGAGTTTGTTGAATTAATTTTTCTCTATTTCTATTTTCGTTCCATTCTCAGGGGAGTTTAAGCTTTATTCTTACCCTTAACTTTTCCCTGTTTTTTTCGCCCTGACTTCACAAGCGCCCGCCGTCTTTTCCACCCAACAAGAAATCCCAATAATTCACAGCCATTGCCATCTATGGTGGAGAATTTTGCCATCAAAAGAGTTTCTCACATACACAAAGTATATACTACCCGTGTTACGTGGAGCTACGTGCTAAACAATTCATGACTCCATACAGGTGCAAATTGCCAAATGTCGATCCAGCCACCGGGATTCGACACAAAGTGGAGCCCGATAATTCGCTCAGGAAGTACCGCGAAATCGATGGAGGCGCTCCAGGGAAGGGTTGCTTCGGAATGCAGCTGTGTCCCATATTTTCAAGTACAGACAAGCCAGAGGACATGGAGTTGTCACTAGAGGTGGGTATGGAGATTAAGGTTCTGGAACGGGGCCAGCACTGGGCTTTGTAAGTTAGTAGTAAGAAGAGTTGTAGTAGCCTGAGTTGCGGTGGCAAAGATGGATCTCAACGAGAGGGGGGGACGGAATTGAGCTATAAACTTGAGTGACGAATGGAGTCGCTCGTAAAAAAAAAAAAATAGATAAATAAATAAAAGTCGTTCAACATGTACAGTATCAAGAAGTCTGTTATTTCCGTAGACAAAAGTGGAATAACAAAAGGTTAAAAAAGGCTCATTATAATCTCTCCTTTTTTACCCAATTCGTATTAGATCATATTCTGCCAGCTCATCAAAACCCATCCATGCGCCTCTCGTCATTTCATATCACATTGGTCCCAACATATGGAAAAAAAAAAAAAATATAGACGTA